TTTATTGTCAAATACAGGGCTATCTCTACTAGACAATAGATGGATCAAGCGTGAAAAATGTACATGAAATGTAAAGTATAAGCAGATACCTACCTACATGTGAAAGATGTCATGGACACAGCTATTTTTGTATAATCCAGCGAACGAAAATGCGTACTAATAAGTAGTAGAGATACCTTCATCCCAAGATGCATCTTATACCGTATATTCATTATATACCGAACGAAGTCGACCTCCACGCGGTATCCCCTGGATACCATCGTGGTTAATTCCTGATGAGTTCATCACAATGGGCTAACTTACCTGTTTTCATTCCACACTACCAGCATATTCCATTAACGCAATTGGGGTTAACATTACATTTTCATTATAAAAAAATTATTCATGTAAATTCGCTATTTTAATATTTACCATCCTGGTTATATTTTTTTATTCTGAAAATATTGTCTATAAACTCATACACGTAATTGACCTTTGAGCTAACGCGTTTAATATGTGTATGTTACTAGAGGAAGATTAATCGTAATAGGTATGCTATAAGTACCTAGGTAGATATCCGCCTATGAATAATGGAACAAACAATTTTTGGCAATTCACTGTAATGACATGGGTGTCTTCAACCACTCCCCCGATGAGATAACGATAGATAGGTATTAAAATATTTACTAAGTACAACAATAATAAATACATAGTATTTTTTATATGGCACGCTTTGTAGATAATATAGATTTTGTTATGCCTACAATGTTAATTGGAAACAAAAAAAAATGTTATAATAGATAAACTTAAGCGCCTATTTTAACTACAAATTAGTTATCTCCGCCCTACAATTTCGTTAGCTTGAACAGTCATGAAAGATAATAATATAATAAGTAACATATACTTTTTGGATGTAACAACATCAAATAGGTAAGTATTAATTCTAAAGTACTACAACTAATCATACAGTCATTTTAGTTTTATGCGTCGAAACGTAAAAAATATTGATCATAAAAATTCTTAAGTTCTGCTAAGCTTAGAACTTGTTATTATTTGAAAATGTCGATAAGTGGTGTCGATAAACTTTGAGAAGTAAACTATTGGTAATATTTTAGATATAAAAATTTTAATGTTTGTACTCGTATACTTAAAAGTACCTACTAATAAAATGTTTAATATACTTTATTCACTTATTATTTATTAAGCGTACATACTGAAGGTATTTTTTTAATGAATGATAACGGAATGGTAACCCCGCTATCGGTATACACCGACGGGGCACCAATAAGGGATGATAGGTGAGGATGAAGCAGGTCAGTTAGCCCATCGTGACGAATTCAACAAGAATCGTTCACAATGGTTTCCAGGGGGAACCGCGGGGAAATCGACCTGGATAGGATATATTGCTAGCATTGGGACAAGTAGTCCGCATTACTAACAATCTCTTACCCCCACTGAAGGTATTTGAATCAATACATACGAGTAAATAGACCATAATGTCTAGATTCACTAACAGAAGTAGAGTCAAAGACTTAATTTCCTTTATCCTAAATTCTTATAGACCGGGGTTACAACCATTTATATAGGTACAAGTAATAATATGTTAAATATACTAAATTAATTATCAGTTGCACAGATTTACTATTATTATTATCTAAATAAATATGTGTTGTATGTATGTATGTAAGTATTGTAGCTAATCGTGACGTCTATAAATGGCGTCAACATATTCATGGTTAGATTTACCATTCCACTGCTAATCATTAGAATAAATTAATACATTCAAAAATTTACATAATCATGAAGTAGGTTGAGAGCAATGAATGGTATAAACTATTTTAAATAATAAACTGGGTATACCCAGTTATACTTATTTGTATTATTGTATAAGTACATAAATAATATCGTAAACGTCATAGCATAAATATGTTCATGAGTAAGTGTAAGTAGTAAATATTTTGGCAATTCGCAAAATCGTATCTATTCCTTTTTACAAGAATTTTGATACTGTGACATTTCAGGATATTTGTTTTATCCTATAAAATCGTGAAATTGCACAAAATATTTGCTTTGAAACTTTGCCCACCTAATCTTGATGTTTATGTTTATTGCTTTTTATAATCTGTTACTATATGTACGACTTTGCCCTTAATTAATCATTGTTTTTATTTTTAAAGTCTTCTGTAATACTTATGTCCAAGTCTAAAGTCTTAATACAGATAGAATAGGAAAAAAAAAATTACTTTTCTAATAAATACAAATCAAATACCCTTAAACTCAAATATAATAATTTACATGGGATATAGTATATTGAGATACTGGGAAATGATATTGTATATATCGTATATTGAATTGTATATTAAAAAAGAAAAACAGTTTCTAGATTCAAATTCATCAGCTAAGATCAAAACTTTGATATTTATGTGAATTATTTGGAATTGAAAACATTGCCTAAAAGTTGTTCGCATAATTAAAATGAGAAGTCGTAAATCATTATATAATAAGGGTACCCATTATTTGCAAAAATGGCAGGGTTAACAAAAAATAAGACAGTCTATAAAATGTGAGATATAATATAGTAATTTAAAAGTTTTTTTTTTCTTATAAATTCTTACTTGGTTTGCTTCATTTTGAAATAAATTTATGTCCTTCCTTGTTTCCTTCTAACTAAATTACTAGTATATTGCTAGAACTCAATAGCCAATTTAATGAAAATAGCCTTAGACTCAAACATCCCATGTGATACATACATACATATCGGTCATGCCCGTCTCCCACTACGGTAGGGAGAAACAATGGAATGCCAAATGCTTCGCTTCCAGGGGGGAAAGGGATTGTTAGTAATGAGATTTAACAACCTTATTGCTAGGAATTCACCCTATTAGGTCGACCTCTACGCGGTTCCCCCTGGAAACCATAGTGGTTATTTCTTGTTCAAGTGGTCACTATGGGCTAACTGACCTGTCATCATCCTCACCTGTCACCCTTCACTGGTGACCCGTCAACGTACACCGATAGCGTAGGCGGGGTTACCATTCCATCATCACCCATTAAAAAAAATACTTCGCTTCCTATAAAGTCAAAACATTGAAAAAATTTATATGCACTATTATGTACGAGTACATGTATTTCTAGTTCTCAAATAGATATACATACTCACAAATTGGTTCTGTACAAATTTTATCAAAATCGGTTTTGGTAGTTTAGTTTTTAAATCAATATAATTGGTTTTGCCACAATTGTGTTTACCAATAATTTGACCTTTATGATATTACTTACAAACGTACGTCAATGATCCTATTAATAGACCCATTTTTTTTTTATATTTAATTCCATTTGTTTATAATAGGGAATTTTAAAGAAAATAACACCTTTTTTTTATAAAACTTTAATTTCAAATAATCTCATCGAAAAAAAAACTTTGATCTCGACGTGATTTGAACACGCAACCTCCTGATCTGGAGTCAGGCGCGCTACCATTGCGCCACGAAGTCGATGTAAAATCATTCGAAATTCACCTATTCATGTTTAAAATTACATGATTCTTATAAAAAATTATGTTTTTAAGATACACAATATCAATTTTATTTACAATATTATTTTCTTCATACAGAAATAACAGATTATATATTATCATTATATTTAAATAAAAAGCTAAAATGCGCCATCTGTTCTCATTTTATCTAAAGTCTACACTATGATGCTTACGTTCAAAAGATTTCAATCTAGTTAGCAAAATTATTACAAATTCATTAATTTATACATAAAAGGCATTAAAATTTGTTTTATGTATTCCATTATACTAGTTCTTGATTATATGTAAAAGATAAAATAGTTGCCTATTTTCTATAATCAAACATAAAATATATCTCTGTGAGTAAATATTGTTTTTAATCAATTTTGTTATCAATAAATGTACTTTCTTTAATTTTATTTAATTATGTATATTGTAAATAAGTATATAATTCTATGAATAAAATTTGAAGTGCTGTATTAATGAAGTAATAATCAATTTCAATATGTATCTTGTTAGCCTTTGTGGCCTAATGGATAAGGCACCGGCCTCCTAAGCCGGGGATTGCGGGTTCGAGTCCCGCCAGAGGTACAAAAAACTTATATAATCTTTTTCACTTTTTTATATATATTTTAATATATAAAACGGCGTTAATTGAAGTGAAATGAACAAATGTATGAAAACTAAAAGATACCTTCTTACGTAGTATTATGATTCTATAAACATCTATTATAGTATAATGATTCTATAATCTATCAATACCAAATGTAAAATCCACATTCATTTTTAATTTCTAGATTTAGTAACTCAATTTTCTTAAAAATCTCATGTTTTTAATGGCGATAAAAAATGTAAGGAACAGGGTTGATTAAATACCCAGTGAAATGTGATAAAGAACATCCTCGGACTATGAAAATCTGTGAAATATTTCAAGATGATAGACATAACAAATTTTTTTTAAGATTCCTTTGAAGATTTTGTAATTTATAACTGGATCAGATTTTACTCAAACCCACATCTTATTACCGTGGAATTTTCAAAAGCCCATATTTAATATAAATTATCTGCTTACTTTAGAGTATTGCTCATCTCATAAAGAACTTTCGTACGAAATATCAGACTTGACAGATTTTTCAATCCCGTTTAGAGAACTGACTCAATGTAAACTAAATTGTTTAAAAAAATAGTATCCCGGCATATTAGGAACTTACATAAACAAGAATTATTAGTAAAACATGACACTTTAGCATGAAATCTCTAGATAAATTTCATCCCCTACGCACCCAAGTTTAGTTTCTTATAATAATTACAGATCAGGTAAATTGACCTGTATTTCTTATCTTCAAAGGTATAAGATTTATAAATAGTCTTCGTTTTCGCTTCAGTTATAAGTTATAATACCCAGATACGAGATTCATATTCATACACGGATATACGTCACATCTATACGTATTCACAATTATCTAGGTGGACTTCTGTGTCTGAGAAAATTCAAAGTAAATAATAATACAAATAAATAACCAAAGTATATTTTAATCTCCATAAAGAATATACATTAATTTTACCATAACTATGTAATAAGAAATTATTTAATATGGCTAGTATGAATATTTCACTGTAATAATGAGATTACAACTAATAGTGCTATTGGAATCCAAATTGGTGAGGAACGAACTGCTCTTCCAAGTAGAGGTAAACACCTTAGACCGCTGTGCACTATATAATATGATACTTCATTTGGAAGACGGCAATCGGTATCTGTTTAAAAAAAACATATATTAAAATTGAATGAAATGTTTATTTTAAACAATATACAGGCGACTATAATCCTTAATGAGATAGTCAAGAGGCAATATCTCCTTTGTTACGATTGTGGTGAATTTAGCACTCGACATTGTCCACATTTCACTTATTTATTATTATTGTTAATTTAATATTCACTCGTATTAAACAAATAATATTGTTGTAATATGTAATAAATAATTTTACAGTATGCTTATAATTAAGGTCACTTGAATAAAAAATATTTATATATTTATTGTTTTAAATTGTATATTTTTTATTTATACACTTATAATAATAATAGTAAGATATTCATATTTTCGTAGACTTCTACAACGGCGCCGTGGCTTAGTTGGTTAAAGCGCCTGTCTAGTAAACAGGAGATCGGGGGTTCGAATCCCCCCGGGGCCTAGTTGATAAATGTTATAATTTTTGTTACTTTTTCTTACTTGCACATAAGTTTGATGACGAACGGGCACTGGCCGTAAAATATGCTGGAAGGCAATAATTTGTGGTAGTACACGGAGTAGTTAAGTTGAAGATGTGATATTCTCTGTCTTTCAAGGTTTGGCAGCTATGAGACGTTTCTGCTCCACGATATGTACAAACTAATAACTCTCCTTGTCCATTGTTGCGAAACTTAAAAGTAATTATAAAAAAGGATTATTAAAAAAAACTTCCTACAAGATTCAGTTATTCCTGGTCTTTTGTTATAAATATATATTGTATGTTAAGTATTGTATAGATGGCGCTAATATTTTTCTGACATAAATGTCTAGGTGGCGCTAATGTATAAAGCGACCTCTGTGATTAAAAGTTAAAAGGTTGATTTAGATTTAGTTTTACTATTTTTACATAAATTCTTAATAATTATTATATTAGATATTGGTTCATATTTATATTTAGTATTATTTTTATTTAAGTATATATATTTAGTTATTTTATATTGTCATGATGAATATTTTTCAGAAAGGAAAGTACATATACATAATGCCATCTATGATAACTATTAAAGAATTTCAAAAGATTATCCTATTTATTAAGGACTACCTTTTACTTGTGACGTCATCCGTGTGACTGGGATATATTTTCTGACCGTATGTATGTATGTGTGTACCAAATTTCATAAAAATTGATTAAGCTGTTAAGATGCTATAAAGTAACAAACAAACTCACTGTCATACATAATAATAGCCAGAAAGCGTCCAGACTTATACAAGCAGCCATACTTAAGAATAATATTTTAATACTGCGGGATCGAACCCTTAACCGTCTGAGGATAAGCCACAAAGCATTTGCGGGACCTGTGGTGACAGTAACATAATTCGAAACAATTAACTTTTATTAAAAAATGTTTTTCATTTTATTTTGTATTTTTCTATAGATTTAAAGCACAAACAATTATGTAGTAATACTTTTTTTATGGATTATTTTTTTCTATTTTAAAACAACTTACTTGAATGCTAATAAGTTGTTGTTCTCTCAAATAAAAAGGGTGTATCCGATAAGCCATGATTCGGTTCGGCAGCACAAAATCCTCATATTCCACTTGCTCAAATACTGTCCCATTGAACGGACAATGAACTCCTATGACGCTCGTCGGAATTTCACTTTTAACTAAATTAGTATCGACAGATTTGATGACGTCTTGTACATTTGATGATGGCAGCTAAAAACATGTTTATAGTATCGTTCAAGCTGTTAAAAACAACTAAAAATAGCTTGAACGATAATAATGAAAATATACAGAAATATCAGTAATTTAATGGTAGATTAGGTGCATAAATTATGGATAGAACCTCTTTCTACGGTTAGATACCACAAAAAAGATGTAACATTTACATTACAGAAGGAGGTAAGACTGACATGCAAAATATATGTCACAATCAATATTAACATTATTTACTTATTTATTCTATGTATAAATAGCTTTTTTATACAATTTAAAATGGCAAAGAGGCTGACGGTCCACCTAATGGAAAGTGATAACCGTTGTTTATATCTAACCATAGACACGAATAGCACCATTTACAAATAAATTAAATGATTATTAAAATGTGATGTTTTTATTGACCTGTAATAATGGTATAATCATAAAGTAAATATTTAATTTAAACAAAAGACATTAAAAAATACAAAGTCGTATAAAAAACTATAAATTGCATTATCATAAAGAGAAATAAAAAAAAGCGAAAAGAACCTACCTGCAAAAATAATTCTGAATAATCTAAGTATTCGCTGTTTATATTCTGAAATCCTTCGAGGTTCTGAGATGCATATACAAAATACACATCGAAGAAGCTAGCTCTCAGAGAGTTCATGAGTGAGGTGGCGCGATCTAGCTCAGCGGAGGAAGGCTGGTCGCTGGGACTCACGATGAGGACCACGGTGCTAGGGGCCGCACTAGCTTTAGCTTCCACATTCAAGAGAGTCTTGTTGCGAGAATATTCGATAATATTTGATAAGATGTTTCGAATGTTTAAGCGATTCGGCCCTAAAATAATAATAGAAATATACGTGTTCATGTACAGTATTTATTTTAATATTCGTAATTTTGTATTGTCCCTCATTCAGACGCTCTATATTCTGAGCGTTATGAAAAGAGATCTCTGTCGACATTTTTCTAAAAGACTACAGCATGTGGTTCTTCAAAAAAGAGACAAAGAGGTTTCTTCGGTCCCTGGTATTACAGGCGTTCATAGGCTACGGTAACTGCTTATCATCAGGTGGACCGTATGCTTGTTTGCCACCTTTGTGATATAATAAAAAACCGCACATTTTTCACTAACTCTGAAACAATTTTGATTATTTTTTTAAATATCTGAAAGTTAAACCCCTTCGATTTTGTTTTCTATGTGGATGCCATATTAATACTAAAAAGATTAAAATTAAGATTTTTTAGGAACCGATTAGGCTCATCGCACCTCAAAGGGGTGCAGCGAAATTATATATACATTTATTAAAAAAGGAAAAAAGAGTAAAACAAAATATTCTTGGAACTTTATCGCCCCCACAGATAGTGGGTCCAATTATGAATCCAAATCGTGTAGCGACTAACTTAAACACACAAAAAATTTATCAACATCGGACCAGCGATTTAGGAGTTCAGTAACATACAAACATACAGAAGACTTATATACATATATCAATACATACATTCATCAGTAAAATTAGCGATGTGCGAAAAGACAGTGGTCAAGTTATTGGACGATGGCACTATCCACTGGCCCGTATTACCGTGCAACAGAGCCAAGGTACTTCTCTGCATGTTTATTTCTAGAGCGCCTCCTAACCATCTAAAATGTAAATAAAGTAAAATGTAAATAAAATATTAAGAATTAACATTAAAAATGGTAAAGTGAGTTTGCTTGTTTCTCTAACATTTCTAAAGGCTCGACCAATCGTTAAGAAATTTGATTTATAGATACTATTTAAGATGAAATAAATATCAGCATATACAGTACTATATCAGCCGTTAATTGTCCACTGCTGAACATAGGTCTCTTTCTATTGTGGGGGAGGGGGCGGTTCCAGTAGTTGCCACGCTTAACACGGATTGGCAACCGCAGTTAGGCCTTGGGGATGTTTTAAGAGAAACACTGTTGCCCATCTCTTGACCGTTAAGTTCCGTTAGTCGCTTCATAAGACACCCACAGGAAAGGAAGGGGTGGCTAATTATATGGCGGGACCACACGGCAAATAGCAGCACATGCTGCCATTAATTCTTGTCAATCAACATATATCCCGGTCACGCAGACTAAGTCGTAGGTAAAAAGTATAACAAGAATAAATATTCGGGCGACTATAATTCCAGATGCAGTAGTCAGAGACGTCAATACATTGTAGTTGCATTAAACGTAATGTCGATTATAAAATTAATTTTCTCACATTTTGTCAAGCACTTGGAATCCAACGTTACAGCGTATAATGCCGCCAGCTCTGGGGTTATCTCTACCAATTGAAAGTATCATCAATCTCCGGTGATGAGAATCAAATGATAGTTTTGATACTTACAGTGTTTAATTTTACTAACTTTAAGTCGGGGTAAATTAGTTTAGTCTCGAGATGATCCCATCCTAAGTTGATCAAAAATATAATCAGTTTTTAAGAAATACATTGTTAAAACTCTAAGGTTAGTTATTCCTATTAGTCTTTATATAGGTTTGTTTGAACCGAAGCATTTGGCGTTCCATTGTTTCTGCCTACCCTAATGGGAGACAGGCGTGACAGATATGTATGTATGTATGTATGTCTTTATATAGTCACATATGGATAAGCATCATGAAAAAACTGACTCCGTTTTTAAACAGCAAACAAACTATATTTAAATAACAATTTGATTATTAATAATCGTCTTATCGTCGTATACCCTATACAACATAAACAATTAAATGAAAGCGAATGTAACCAAGTACCTATAGGTACTTGATAATGATGATGAAACCATAACAAGATATTGCAAAATATTTTTATCCAAAGTCTCAATACGTTCACACATGATGTGTGCTTATGATTAAATATTTTATACTACCCATTACATTAAATATACACACATAATTATTAACTGACGTCAGTAAAAATTTTGCGATTAATTGATAACAGTTTCGTCTTATCGACGTCGTTAGAGATATATCTCTGATTAATTATATACGTAAAATTGTAATTAAGATGGGAGATACATAAAAAAATATAAGTTGTTATAAGACCAATCACTATTGATCTTAATTTTGTTTGTCTGTAGGTATGTTCGTTCAGGCACATGTAAAACTATTGCACTAAATTGGATGCGGCTTTCGCAGTTTAGTTTAACACTAGCTTATGTCTTTTTCATCTCTAACAGTTCTTTTTCTCTTCAAATTTCATAGTGATTGGTTAAGTCGTTAAGGGGCCAAGAGATAATAAACAAGCAAACTCGCTTTCACATTTATACTAAGGATTTTAAATTTTAATAAGCTAATAAAGGTAATGTGTAACATGTAAATCAATGTCTTGACTGCTATAATAGTAACTATAAGGAATGTGTAGGAAAAATTGTAAACGTTAACCTAAATACCGGTTTATTTAATTATCGTAAAATGTGTGCAACACAAACTAGTGTGTTCGATAATGATCGGAATTTAATACGTGAACCTTGAAATTGACTCAACGGCGGATGGAAAATTGGCAACAGTTGTATTTACTAATTAAATTTTAGTGGTTATAAATATTACATAGTGTTAAACACCATAACACCTATAATACTATGTAATATATCTTTCATTAAAATCAAAATACGCATCTGATTCACCAATTATACCAATTTTATTTTATTATCATATTTTCGTGAACTATTTTTAAACGAGAACATCTGTACGCGATTTCTTATCGGTTACATTATTACGTAACGAAATGAACAGATTTTAGTTCAGATTATTACCGCTAGAGGCACTACAAGTTCACTATACTCATAATTCAGATGGTCTTTAAAGGTGAATATCATTTCACTAAGAGCATTCACAGGTAATGTTCTGTACATTATGTCATTGAATGCAAAGATGTAACAGTTCTAGTACAACATATAGGCAAAAAACGTATTATTATTTCATATAATATACTTATTAGTTAATATAATATAATAAATGTCAGCATAAAATGTAATATACGTAATGTAAAGTAATTTACCTACATGGTAGTAGCATCGTGGTATAGTGATGTACTGGCTTGACATATGAAGTCATAAGACTGAATTTCGAATAAGTTCGAATTTAACTGACTAAATTTATTTGTCAATTTCATATTCCTTCTACCTTTACGTTGTTGGGAACAGTATTAAGAATAACAAATTAATCAGAATAACGATTGTTACACCTTACCACGTTGATTTATAATATACTTATCAAAATATGAACAAGTCAAGTGTTTAACTGAGTAGTATCTATACAAGGGATTCCTTTGAGGGGAAAGGATTGTTAGTAATGTGAACTACCAGACCTATTGCTAGCAATATAATATACTGTTAGGGCAACCTCCATGTGCCCCCCCCCACCCCCGAAACCATAGTGGTAAATTCCAGGTATATTAATCATGATGGGCTAACTAATCTGCCTTTTCATTCTCGCCTATAATCTCTCACTGGTGGCGGGACCAGCGCATAACGTTAGCACAGGCGGGGTTAGCATTCCATTATTTATTAAAAAAAAGGGGATCCCTGTTCGAAGATCGTAATCGATCTAGGCACATAGACTACGTAACAAATTACTTACGACATAAACTGTTCCACTTCATAGCCTTTCCATGACCCATCAGTGGCTACTATTAAATCCATTACTGGAACGTTCGCACTGCTTTGGCAGTCTGTATGATATTTACTTAGTACAGTTGCTGAAACAATCAAAACCTTTTTTATACTACAGTTTACATGTTGATGACGTGCTAATTTATACAGAATATAAGGAGTATACAGTATCAATTCTCGGCGTACATTTTGATCCGTCATAATGGAATACTTTGAAATCCGTTGATGATAAATCATGGTTGCTGAAAATTGTAATAGTCATAGGTTTTGATCCCGCCCAACAAACATTCCTATTCATAAGTTTGAATTGGTCTTGAATACATTTTTTTATAAAAAAAGAAAACCTCAGATTTTTATCTTTATAAAAAAAAATTAAGTATTTATTTTCTAGTAGAAATAGCAAATCTTTTATTAGTTTAGAATTTAGTTGTGTAATGCAAAGAAAACTGCATTATACACGGTACACGTGATCATACAAATATGGGACTGAAACAAAGTTCGTCCTTGGGATAAAAAATATCCCCTGTATGTCCAACCATTTTCTCATTTAAAACCTGACCTCGTAATAACAGTTGTCAGTTATTAGGTCTACACCGACAAATTTCCAGTTAATATGCCTTTAAATGAAAGGAAGGTACGAGATCCAAGGGGGCGCCACAGAAGCCACGCAGTCTACTGACTGCGCATAAATCCAAATGTATTTGATCGCATCAAACCTCTCTTTAATACTTTAAACTGAACACTAGGACTGTGCTCCAAAGAGAATCTCTCATGGAAAACAAATTGGCATTCCAGATCCCCCATTGATCTTTTTTTATCGTCGAGAGGCGCCGGCTTGTCTAATACCGGCCCTCCTAAAAGATAGACTGTCAGATTGTTTGTCAATTCAAGTACTTAGTGTAAAGAAATGTATCTACTTACGGAGATAGTTTTCAAAGGCAGTAACAACTGCTTTGCTTATTCTATCCATTTCTTCGGTAGGAACATAGGCTGAGACCTGTGTTAATGACAAAACTCGAGCCAACCGCGATGTTTCCGTTAGAATTTGAGACGTGTTGAACATACTTTTGAATAAAGTTTGCCTGGCGCATGCGCGTACATTAGTATTAAAAGAAACCCCTTCGTCGGAGTAATACATTTCTAACACTTGCGAAAGTCTCAAAGTTCGCCGCTCCGCCAGCCATGTAGGTAAGTAATAAGCAAGGATTAGACCTGCAAGTTTATACATTATTTTATCATATTTTATTTTTAAATAATAATCTAATAATTTGTAACCTAATTATTTCTTTTAATACATTATTTTTCTTCCGATATCACAGAAATTACTCAATTATTCAAAAAACACTAAGTACGAGTATGGTTCGTACACAGCATCGACTTTTTTGTCCTCACTTCAGCAATTTCCACAAAATATTTAAGTACCTAAATATTTACATACATAAAACTTCATATGATTATTAACATATCATCATCATCTTCCTACCTTTATCCCAACTATTATTCAACGATAATTAACATATGTTTTATTAAAATTACCATTAATTATTCGTTCAGTATAATACGGTCACACGTCGTGCCATAATTTTTTCTCAGAAGTTGCTTAGAAGAGATTGCTATAGCGATAAGACCGCCTTTTGTACGATATTTCAATAACTAACTCCAAGAACAGTTAAATGTAGGCTATTGATATCCGACATATCAATAGCCTACAATATCAATATTCTTTGTGTTTACACAGCAACAAACATGAAAAACTAGCGTGTAAATACTTATACAATACAATAATTTAAATACTAACCATCTATACCACCTAATATTTCAGCGTCAGTGATTTGCCAATCCACAGTAATATTTTGTGGTAATAAATAATGGTCTCTAGGCAGAAGCGTGTCATTCCACCTATTGTTAGTGCCCACGACGAGATTCTGTGGCGACGGACCGTACCTTGGACCCTGATTAACCACAACTTCAGCTAAGTCACCTGTAACATTTTTATTTAACATTAATATTGTATGGTAATTGTTGACACATAGTGAGACTTTGAATTTATACTGAATATAAATATAATGTGCCGTGTAAATCTGGTCGTAGAATTGGCCACCTCCGCCTTTGTCGTGTCGTAAGAGATGATTAAGGGAACTTATGGTGGAGGGATGGACAGCAGCGTCCCTCTTTAAACATCACTAAAAGCCAAACTGCGGTTGCCAACTCGCCTGCCAAGCGTGACAACTACTGACTAAATTCCACTTATGGGGGAGGCTATGTTCAGCAGTGAACAGTTGATACACTACAATACAATAAATACATTGCCGGGTTAGCTGAGTTTTCCAACTACGCTACATGTCGTAAATTATAATTAGTTTAGAAACGATCGTTTACGAACGTTCATGCGTTTCGTAAACAATCTCTGTATTGACATTTGTTTATGATATCCATCGTCTCACGCTTTGATTTTGTCTTGAATCATTCTTTGAAAAATAAAGTATTCACATTAAGTACTCGTCTTTAAATATTAAATTGAAATCCAAGTGGGGGACCCAAGAAAATACGTAACGCTACAGAAATTACAATTCATTGATTAGGAATTTTTAATAAAAAATATACTTCAATCGTGACAAAAGTTGTTTTAAGATTAACAACCATAAAATTAACATAATTCCATGAAAAGAAAAAAAAACACTTAAAATTACTGATACTGACCTGCAAGCGTAGCAACCCATAAGTTGCTAATATCTACTTCTGGCGTTTCTTCCTGCTCGTTTGCATTGAACGTCTCTATTTCATTATACCATTCTTGTCTCGCTGCTGCCATCAGTGGTTCAGATATGCCGTCCCTGTATACGTTTTGATTGAGGATATCAGTGAGAGGAACCCTTTGAGATTCCAAGGATGCCGCTACAGCTGATACGATCGTACCGGGAGTGATAGGACCCCAGTTTGTTTGAATAACGCCCTCTTCTATTGGACAACGGCTGTTGATTCTGAAAATGTGGAAGTTGTATTAGTAGGGGCGTAGAGGTTTTGGATTTTCTTTGACAAAAAACTATTCCAAGCTCAGCCTTGTAATACTATCAAAGTACAGCTCGATATTGCGTCAGTTACTTTTTGTAATAGAGATAAACTCGTCACTTCCGAAAATATTTCGGGTTTGGATCACGTATTTCAAGGCCGCTAGAATTGACTATAACTTTACCACAACACAGCTAGTACTTTCTCAAATCAATCTACCGATTCACGTCTTACATGTACCTTAAACGAAAGATCAATCTTAATTTGTCTTTTTGAGCTCTCCATATTTAAAATCGTTTTACAGTTTTTATTCCCTAGTCAAAAAATAATTCTTATTACAGTCAGCGGTAGAGCATAATAAATATCAGAGCTATAAAACATTTACTGCTACGCTTCACCTATTATACGACCTATACATGACTAGATTAAACAATTATACTCATTGGAAGCCCATAAAATTGTTGGATTTTAAAGAATACCTCTTTAGAATGCTATAGCTTAGAGCGATCAATCACTTGATGCTTGAAACTAATTTTAATATATGTAAAGTCGATAAAACAGTTAAATTTACACAAAAAAATGGATTCTTTAGTCTAAAAAAGACTAGATTTATACCTACACGTAATGTAGTAACGAACTGCCCTGTCGCTTTCTAAAAAACCATTGTAAAGAAAATGTTAATCATTACACGCTGTAATTCTGACGGTCGAGAAACGTGTTAAATCGTCTATTACTGATAATAAACTATCAATAGGTAAAAACATTAATGTTCACCGACCTGGTAGAACTCTGTGTGCTCATAGTTTGCCTCTGCTGCGCAATCAAAGGGCAAACGATATTTTCATCCCCTCGTTCCCATCTCCGCACAGTTGTACTTAACATCTTATGCATGAGACATTTCTCTGGCAAATCTAATATGTCGTCTACAGTTAAAAGTTCCTGAGTAGGTAGAAATAAATCCATAAGGAGTTTATACTTGTAAAATTGGAATGCAGATGCTCTGTAGGGAAGAACGAAGTCAGTTTCGATGGCAGTGGCTCCTTCTTCAATACCATCTAATCGAAGGCTGTAATTGGTAAAATAAGAGCTGATATTGTTGTTCCATCATAGGGTGTTTACTATTTTCTATAATTTTACTTTGATCAATGCATGACAATGGGACGATATACTTTACTGGCTTTTACCCGCGAATTCATCCACGTGACCGGGATATGTTTACTGACCGAGATAAAAAGTAATATATGCCTACTCTACTCCATATAGTACCATTACTACCACCAGTCAGTCCCATTGCTAGCAGTATACCCTGTCACGTTGACCTCCACGTGGTCCCCATCGTGCCGAATTCCAAGTGTATTCATCATGATGGGCTAACTGATCTGCCTTTCATTCTCACCTATGATCCCTCACTGATACCCCGCCAGCGTATACCGTTAGGCAGGGTTACCATTCCATTATCAACCATTCTACACTTGCACATTTATAACATTAATAAGCTTGGATAACCAATTGTAGAAGGAGATTATCAGTAACAAAGACTAACGATCTTATTGATAACAATATATCCTGTCAAGTCGATTACTATACAACCGCTCTGAAAACCATCGTGGTTTTTTCCAGTTAATTTCATCACTTCTTACTTCATCTTCACTCATCACCCGTCATTAGTACTTCGGTAGCGTAAACAATAGCATAGACGGAGTTACTACTCGGTTATCACTCATTAAAAATCCGATAACTGACGGGGAACCTACCTACCTAATATTAAAGGTAGGTAACAAATCTAGATAGATTTGTAGATATAAAGTGAATATTACTCACCTTCTAAGTAAAGAAGTAGACAAAAGACGTGTATCAAGTTTAGAATCCACCTCTATTTTTTTGAGTAGGGACACAAACACGTCTAGTCGCCGTGGAGCCCCTAAGGGCAGGCCACCTCCTCTATAACATGGCACTAAATGTTCTGGTACACTTGGCAATACTACACTATCAGCATCTAAGGAAAATAATTAAAACATATTGATATATTTTCTTACATAGATAAATTTAACATTATCTCCTCTTTTCCTGTGGTCCTGTTTTACTACAAATTCAGTTTCACTGTAAATACATAAATAACAAAGTAAAACTAAATTTTCGGAAATATTCAAAAAGAAGAATAATTTCAGGTACACGCTTTTTTAATAAACATTGCAAAATACACACCTAGTTAACGAATTATTGTTAATCATATAAAATGCCATTTCTAAATGAACATAACGTAATATATAGTGTAGTGTACTTACAGTAAATGTACAAAAAAGCAAGAAACAATTTCTTCATTTTTTCTTTTCATTACATTTAGTTATTTTGTAAAAACAATTACAGTACACACATCAGTCTATCGCGCCCTAGTCGATTATCTTTTTGGTAGGTAATCAAGTGATAAGATAACGATTCTGAATGTTGCCCGTATACATTGTCTTTATAATAATCTAATTAGGTGTTCATATTGAAAATTTTTGTTTTATTTTCAATCTAAAGTAATTAATTAATCGACATAAATTCGTCAATTATTTGTTTACGTGTATGTGGTGGGATAACTTGAATCTGAACCGATTTTGTTGATTATTTAGACAATTACTAGTTTATTCTCTAATCGGTCCTATCTTAAGATTTTAGTAGTTACGTTAAGATATATACAGTAAACATAAATTGAATCCCTAAATATGTGATGTAGATAGTATACAATGACCATACATTTTTGTATAAATTCCATAGAATGGCGAAATATACACACTTGGTTAATGAAATAATAAAATTTACTATAAGCGATTTCCACCGCTTTTGTTGCCTTAAAATGGCCACACTCGCCACTGTAGCGTATTTATTATATAAAATACAGGTAATATTGAAATTAATAAAAATTTAATTAAAAATATTTTATTTCATTATTGACAACAATCAGTACTTAAATCGTGACTTTTTAATTTCACATCATCATGAGTTTTATTCTTCACATCTTAATAAAATAAATTCGTGTACAATTTTAATCGTAAAAAACAAAAATAATTTGATCGTTTACAAAGATGGTTACTAGCATAGTTGTTTGTTTTGTTGATATATAGGCGATGTTATATTGACAGCAGGAATTAGTATAACAAAACTATTTTTGATTGAATACATAGAGACAATATCTAGGTAATTATTTTTAAATTTGGTAGAAAAATTAACATACTAAAACATGGTACACTTAACAAAATATTACGTTTTCATTGTTTTAGTGACTTTTAGAATGCAAACAAGCTGCTATTTTATCGCCCGATTACGGAGAAACAAAAGGTAGGGTTATAATTTTGACCGGTATGCACGTATTTGGGTGTATGTTTATCTGTTTTCTCTAACTTCTAAATTACCTACTTATCATATTTTAACAAATGAGGTATCGTTGGAAGCCTTTTGATCGTCTCCTGGTTATAGGGCATGTGAAGTCACATTTTTTATTTTACATTTTAATTAAATATGGCGCTACTTAGAAATCATTACCTAAAAAAAAATTTATGATACGATGTTTGTATCAAATGAAAGGGCTTAATTAGCACACTTCAATAATATATACGTTAGCTGTTGTTCGCGGTCATTCTTGCATGTACCCGATAATTGGGAATAATTAGAAGAAAACAAATAATTTTAATCAATATAAATAGAAATCACGCCTCAGATGTGAGTCCAACATATTTTTTTCTAAATTTTAAGTGAAAATAAGTTGTCACAAAATTATTACCCCAAATTAATTGAAATAAAAAGTTCAAAAACTAAAACTACACGACGAAAAATAATAATAAGTATGAAATTTTTTCTTATTGTCATATATATGGTGCCCTCTGGACGTATAGGGTAGTTAATATTGCTCTAAAGTTTACAATCAGTTACTATTGTTGCAATTTTTTTTTATCGTAGGTGGCATACGACCACGTCTATTGTCTGAACATCACTATAAATATGTATTCAATACATTAAATGAATAAACATGTGAAAGTTGCTTATTTAATAGATAATAAATATTTAAAAAGTATGCACATAATTTCAGATGAGAATATTTTTTGTTTCATACTTTTAAGGGCGTGATTTTTCAGTAATGCGGCTTTAGTTTTTGAACCTACATATAACGGTTTATTTTCAAAACTATATTTTTTCTTAAAGGTTACTTCCGACACCAAAATATAACAAAGGATATTTTATGTTGCGAGTTTGTGCGATCGGATATACACAAGGGTGTGTTTTCACCAAATCCAATAATGTTCCAGCGTATACCGTTAGCGCAGGCGGGGTTACCACTGCATTATCACCCATTAAAAAAAAATGTTACGTTATGATCAGTAGGTATGTTTGGTTTATACTGATCCTAGGGCGGAGGGAGTGTTAATGGCGGTATTATTTGATGTCCATAACCACAGATGATTGTCAATTAGTATCACTATCTAACAGGTGAACCATCAACTTGCCTCATTCAACCAACTTAATACAATATATCTGCAAACTAAAATGTAGGTTATTTATATGTTAAATATACATAATACACATTCACATTAAATAAACTCAATCATACATTAGATATCATTAATAATTTAATTTTGTTACACTAATATCCATCAAACCTTGTGCAAAATAATTTCATAAATTTTAAATGCAATTTTAGACTTAAATATAAATAAAAAACAACATTAAATAAAAAATGCTTATCATTAAGCGTTTTTTATTTAATGTATATTACATTAAAAGTACATTATTATACATGGCGGCAAAATTAACTAAACAATATATTCCATTTTTATTAAGACAATTTTCAATTAATACGAAATTTGTTTTCTCTAATAGCTCCATTAAGGCATAAGGTAACAAAATGCCTTTGTAACTAAAAGAACACGGCATAATTAATATATTTTTTGTTCAATACTAAATACTTTGTGGTATTATTATACTGATCACAACACCTTATTCCAAATGTGAAATCTGGGTTAAGTATTCCCTAAGAGTCTTGACATGTAATATATTTCAGAAACGAATTGCATACAAGTCAATACTGGCCCTTACGTAACACTTGTACAATTACATATATAAATTAAATAAAATCCCATTTTGGTTTTAAACTAATTATAAATAAATCACAAAATGTCATTATCGTAGGACTAGTTTGGCAGGTTTACCATCCACTTGGCGTGAAGTACCGTGCTTTAATGTGAACTCTCTCTTAATATATGCAAAAAGTAAATCAGTAATAAGAAATATCTGTGCTGTAGCAAATGACAGTGTTACTCCAAAAAAGAAGTTGGCATTTGCCGAGCCCGAATATATCCAGAGGTGCCACACTGTTGGTCCCAACGCTGATGTGATGATAAAGGCACAACCCACTATGAATTTTTGCTGCATAACTGTAATAAAAATGAAGTGTGCTTTTAAATTCTTAGATTATATAGATAGATAAAAAAAAAACCATAATTTTGTACAATGTATTTTACTACTAAAACGTCATATCTGATTTATTATGTAAATGTATTCACAGAAACACTGTCTAAATGGAATTAGTAATAATTTGGTACTCTATTAATTGTTCTTTTATTATATTTGTATGTGCTAGCAATATACCCTGCCAGGTAGATCTCCACATGGTCTCCACTGGAAACCATAGGAAAATTGAATTTCAGGCAGGTTCATCATAACAGACCTGCCTTTTCATGCTCACTTATTGTCTCTCATTGGTGTTCAGCAAGTATATACCATAAGCACTGGCAAGGTTACCATTCCAATATATATCCATTAAAAAAAAGCAGACTGTACTGTTCAATAATTTGTTTGCTAACATTTTTATAAAATTCTATTAAAATATATCTAAGCTCCTCAGAGTAAACTTTTTTAGATTAGCTTTACATATATCAAAATAAATATAAGATATTAATACATTCTATTCATATTTAACTAATTACATATTTAATATATACATACATGTGAATAGGTGTTTCCACATAGGTAAGAGTGCCATATAAAATCCAACATCACCAATACATGGGTAAGATCTGAATATAGTAGACAATGCTACAAGTACAGTTGCTAAAAGTACTGGCTCCTTTTTAAATCTCAATGTTAAAGGAATCACATATAGGGCAAGTGCATTGATTTGGAAAGCACACACAAACAGCAGTCTGAAATGCTCAAACATCTCTGTGAAGAAATACCAGAACAGACCAATATTGGGCTTCAAATCAGGCACAGTCAATCTGGAATAGATAATATTTGTATTATGTTGAGTGTTTTTGAGTATATATAAGTTCATACTCATACTCAAAAAGACCATATACATAGTTGTATAGTCATCTATATAATTCATTATTTAAACATTGTGAGTTTTACTCATCGACTTAAGTCATTCAACTACATTTTTTCATACATTCAATACCCTCATCAATTATAAACTGATTTTGATTCTTCATATTAAACAGAATTGTTAACATGTTGATCAAAATGAAATCATTTCATATTTTGAAATTCCTAAATTTTTATACAACTTAGAATGGCAAACAACAGCCCACCTGATGGAAAGTGGTAACCATTGCCTATAGACATTAGCAGTACTATGGACATAACAAAGTATACTGTTATGCTCATGATACTCTCTCTTTCCTGTTGCCATTCCAGAGGACTAAGGTGTTATGGCTCTGTACCCTATAAATTCACTGCCCTATCCCACCCTTCAAACCTTATTTATACTCTAAATAAATATTTCTTTACTTAACAAATTTATAATATGCCCACATTTTTATTATAAATAAACTTACATGAATCCATAAGTATCATATACATATTCATAAGATCCATCCATAATATATGCAGAAATATATATCAGGAAACCCCAGCAAAGCACAAATACTAATAAGGTTTTGATGTAGGAACATTTGTGGCAGCCTTTGTTGACCTCGGCCAACAAAATTGCAATGGGTACAATTAACAGTACAGGGTATAAAGCTTGGTGTGTTGCAAAAGCAACAAACACACAAGCCAGTATTCTGTGGCCAGTGGACGCTCCCCACAACGAAGCCGCTACTAATAAATTTTGTATCACTGTTGTAGTCATTGCAACACAGTTCAACACTGAGTATGGATTAAATAAATACACTGATAAGACATATTCTGAAGCTTCTTTCAATTGAGAATCATTCAAAAGCATATTTTTCGATTCTTCAGATACTTCTTCCAATTTCTTATCTTGAGAGTCTTTAAACATATTTATAAATGCTTTAGAAGTACGGTACAGCAAGTAGGCTGTAAGCAGATCCAGTACAGTAAAAAGTGCTGGCAGAATAAATGGTATTCTTTTCATCAAGTAGTAAAAGAGAACAAGCATAATAGGAGATTCGTGAAAAGAATCGCCTTCATATGGGTTTATATTGTGACCATACAAATAGACGCCCTCAATTAACCTTTTCCAGGAGTTCAGAGGCGTTGCTATTTCAACCCTATTCGCTATAGTTTGCCAATAATCTATGTGAATTAACCAATATCTCACTAAGCCGGCAATTAAATACTTCAATATTACAGCCATAATTTGGTTTTGATATTTCTTTCATTCGAAATATTTATCAAATCACAAATGAAGAGTAAAAACACATTTTTAAATATACATCAAACTTGACATTGATTGACATGACATTATCGAAGTATTGACATTAGGTGACAGTTTATAACAGTGTTGCCAAGTTGTAATATATTTATACATTGTGCGAATAATTACTACTTAGATACTACATCTAATACTTTACCCACTGCTGTATAAAAAAGCTAATTTATTCTAAAACGTTTTCTATCCAACTGACAATGATAATATACCGTGGAGTCTAAAGAGTCAATCTATTTACAAATCTTGTAACTAAGTAAATAATGAAAGCAGTTACATAATGTGCTACGCTATCTTCTGGTGATCATTTGTTAATTATAAAAAATATTTTTGTTGTTATATAGCACAATCGCTTCGTACCTGCTAAATGAGTTATATGCACTACCCTGTTAAACACTAAGATTATTAAACCACATCTACAACGATAATAGATCATTTAGGGTGTTTTTAGTTAAGTAAAAATGGAATAGTACCTAACTCCGCTTGCGCTTTTGGTATATGCTGACAAGGCAGTAGTGATAAACAACAGGTAAGGATAAAAACAGATCAGTCGACACATCATGAAGAATTCGACAAGAATTAACAACGCGGTAGTGGACCTGACAAGATATATTCCAATGGAATCGTTAGAGCCCATTACAAACAATCCCTTTCCCTTCCGCAATTAAGGTTGGGTATATCTCACCCCATATGTTTCAAACATTTGAAAAAGGTTGAGAGAGACCTATAAACTTAAATGGATATCTAAATAAAGCAAATAATAATAAAAATAATATATAAAAAGAATATAAAACAATAATGAAGAATTTATGTAACGAATTGAATAATTTTTATAAGTTTATTTTATTAAGAAAGAAATTGTTAAGATTTATAATGGGAAATAAAAGGTTTTTTTATTTATTTATTCATTTATTATATCTCACATCAGAATTGTCGGATGCTTATCTTAAGATGCAAATGGACCAGGGAAGCGGGCTAGATTATGCGTAAAGATGTCTGAGAGTACATAATGTGCCTTTTTGCCTAGACTAGACCCCCCCCCCTGGAATAAAAACTTAAATAAGCCATATAATAACAATGGACAGAATTAATTCTATTTTAGTTTCTAAATCCCTCAGCAGGGGCAGCACCAGTGTTTATTTTCTAACAGGTTTTGAATAATATTATAATCTCTAATAGTTTCATGTTTTACAAAATTTTTAATTAAATAAAAATTAAGATTAACTGCTCATTTCAAGCAACTTCCAGCTATCACAAAGTGTTTGTAAGATATGTAATCAGAGGTCTTTATTCTGGAGCTTAGGTCACTAGTTATTTTTTTAGTCACTCACTAGATAATAATAGTAGCGATTGGTAAAGGATGACTGAATGCATTGTCACCAGCTTGATAATTCATATTTATAAATTTCAATTCATAATTTCAAATTAAAATTTCAGCTCTTGATTTATTACTGGTGTTTTTCATCACTGTAAAATTAATCAAATATTCAAATTGACTCATAAAGTATATATTTGAGCTCACAGCACCACTCATCATCATCATCAATACACCATTTAGCCAACAATTTACAATAAGTTCTTTAAAAAAGGGCCCTTATGTAAGAGAGATACTAAAATTAATAAAGAATCGCTTTAAATCTGACTTTGGAATGAAACGTGGATTCCCGGTGAATTTTTTTCATCATCAGATGGGCGCAGTCAAAAATTTGTCCAGAAGTGCCAGGCACATAAAACTGACTCTATAATTTGCCGCTTTATATAGGTACTATTCTAAATAAAAATAAAAAATCATTATAATTTTTTATGTAACAAATTTCATAACAATAGCGCCTTATAATGTCATTATATAAGCAAATATAAAAGTTATTTTTCTTTGAAAAATATAATACATTCTTAATTAAGTATGATAGATTAAATAGTTATAACAAATAATAAACTTATAATAACAAATAGTCCAATGCCATGAGTACTTAATAAATATCTACAAAAAATGTAGATTTTACCTTATAGATACTAACTAACTTAATTAATCCCATTACCTTATACTTATTTTACGCTATCTACACAGTAAATCAATAATCAATTTGATATTCCATCCAAAATAGGCCCTATTTTATATACGGGCTAATTATTGTCTATGTACCTAACAAATAAGTACTATGTGTTTGCAAAATAACGCGGCGTTTTTCGTTCCTTCTTTAATCTTTGTATTTTTGGTATCACAGACAAATCATTAATCACATATTTCTTTAATTTTGTATTTATAGAACAATCGACTAATTTAAGTGGGTATAACAGGAGCGAGAATTATCTACATTAATGTGTGCCAAAATACAAATGTATGTACAAAAAATATGAAATTAGTAATTACAATCACGATAAGGCAGGAAATAATTGATTGTAAGGTATTTTCAGAAATATTTTGTTTGCAATTCGAACTCCAATTTTGTTCCAGTTGGCTTGTGCCAACGGCAATAACTCTCGATACATCAATCTCCAATTATTGTTGCTATTGATGAATCTGTTTCCTATATCAACTGAAACAAAAAGTAGAATATGAATAAATAGTCTTTATTCTTATCATTTAACTATTCCATAACAATCCATTTCTGACTATAAATTAAGCGAAGGTAGATGACCCCAAAATTTCAGTTCTGGTCAATAGATGAAAATTGATGATGCACCCACTTATGATAACGGTGTATAATAGTGGGGCACTAGTGGAGGATGAAATGATCAGGATAAAGTCAGGTCAGTTGGCCCATCACGGCGAAATCATTATAAATTTACCACGATAGTTTTAAGTGGGGTTCTCGTAGAGAATCTGACAAAATACAGTGGTACCAATAATCCACATTGCTAACACTTCCTTCCTAAGCCTTCACCATGTAGAGGTCCACGTAGAGGATAATGGAATGATAACCCTGGCTGTACTATCTGAATTTGTTCGCAGAGCATCAGTGAGAGATGATAGATGAAGATAAAAGCAGGACTTGACAGAGTTTTAGCAAAGGAACTATTAGTCTCCGTTACTAAAGAAAAACGGTACTACGATAACAGACGGCGGAAGGAAAATATTAAATTTGCAAGCTCATAAAGGCAAACGCCGTGTGTGCCCCGACATAGAATGGGCCACCCCTTCCTTTCCCATGGGTGTCGTAAGAGGTGACTAAAGGAGGAAGAAGGATGGGCAGCAATGTCCCTCTTAAAAAATCCTCAAAGGCCTAACTGTGGTTGCCAACCCGCCTGCCAAGCGTGGCAACTACTGGCAAAACTTCCCTTATTGGGAAGGTTTATATCCAGCAGTGGACAGTTAATCATTGAAATAGTAAAAAAAAGGCAAATGCAATATAAGATTATTTCTACTAGATGCACAATTGAGATTGTCACGATCTTAATTCAAGAACAGAAAGTAAAAGTAAAGAGAAAGTAAACATAATGGTTGTTTAGGACTGCTTCTTATGATAGTCTCTGGGGAGTCCTATTTTCCGCAGTAGTATACGTAGAATATTTTCCTTCTGTTTGTAAGGGGCTGTTAAGTATCTACATTATTATACATTTCTGTTACATTGTCTAATAAGATTTGCAAGTCGTCATAACACTACACAAACTAGTGGTGGGTTTATTATGGTGGAAAATAGCGAGTATTAGTCTACATGACTTGCTTAAATAAATATCATGCAGATACGTCAAACTGTTCGTGTAATTAAAATGTAATTGTTTAATAGTTTTATTTATTTATGGGATGTGTATTTTTTAATTTAGCTGTTACTAATGATAACTTGCCACTATCATATTTAATTGCATGATATATTATTGTCATTGAATAAAATAAATAACTTTAAATTTAAAAACTTTTTAACTTTAAATTTACATTTAGACACAGATAAAGTGAATCTATGATAAAAAAAAATATAATTATTATAAATTGAGCATAGTGTAAATATAAACATGTTTTTGAGTTTAAATTAAAGTACTGTAGTTTGAGTAAACATATTTACCCAATGGAACAATGCGTAATTGTTTGTTACGATAATGGTATGCTTTGAATATTGCTTGTAGAAAAATAATAATTTTCGAATTATGAATCTCTTATACATGACTCTGGCAGAAATGGTCGTAAAATTGCCATTGAGAAAAAAAAAAGATTTTAATACTAAATAAACAACAACAAAAAAAGACGAAATATAAATACTTACCTAGTTCTCGGCTCTCAGGGTTATCATTTGATAAATATGACACCATATTTCCGACATCTGGCCTCATATAGAAAGACTTTATTCGCATATATGTCTCGTTGTCTTTTTTCTCAGGGACGCCCTCTAATTTCCAGGTATATACCAAATCAGCTAGAACAATTTCATTTTAGCACTTAGAAGGTAACATTTACGTTTGACGAACTTGAAGGAGTAACGTCTACTACTAACACTACACTATACTATTTCACATTGGAAGTGCAGCGGATAATATTTGATTTTAAACACTGAATAAAAAGTAGACTCAGCTTGTTCTGAGCTTATTAATGCGACAAGAAAAATAAATACTATGAAGTTCTGATTCCGTATTGAAAATAATTTGCAGTTTAGGTAGGCAATTCTAAAATGAATTAGGTATTATTATACGAACTCATGGTGCTATTGAAAGACCCTTTGGCGGCAATCTTCAACGAATTATAGCGTCCTTCGCCTTGGTATTGACCGGTCACAAACACTTTTGGTGTAGTAAGATCAACTTCCAAGTAAAATTGGTCATCATCAGCACGTAATCTGAATGAAAAAATAAATATTTTTCTTTTCAGTCAGTTTTCAATATTAAACCTGAGGGAGACTGTATAGTCGTCTGCTTGAGTACCTCTGTCCTATTCATATTACTGCCGTGAAGTGTTTGTATAGCTGTGTTTCGGTTTGAAGAGTGGAATATGGCAATGAAATTACAGGGCGCAGATGCTTAACAACTTAGTTTTCAGGAATGGTAACACAAGAAGGGTTTCACAGCCAACATAGTATAGGGTCCTCTGTTATGTCAATAGTACTCATATGTCATTTATAAATGTCTATAGGCGCCTATCACTTTCCATCAGATAGGCCTTCGATCTGTTTGCCATTTTAATTTGCATAAAAAAAAACCTAATAAAACATATTAGCTACATCATTTCTGCTTTAACCATTGTGTCGCGTTTTAAGGAATTTCTCAAATTATTAGTCACAATAATAAAAATAATATTTTTTTAGTTGTCAACACTTAATCAACCAGGCAAGGTGGAAGAAGATTGTTAGTAATAGAGTCTAGTAGCACCATCTACCAGTGGCAATATACTCCACTTTGTTTATTCCTGGTAAACCGTCACGATGGGCTAATTGATCGGACTTAACCCTTATCTATCATGTTTCACTGGTTCTTAACCAGCGTATAATAATATGGCAGGTACATTATATTATTATTAAAAAAAAAAAAAAACTAACCTGGCATCTTTAATTTCAGACGATTTCAACCCATGTACATATATATCTTTCATATCCATTTTAGCTGTAATCTGTAAATAAATAGAAGCAGTTCGTTATTACATATGAAACACTTATAAAGAAAAATATTTTATGCTTTAATATAATATATTTTTTTTGTAAAATACCTAATCACGCCACTCAATTAATATAAAAATATGACGTATTGTGATTTGGTACCCCATTATATCACGTGTGATATGTATATACGTATGATAGATTCAGTAGCATATAAATAAAATAACTATTGATTTATATCAATATCTTTCTTATTATTATGGTTGTATTGTACAGCGTATTTTTTAATTGGTTAAAATAATATTATATATATATATATATGATTTATTATTTATGTAAATATTTATTTTAACTTCTGTTTAGCACTACTACTGCCCACTCACTACTTTCTATGCCACTGCGTTAGGTTGACTGGAAGAGATCTCTTTTAGAGATAAGTTCGCCTTTGCTAACATTGTTATTAACTTATTGTTGTTACTGTATGTTTTAGTGCAATAAAGAATATATATATAATAAAATTTGAGCAATTATTTTTCCCCGCCTAATCTTATGATGCAAATAAAAAAGAGATATTTTATTAATCCGATCACTTATTGAACCCACAATCTGGATTCATAATATGCTTAACATATTTTAGCATAGATGGAAACTTGTTTGGATTCTAGTTCAGAAGGTCTCGTATACCTCAACCTTTATTCTGGGATGTTTCTAAAATATTATTCCTATAAAGCAAGTAATACGAGTAAGCTCGTTAGATACCTAAATATAAATGATTAGTAGTTCACATGTCATGTAAACTTTTATTGTATAGGGGAGCACGGGGGAATTGGCGCCACTTAAGCTAAAACTTAAATAAATTTTTGTATAAATCACTTTTTATTTTAATTTTTTCTTTTAATTATAATGTAAACTAATCAGGCTTATCCTGTTAATATAGATATTAAAAAAAACCTACTTAAAATGAAAATAATTCTTACTTAAAAAAAAAGTAACATTGGCTCCCATTGCCAAGAGTACGGGGTAATTAGAACCAGAAATAGGGGCAATAAGATCCATCGGGGTAATGGTAACCACAATAACAATATGTAACAAAATATTGTATAATTATACATTTTCCTCATGTGTTTATAAACTAAACTTATTCTCATTCAAAATACAATTATATTATCTTTAGGAACATGCAAAATTATAGATAATTATATGTAATTAAAAACAATTATCGCCTCATACAAAAATCACAAACATAATTTTTGGCAGAATCACTACCTGAATATTGGGCATGTGCATATCATACATTGTGATTTTAATCATTTTTGATTTGAGATATAGGTCACATTCGCGATTGTATGCTTTTTTTAGAGGACCAAAAAATGTTATATCTAGAGGCTGCAAACGATGCGAGGAGTGTGGTGGTGTAGACAACATGTTGATGTAGTTAGCTTTGCAAAATTCATATGCTTCTAAAATGGAGTGGCTGTTATTATTATCTAGAATAAGCAATATTTTGTTTTCCTTACTCGGTTTTACAAACATTTTGAAATGTTGCAACCATTTAAAAAATAGATTTTCATTTGTCCATCCATTTTTTGAACAATCGTAAATTACACCCGGAGGACCATCTTTCTCTAAAAGAGGAGAATGACGTTGTCTCGGATATATAAACATAGGAGGCACATAAACGCCAGAAGCACTCATTGCACAAACAACAGTGACTGTCTTTCCTCTCTCCCAAGAAGTGACAGTACCAACTCGTTTTTGACCTGTTTTTGCTAAAATTGTTCCTGGTTTCTGCACTGTAGACACTCCCGTCTCATCTACATTAAATATTTGGTGCGCTGCATCATTATTTTTTATCATTAGTTCCTCAAGATTTTTGGAAAATAATTCTACTTCTACTCTGTTAAATCCCTCAATTCTGTTAATACTAGTTGACTCAGGTTTGCGAACACTGATATTAGTATTTCTTTTCAAAAATCCTTTAAGCCAGTCTGGTCCCGCACATTTAAGTTCCTTATTAAAATTATGAGATATCTTCAACTGTTCAGCACACTCGTATGCTAATTTTCTAAATTTCATGGAGTCTAAGCCGTAAAAAAGATTCGACATGTGAATGAGATGATCAGCCAAAATTTGTTTTTGAGTTGGAGAAAATATTGGTTTCCTTCCGAGACGAGGATTGGTTTGTACTGCTCTGCGATACCTTTTTTGCAAAGTACTATATGGAATATTAAACCCTTGGGCAGCCTTATGCAGATATATTCCATCTTCATTGACTCTCTTGATAGCACGGTGTAGTAACCAGATTCCACTGATATTTATCCGTAATCCTATCTTGTTTTCAAGGCATCTGAAAAAAAACTACAAGAAATGAAGTGGGTAATGAGAGCCATTCGACTCCCATTTCCCCAAATACTCATTTTTAGGTTTTCATATAATTGTCAAAATACAATTGCTTATTTACATAAATTAACCTTTTTATACGATACTCTAATGATAAATCTATAAGATAAAAGAAGCAATACTAATAATAAAATAAATTAAAAACTCACAATTTGTCCTTGAATGTTGTCAAAAATTAGATGAATAGCTTAAAAAACTGACGTGCTATTTATTTGTGTACTAAAAGTCAACTAAACGGTGACACAACGAGGCATATGCACCCCTCCTGCGTCCTTTTGTAATACGTTAAAACAAAACAGGGTCTAAATTGTCAAGAAGCATGTAAACTAGAGTAACTCCCATTACCCTGTGGCTCTGATTCCCCCGTGCTCCCCTAAGTATGGCATTATTCGAACTAATTTATTTATTTATGTATATTTCATAATTATTGTTTGCTTTTTCTTAAAAAATGAAACTTTCTACAAATATATTTTAACTATCAGTATTTCTTTTGATCTTTTAATTCGAGAAATTAGCGGAAAAATGTAAAATAAATGCATAAATAGCTTAAATTGGCTTAGACGTTTAAGGTCTATGAATAAAAGGGTTAAATTTTCGTACAGTTTAAAAAAAACAACGTGTCAGTAATTATTTAGTTAAGCATTTTCGTTCCAACTTTTTTGTTATTTCATTGTTTCATCTAGATGTATTTAATCTTCACAGCACGTCGCAGCATCTATTGTACAGTGTAAATTTACCGAGATAGTTCTCGATGAAAATAGTACTTAAACTTAAAAATTACTTAAACTTAAAAATTAGCGTCAAACATAGTTCAAACTTAAACCTTTGATAAAAAGTAGGTATTTATAAATATTTTATATATTTATTTTTTTACTTGTAAGCTCCAGTCACACATATTATATATAAAATCTTACTATTAAAAACAGAGAAATCATAGTTTCCATAACAACAGTATGAAAACTAAATTACAAATTTGTGCAATGTAATTATTATTTATTTGATTATTAATCATTTAAATCGGTATTATCTATAGAAAGTTAAGTTACCTGGTTGTTATTATATTCGGCATGCAAGTCTTTTTGTCTATATGGATCTACGGGTGGTACTCCCAACTCTGTGATTCCATCCGCCAATACAGCCAGTCCATTCTGTACTGCTTCAGCTATACAGTCGTTTACATCGGCCGAATTTCTATCGCAAACTTTAAGATATTTTCCTGTAATCGTGTAAGTACAAGTGATTTTAATAAAATGTAAATTTATATTGGTAAGTACCTAATTTCGATAGTGATTGAGTTTTATACAATTCTCCTAGGTATATAATCTAAGTAATTATTACCATCTGACCTATTTATTTCAATTGTACATTTCATTGCTGTTTCATTATTGACAACCGTAACACTTGTTTTATCTTCTTTAGGTACAACTGTAAAAAAATTTGGTAATCCCTGCCATACATCAAACGCTAAATATATATATATATATATATATATTCTAAAATAATTATTGAGAATTTCTACTAATACGTTTTATAAATGTGAAAGTTTATAAATATGTTTAGATATTTGTTACACAATCATAATTAAACTGCTGATCATTGATGAATGAAATATGGTACACGGGTAGGTTATACTTATTCTGACTTAACACATAATATACTTTATATACTGATTAAATCGGCTATTCTGATATTGATATTCTTATTCACGTACGCAAGAATAAAAGAGTATTGTTTTTGACGAAGTATTTACACAGATACACTTTATCTAGGATTATATTTTTTATTGCTATTAGAATGGGAAATTGACTGCCCACCTGACGGAAAATGATAACCGTCACCTATATACGATACAATACAATGAACTAAGATCGCTAAACTAATTTCATATTACAAGTTTTATGAAACTTGTAATCTAGGTTTATGTTACGTTTACTTGTAGAATCATATTAGTGCACGTTTGGCACTGGCCGTGTTTACGTCCTGACCATGACCACCTAGATCATATTGAAATGATGTCCATAAAATATCTGCTTGCGACTCATGCTTCGAATATCAATTTTATGTTATAAAATAGTAGGACCTTGATATGTATGTAACAGGTCCTTAGTTATTACCTTCTAATTAATTACAACGACTGTTTTTTTAATGGCTGAAAATTAAATAGTAAACTTGTCGGTATATATTGGCGGGACACCAGTGAAAAGTGATAGGTGAGAATGAAAGCAAGTCAGTTGACCTATCGTAAGTAATTCACCAGGATTTAATTACAACGGTTTTCAGGAGGGGCTGCGTGGAAGTCGACCTGATAAGGTATGCTATGCTAGAAATGGCGCCACTAGACCCCATTATCGTAGATAATATAATACTATATTAGCCATTACTAAGCATCCCTTCTCTCTAAAAACTAAGTTATTTTTGTATGAATAGACATAAACGGCCAATTTATGACAGGTTTTATTATTATGTAGGTAATCTAGTTACATGATAATTGTCGAGAAGCAAGTACATAGTACACCTACTCATTTTCCTTCGTGTTTTACATTAATTCAAAGTCATGTCATAACTTTAAATTAATGTAGGTACAATCTAGACTCGATTAACCAAACTATTATTTATCTTTCGGATATATATAAATACAGATAGTGTAATATTTATTGTATATATAATATAATTTTTTACTTATTTACTGCAGAACTTATGTCATCGAACAAATAAGTCATCTGGTGTGATCGAGTATAATTATCTTTTAGGTACATCGGCATTATTATAATTCTTTTGTAGGATTAAAACGTACGCGACTATATAAATGCAAAAAAAAAAATTATTTGTTGAAACATTACTGCAATCTGGATAATGTAGGCACCATTATATAAACGACAGACATCTCAATCTATTATGTAAAATTCTAATTATATATATATATATATATATATATATATATATATATATATATATATATATATATATATATATATATATATATATATATATCTCGAGTAACAGAGTTTATGGTGGAACTCCTTCGAAACGACTCGACCAATTTTTACGATTTTTTTTAATGTATATTTAGTAGGTATGGGAATAGGTCATAAAGTATAGTATAGTGCTAGGTGATTAGGCTGTCTTTATATAGAAAAATGTATTCAGATGGCAAAACAACGTTTGTCAGGTCAGCTAGTATATATATATATATATATATATATATATATTCCTTAAGATATTTTCCTGTAATCGTGTAATTACAAGTGATTTTAATAAAATGTAAATTTATATTGGTAAGTACCTAATTTCGATAGTGATTGAGTTTTATACAATTCTCCTAGGTATATAATCTAAGTAATTATTACCATCTGACCTATTTATTTCAATTGTACATTTCATTGCAAAGAAATTATATATATATATTCTAAAATATATATATATATATATATATATATATATATATATATATATATATATATATATATATATATATATATATATATATATATATATATATATATATATAGCCAAAAATTAACACGCAAAAGGCACCTACATGCATTTACGTCATCTGTTTGTATCAAATGTTTATGATTTGAGACAAGACAGTGGTATAGATTTTTATTAGAAAAAATAGGTATAAATAAATATACTTACCAATATCTATGTAGCCATAACAAACTGACAATAATAGAGTGAATTTGAAAACGGTATAGCGTAACATTTTTGTAACACAACCAATATTAGGTGTATATGTATTATTACTAATTAAGTAGCTATTTATTATTAAATTTTAGTAACACTGATTGAGTTACGGACGAGTTGCGTGTGCTAATGTTTCTCCTCGTCTGGTACTGAGAATGGAGCTCTATATAGCAAGCAAAACACTGGCTGTTATGTGTCGATTGCATAAAGTTACCTAACAACTGCTTCTCAATGTCGACTAGTACTACCATTTATATGTAGTACCATCAAAGACAAAGGTATCTCATGAAAATTTTCCACGTTAGAAACTCACTACAAGGGAATCACTAGACTTGGCTCTGTATGATTTCTCACAATGTTTTACGATGAAAAGGTTACCAAGCTCGTCTACAACTTTCTCTTTAAAACTGTTAAAAAGGGAAGTTAATTATAATGAAATGTCTCTGTTTATTTTATTTATATCCGCTTTCATGAATTACGCTTTTGTTTAGTGCATTCTTTTAATATTATAATTTTTTTCTAAATTCAGCAATTCTCCTGATATTGACCGAGATATACTACAAACTACTATTTTATGGGTTAGAATTGATTGTTAGTAATAAGAACTAACAAATTGCTAGCAATATTCTCTACTAGTTGTATTCCACGACTTTACTCACATTAATTATTTTCAATTAGAATCCTATGTGCTAAGTTAGGATGTAATCTATCCGGTTTTTTTGATGGATGATAATAGTGTGGTAACCCCGCCTGCGCTAACGGTATATGCTAGCGGGGCATCAGTGAAGATAATACGTGAAAATGAAAAGGCAGGTCAGTTAGCCTTTCGTAATGAATACACTTGGAATTCAGCACGATGGTTTCCAGGAGGGACCACGGGAAGGTCGACCTGTTAGGATATATTATTAGCAATGGCAGTAGTAATCCGCATTACAAAGAGACCCCCCCCCCTCCCTCAATCTAACCGAGTACCAAATTTCATTCAAATCCGTTCGATAGTTCTTGCGTGACAGAGTAACGAATATCCATCTATCCAAACTATTACATTTATTATGTTAATAGGATAAGCATGGTTAATTATGAAATTAATTTCGATCGATATTTTAATTGTAACGTTTAGTACTCTTGCATTGCATAAGTAGCAATATATTAGTTTCATACAGCATATAAAGTAATTAAAATGCAAGTGTCATTTTAGTTTCTTTAATTTAATATTATTTAAAATTAGAACAAAGAGTGTATTAGCGAGTCGATCTCCACACAGTATCCCTGTAAATATCCATTATAGTAATTACTAGTAAAAATAAACCAACTAATCTGACTTCACTTAGGTATCATTCCTTACTGGTAGTGGTGTTGTGTTAGCGTAAACCAGTAAGTTGCGTATATTGGATTACAATTCCACTTTCACCCTAAAAAAAGCTATTTCTTAAAGAACGGTAGGAGGTTCTATATAATTGTTGGTAACGGAGACACTCGCGGTCTCATTGCTAGAATTTTTTTCCTGGAAATTGTCATATCATAGTCATTATTACGTTACAATACAAATTAAAATAACAATCACGCGCCACCCACGCCCTTGGTGAGTGACTTATAATTTATTTATATCTCGCTTTAATAAACATCATTGGCCACTGGTAAAATGAGACAAAGATTCAATGCGTCAAAATCCTAAAATCAACAGATACGTACCCAAAAAAGTGTTTCGTGATCAGTCTTTTCGTATTAAATTGTGCATCATTTGTACGGTGAAGCGAAAATGATTGATCATAAAGCGGAGGTAAAAAAAGAGATATAGTTTCTCATAATCAAATCCTTTTTTTTTGACGATGGTATTAAGAGGCTCCAGAACTGAGTTTTTAGGATGTTGTTTTTAGGACTCCTGTATAAAGAGTATATTTTAAATAATATTCTTATTAATTATTTTTTTAACTTCTTGAAAAACTTTTACATGATGATTCGGAACTTCATGAATAATAAATTTCTGTCCATAACGCCATCTAGTAATAACAAAAGTATTAACGGAGTACATAATAATTTTGGTATGTACTCTAATCATCTTTATGGGTCTCTACAATAGGAGTAAGAACTCTCTATCTCAGATTTTTTTTATACAACTTAGAATGGCAAACAAGCTGACGGCCCACCTGATGGAAAATGGTAACCGTCGCCTATAGACATGAGCAGTAGCATGGACATAACAGAGTATACTGTTTCGCCCATGATACCCCCCCTGCGCTGCCATTCCCGAGGACTCAGGTGTTATTTCTCCGTACCCAGTAAATTCACGCCATATCCCACCCTTCAAACCGAAACACAGCCATGCCAACACAACTGCTTTACGGTTGAAACACGAATGGGACAGAGGTACCCAAGCAATCGACTTTTGTACAAAGTCTCCCTCTGGTTAGAATTAAATTAGGTAAGAATATAAAACTTAGGTGACTTCTTAATTCAATGGTATTTTATGATTATATATTATAAGTTATTTTTGCCAGTTTCGAACTATTTTTAATAAATCTTTTTAAACAATTCAACAATATAGTTATTGTTTATTGAATGTATCAACTGTATTTTCATTAAGTAACAAGAATTTTTGAAAGCACACAAGCATTGGTTTTGTAACGTGAAAGCTGTGACTATTTTTTTTTAACAGATTGTCATGTTTATAATTTTAAATTCGATTCGAAACTTCCAAAGGCATGCACTTGACCATTATTTATTATATTAGAGGTCACGACTCACGATTGCATTAATAAATTACCCTGGATTTGAATAACAGTTATTTATAAAAATACTTAACTAACGTTAGCTTAATAGGTAATCAAGGCATTTCTGATAATCTAAATTATCTTTAAAGTAGTACATTTGTTATACACTTGAGGCGAAAGATAAAAACAGGATTTAAAAATTTTACCATGAGGAAGCGATGATAGTCACAGTTGTATACCTACATAGAAATTTGATACTTTCAGACTTTTAATATTAAAAAAATACGCAATATATACATTTTTGTAGTTTTATAAAACTGTCTACTTAGGATTGTGTATAAATAAAATCCAAAAAAAAAACAAACGGTCTGCTGAACTCTATCCCACTGATGTTTCTGCCATCAATCAGTTGTATTGTTGTTTTTCTGTTTGAAAGGCAGTGATACTATAGAGTACGGAGGCATAACAATACATAAAATTTAATAATATAAATGGTTGGTCCAATTAGAGCAATCATAGAACAACGGCAATAGGCGCTTACATGGCTATTTCGGTATAGTGGATGGGAATTAGTAGGGAAATTACAGGCTACGGAGGAGTAATACCATGCTTTTCGAGAATGGTAATACATGAGGTGTACTATGAACGTAATAAATTAATTAGTGATATCGAATGTGCTAAGAGAATGAAGCAGTTGTGTTTGCATGGCTGTGTTTCGGTTTGAAGAGTATATGGCGTGAATTTACTGGGTACAGAGGAATAACACCTGAGTCCTCAGGAATGGCGTGGGGGGTATCATGGGCGAAACAGTATACTCTGTTATGTCCATGGTACTGCTCATATAGGCGACGGTTACCACTTTCCATCAGGTGGGCCGTCAGCTTGTTTGCCATTCTAAGTTGTATAAAAAAAAAAAAAAAGCATAAAATAACTAATATAGCAAATGTAGTACGGTATCAATAGTTTAGAATTTACTTAGGAGTAATTATAAACCGTAACGTTTATCTAAATCGATTATTGTAAATGATCGATTTATAATCATGATATTGCATTGACACGAAAAGAAAACGTCCAGTATAGTACCTCGTTTTCCTCTTTAAACCTCACCGGTGATTACGGTTGTAAGCGTATATCATTGTAAAGCAGATGTACACAATGTTCTATACTGTATACTGTTGGCACCTCTAATCACTATGATATATGAGACAACTCAGTGTAATGGAACATCTCAAAAGATTCTGATCATACATACGTATAACGGAACACGTTGAGATTAATGACGCTAATAACGTAAGCGTTTAAATCTAATCGACTCGCTTGTTCAGTTCCTTCACGATATTTGGCTGCTATCTACATTCCGATCTTGTTTTTGTGATCTAGACAAACACACTGTGTGATACATGTGGGCATTAAGCTAAGTAGGTACGCAGTACTCAATAAAACAGTTACTATTGACAACCTATGTCGAACGTACACGAACATCGGGTCGAATATAATATTTTACCGCCAAAAGATCATTGACCTTAAGGTTTTTGCGATGCGTTACTTGCCAACGTTGAGATTAACATTTACTTATTTATCCTTAGTCTTATACTTGGGCCTCGGTCGTAACCTAAACAAGAAATTTCAAGACCGTCATGAAACATAAAATTATGGTAATGATTCATTATGGTGCGGCCTAATCAACTGTAGAAATTATTAAAAAGTATATTTTGAATTTAGGTTCAATGAGCTTATCGATTTTAAAAAATGATTCAACAGGTCATCAAACCTTTGTAAGCTTGAATACTTAGGTAAGTATAACTAAATCGCATCGCTTAAAGTGGTATTAGTCGCATACAAGATCACCAGGCAACACGAGACTGTTTGATATCCCATCCCAAACATTATTTAGAGCTGTGGTTGATAACTGAAAAAATATTAAACCTTCATTTTCAGTATATTCTAAAATTTTTCAAACTTTCAACATACAAAATTTTATTGTTTTTGTCAATGTGTGTAGATAAAGTATGTCTTCTTTCCTACTGATGCATTGAGCTTGTTCCCTTCGTCTCCTTTTACAACGTACTACACGGCGATATATTTATATTTTGTCCTTACTCGTAAACTAATTTATATGTAAATATAAAATTTATTAATATATGGTATATGAAACTGAAAAAAAAGTATAAATATAAAAAAAAATTGTTGAAGAAATTTTACAATTTATTGATATTTTTAATATTAAAAAAAAGGAAAAAAAAATTAAATTTATTACATATTATTAGTCACATCACATGGTTTGGCAGCAAACTATTTATTCTGAGTTCACCGACCCGTGCGGTGCATGCGCGGTGAACAGTAAAAATTTTCATTTTTTATAATTTTTTTACATACATACAATGTAAATTTACAGAACCATAATATGTTGATTTCTATGGTACCACTCATGTTTAGCAGCCCTAGATCCCTCCGGTGGTGCGGGTACTCATGAATGGGTTATGGCGTACTTACCATCAGGTGAGCCGCATGCTGGTTTACCCATGTGTTCTAAAAAAACATAGGTACTACCTAATAAATTCTGTCTCTATCTATCCGTAAAAGATGAGATGTGATTTCGAGAGTGTTACAAGAATTATGGTTTGTTTTAATAGAAATTAATGAAAACGCAAACAAATAATGGATCTGATAATGAAACAGTCTGCTGATATCTAATAGTAGTATAATCCAAAAATCAATTAATTGTATTTGTAATGTTTAAACATTAACTAATTCTATTTGAAATGTTTCTGTGATAATTTTAACAAAACTTGGTTACCTTTACATTATCTTCTATTGAAATAGACTTTAACTCGTAACAGTACATAGTAATGAAATATATGAGCAGCCTAAGTTCAATAATGGACGACGAATAGTTTAAAAATAATAAAGAAAATGATTAAATATCTAATTACAGCAAACGTATATAATTTGACAGAGTCAGGTATATAGTCCTCACATTCATAAAATTCACTTATTATTACAATACACATAACATACCATACAGTACTTTTTAAAAAAAATACACAACATAACAATGACACAATATTTATTTTCTCAGTTGTTTTCGTGACTATAAAGATATAAATGACGTCTTGAATTTATTTTTATTAAATATTTTGCATATCTAATAGAGTCATATACGTAATATAACGTACTAATAGACATAGTAGGTAAAGAGATGACTAAACAGACTCATAAGTTATTGGGTTTATTTATCTATTACGTATATGTTACGGAAAAGACAGAAGGAAAAGTAAAATTTACGTATTAAATTGAATTGCCTCAATTTATTTATATTGTAAAAATTAACTTGATTTTAGTGTTTACTCAATAGACAGAAATGAACGTTAATTCTTTAAATTTTTAATGGATAATATTGAAATGATAAGCCCGCCTGCGCTATAAAGGATGATAGATGTGGATGAAAGCAGGTCAGTTGGCTCATCGGAATGAATTCATTAAAGAATTATTAGTCACTACCTAATCATTAAGAGGAACCGCATGGAAATCAACCAGATATTTTGCTAGCAAAGAGGTGGTTAGTCCCCATTATTAAAACTCCATTCTTTCCGCTTAGGTACTCTTTATTGTCAATTTCCAATCTCTACATTGTATAAAATAAAGTCAGTTTCCGTCATCTATATGGCTAGATCTTTTAGACTGCAAGCGGATTTTAATACAATTTTCATTAATATATAGAGTGATTCAAGAAAAAGGTTTATACGTATAACTTAATATTGTTTTGTGTTAATGTGGTAAAATATCACGATAATTGTTCAAGATGTCAGAAGAAATCAAGTTTATTGAGAGTATTCATCAAAAATGCTGAAATATAACAGATTAATGTATTATACATTTTTCCTCTTTGTTAGGACTACAAAAAAGTCTTCGATGGCATTCTATATTATACACATTTCCTTCTTTTTTTTATAACTATTTTAATGTTAAGAAAAATTATACAAATTAGTAATAGATGATGACAATATTTAGATGGATACAATAGTAATATCACTTCACACTGACACCACATTATTTCTACGATGCACCCATGCGGTCACATAATTTTTATTTACGCGCTCATTTTATTCAATTTATATGTTATTATATAACTTATTATTTATTTATTTAAAATTCATTAAACTATTTAGGTTATGTACACGTTACGCTAAAGATCCGGTGCTTAAAATAATGTAACTGAATACGATGGTTAGCTTTTCCCTAATACTCGTGGATAGGTGCCACTTAAAGGGACTGGGTAGCTAAAGAATACTGCTATCGATTACGAAGATTTTATTAATATGTTATTTGTGATAATGGTTGAATATAATCAATTTCTTATAATTTCCAATTGTTGTTAAAAAAAAGTAAACGCTGAGTTTCTTGCCCATTCTTCGTTACAGACATCGTATTTTGAATTAAGTGGCACAATCGTAAAACATTAAAATTTACTTGAATATTAATTGTTTCGATTTTATAACAAAAAAAATGTTATATTCTTTTCTTCGGTGATACAGATACTCTAAAATTTAACGTACATTTTATAAACTTATCTACATGTAAATCTATTATTATGTACTTATTTACTCAATAATAGATTTTTACCGTCTTTCAAAATTGTAAAATGTAAAATGAAAAATTTTATGTTTTATATAAAAAAAAATAAAACGTATTAAATTAAGGATTCATAATTCCTACCGAGATCTGTATTCAACTAAAAAAAAAGCTATTATTTGACATGACGACCATAAAAGGTCCATCTGATAAAAACGGCGAAGTTGCAATCTTCTGTCTTTGTTCTTTTTTATTATTTAAAAAGCATTAGCAAAAGAATCGACATTAAAAACTAAAAATAAAAAAAATATGAAAAACACATCGCTCCTGAATATAATTATAATACACGAAGGTATAACTCTAATCGTTTACTCATTCCATTCCACTCACTGAAGTAGACAACAAACCGCAGTGAAAGAAATCTCACCAATAATTCAATGTTTATACTGAAGTGCAATAAGTACTTCACTAGAGATAACTTATCAATTTAAAGCTTTAAAGCTTTATTATAGCCATAAATTATCGCAGTGTTTACTAATTTATAATCGTTGATAAACACCATACTTCATAATAAAATTAATGGAAGTTCATCGATCCGCCAAAAGATTCTTTGTTGCAGGCACGTGAATCCAGCAAAAATAAACACAAACAAATCAATGCCCTTACGAACAACTGAACCGAATAGTTGTTATATTTTAAAAAGCTCGTTTGTGTCGGACGGCGAATGTCAGTCGATTACAAAAGGAGAAAAAGCTCTGTTATTTTTTCAACCTAATATAAAGCGTCAGTGTAAAAATATTATAAAGGCGCGGAGTTAAGACGCCGAAGCATTTTGCAAAGCGACTCCTTGTGGGCCGCACATCCGCGCGGCGTGCCGTTCTGCTTACCCCTTTTACTCTCTAAACATTCTTTATTTTTATGATTTAATTTCGTGAATGTAGTAATAACATTAATAATTAAAAACATGATGATAGGTATTAAATTAATATTATTTTGCCTAAATATTTTGGCGTCGATTACCGGGAGTGTTTCCAATGTTCGCAATGGATTTTCCGCAAGGGATGGCGCACTCTACATTGATGATGCAGTTATTATAGATGGTAAGCCTTTTGGATAAGTGTTTTAAAAATATTTTTACTAAAAATTTTCTGTAAATATATATTATTCGGTGTATCAAGATCAAGAAGGAAATCGATAATTATTGCAATCACTAAACAATAACTCTACCGGCTACTACATATATAATCTAGTTACTCCAGCCTACAGTCTCATATTTGACATTTCAGAGGTATGCGACCAGTTTTTTTCAATTTACTATTGACCTACGCCGGTACCTAGAATGTACAAAATGTAATGAAGGTTGCGTGTAAACAATATCTTCCATATGAAGTTTCATGTAACTCGTACAAACGGATATTATGAACCTACCCGCATTGCATATTCTGAAACATTAACAATTTGGACAGTTATAACCAGCAATGATGTTGTGCATATGTTAATTTTTTTTAAATATTTGTATTACAATATATTTTCTTTGGATGAATGGTTTACTTTTTTAATACTTACCATATATTTAAAACTTTTAATAAAACATACTTTCCCATACGAGGAATTAATAGTCTGTGGGATTTTTACTTTTATTGATCTAATCTATATCCACAGTAGGTAATACTCGTTTGTTTACATCAAAACTTCAGGGAAAGAGTTTAGTATTCGTAAGGTGTGAACTCAAAACAATGGACGCCACATATGTCAATATGAGGTTTCGAGGCTAGAGAAAGTTAAAATTTGCAACTGAGATGTCCGGTCACGGTGAAAAATGCGAGCAGATATAAATTATTTTTTGACATATTTATTACACAAAATAATTAAATCATTATTAACTTTAAGACTTTCGCGTTGCATGATTTATAGTTAAGAGACAGGAATTAACGCGATCATTTTGATAAAATGTCATTTACCTACTTCTGTTTTTTTTTAGTTTGACTATAGTCAGCTCGTGACTGCGGCCAGTGTAACTTGTTTAATACGTCGATATGACTAAATAAATGTTTAGGTGTACTTCACTTTAATGACCGCATGTTAATTCCTGTCTCTTAAGTCCATAAATTAAAACATCAACTTTATTATTAAATATAAGATTAATGAATAAATTATAATGTCTGTGATACTTAGAAATACAATAGTAGAGACAATTTGAGCAAAGGTAAACTCTCTTCTAAAAGAGGTATATTCTAGTCAACCTAATACAGTAGCACAGAAAATATGAGTGAATTATTCACTTGATATATTATATAATTACGATCAATAAGATTATTTTAACAGTTCATTCCGTTATTATTAGAAGAAAATTTTCGTTCTTCAAGACGGAATAAGTTCATATTAAACACGTGGACTATTATTCGGAGAACTCTTATTGAATCGATTCAATGCAAATCCATCCGCCCACACGCCTTGCGACGCAAGCGACCGCATCAATCAAAGCATTGTCCATACAGCGGTGACGTCCAAGTGTACATTTTTTGTGACTCACTTCGAGGACATTAATTAGATCGGAGACTGGAGATTGAAGTGGAGTAATACTGCTGACATTTCCTTCCATTCGAACGCTGAACCCGGAATCCTAACAATTAATCGTACTTATCACCATGATCTGACAAGTATAATCTATATCTATAAATCTATAACTATCAATTAACAGTGCGTTACCTGCATTTAATATAATATTTTAATGTGAATAACAGTATTGATGTTTATAATGTAGCTTGTAGTAATATCTTTAAGTCTTATTTCTACAAATAAACAATCGAAACCGTTATAACTGTATTCGCAGTCAGGAAAATGTCATTTTATTAATTTTCTTCTTAAGAGAACAAACATTTATATTCATGAGTATGACTATTTGTATTAATCGGGAAGTATTATATTTATCTATCTACCTATATATCAATTTTGCGAGTATACAAAATACTCGATTTAGTTGTAGAATAAATAAATATAAAATTTTAAAAATCTTAATCTTTGTGAAGAATATATCTCATTTACAAAATCGATTAGTTGTAGTCATCATATATAAAAATCAAGTATATTATTATGATATTATCATCGCCGCTATGATAAAAAATAGGAATGAGCTTTATAATATATATACGAGTATGTCACAATAACGTAAATCACTAAATCGTGGTATTACAATAATTTCTTCTTAATTTATTTTGCAATTTATTTCACATTAACCGTAACTTTTTGTGTTAATAAAGATACAGACGAAACTAAAGTTCATAAATTGTAAATACATATTAATAGATTACTATATGAATGTAATTTGTAATTATATACATTTGCAATTGTATGGCAAGTATTACCTACTCAAAGCAATAAACAATGTTGTGAACAATAGATTGTCAATCAAAAACTATGAGTTTTGAAATACAACTCATACACAGCATTCTTATAGCAACAATTGATGCAAGGAATTAGGATAAAGTTATTGTTTTTATTTTTAATTATATATCGTTATTGTATCTCAGAATAATTGCTAGCATAGATAAGAGGAAAACATGTAAACCATACTTTATTAAACATAAAATTTTAACTCTACCATACTGGAAGCGTGTCATTATGTTAAATGTAACATATACCTATTTCTACAATATACTCTCTCCCAGACTGCGAACTCAAAGTAGATAAGCAAGATTATTCTCGAAATAGCAATTATTCTATTTAAGCCCTTACGGAATGTCCATTAATTAATTAATATTAATTTACAATAAAATCCCACAAAATAAAAAAGGAAAATAATTTTAAGAAGTTTAAAATGTGTTTATAAAATATTTAATTGCAAAGGGTTATATACAGCAAAACTTTCAGTGAGGTAATTTAACTGTAATTGTATTTTTTTAATGTGATTAACTATACACATATAAAAACAAAGCTGTGTATTCTATATTACAAACATTAAATAATATAATTGCTGCGCCCTTACAGGGTTAGTGTTGATATTGTACCTCTAATGCTAAAAGCTTCGTAGTTATTTACAATCATATGTGTGTATTATTATTATCGTATATGGTATATGTATAAATATATAATATTGTATAAATAGCTCACTTACTAAACGTATATTATGATTATTCAATAGACTTTTTATGTATCGACAATTATAGGTAACAAGTCAATCGATCATAACAATTAAAATCTACGAAGTTAAATACGTAGAACAGTTCTACATGAATATACAAAACACTATTATAAAAAGCTGTCCTATTATACACAACAAAATTATAATTATTTTAAATACTATATTTAAAGTCTAATTCAGAACTATTTTGTACTAGTTCTGAATTAGACTATACTTATTTATTTATTTACGAGTATTATAGATATACAACATCGTATACATCATTCGTTACCAATTAGTGCAGAAAAGTGAGGAATTGCCTAAATTTTTAATTTTAATTTATTGCCTCAATAAATTAAAATAAATTAAAATACAAATTCTTAAATAATAACACTAATTATAAATAGTCTCCCAACGCACCACACCGAGGCAGCATACCCAAGATACTGGCAGCATTACCTCTTTGAAATTAAAAATGGCAGATAATCTTAAATAGCAAAGATATAGTAAGTACTTTACAAAACTTTACTAGAAATGTATCTAAGACAATAAACACATTCGTAGCAGGCTATTGCGCGTGCTATCCCATATTTAGGACCGATACACAGTGATATAAGCATACCAAAGATTTGAGTGACGGACATACATTTTCAGTTTAGCTTCTGAGATCCTTGTTCACCGTTTTGAATACTTCGTCGCTTGACGCCATCCACTTATGCATTTCGTCATGCATCCTGATAGATGCCCTTTGCTTAAGCAATATTTCCTTTTTTTTAATTAAAAAAATGGAGGATATATATACTAAAGTTTTAGATGGTCGAAAAGTTACCGTGGTGAGAATAATGAAATTAATTACAAATAAGCAACTAACATAATTAATTAACTAGTTACAAATAAGTCCCTGTTAAAACATTTGTAAAATTCTAACTGCAGTTGCCAATCCGACTGGCTGCCAATTGCTTTCAGCCGTTAACTGTCCACTGCTGAACATAAGCCTCCCCTTTGAATAGTTTTGCTAGTAGTTGCCATGCTTGGCAGGTGGATCGGCAAGCGCAGTCTTTAGAGATATTTAAAGAGGGACGCTGCTGCCCATCCCTTACCCCCACCCCTTTAGTCGTCTCTTACGACACCCACGGAAAAAAAAGCGATGGTTCATTCTATGCCTGGACACACGGCCTACACAATGACTATAAACCACATTAATCTATATGACAATAGGAGACTGGCTTCATGCTATGTTGTATACTATATGCTGAACGAAAGATAGGCATGTTGTATGCACGTTCACCACAACAGCAACAATCGACAAATGCCTTTGACTATTAGAGTGACAAAGTCTTGAATAAGTTTTTTTTTTATCGATTTTTCCCCATTAAAATGCCAAAAGTACAACACAACATTCAAAATGTGATTATCTCGCAGTAGCTAGCCAGCTTAAAATCTGACTTGATTTTTAATGTATATTCCATCCCGACCGACAAAAGTTTATATGTCAATTTTGATACCAGGATTTTTGAATGGATGCTAATGGCACGATAATCGTTCTTTTTTTTATACAACTTAAAATGGCAAACAAGCTGACGGCCCATCTGATGGAAAGTGGTAACCGTCGCCTATAGACATGAGCAATACCATGGATATAACAGAGAATACTGTTTCGCCCATGATACCCCCCATGCGTTGCCATTCCTGAGGACTCAGGTGTTATTCCTCTGTACCCAGTAAATTCACGCCATATCCCACCCTTTAAACCGAAACACAGCCATGTAAACATAGTTATGTTTGCATGGCTGTGTTTCGCTTCACGGTTGAAACACGAATGGGACAGGGGTACCCAAGCAATCGACTTTTGTACAAAGTTTCCCTCTGGTATTCCCTCTTATACCATCGGTATATACTAGCAGAGCACTAGTGAATGTGATGTCAATTAGCCTATAGTGACGAAGTCATCAAGAATTAACCATGATGATGATAACCAGAGAGAATCGTATGGAATTTAAATATAATAAAAAATATCTTCAGTTAGATAAAGTTCTTTACTCGTTATTTTATGATTATACTTTTTGGTTCGGAATGTTATTATTTACTAGGAAAAATCCACAATAAACTCAACAATTTTCTTAAAAACTCTTTTAACATTATGTGTATTTATTTTAAACTAGCGGCCCTATTTTTACATTTTAAAAACTGGCTATTAAGGCTGCACACGTGACGGAAGTTTAAAAATGGAGTAACTTCTCCCGTTTTCCCAACATTTTCCTTCACTGCTCTGCTCCTATTGATCGTAGCGTGATGAAAAGTATACTATAACCTGCCCAGAAGTATAAAGAATAATTGTACCATATTTCGTTAAAATTCGTCGAGTAGTTTTTGTTTCTATAACGAACGTACAAACAGACAGACAAACAAAAATTTTACTGATTGCATTTTTGGCATCAGTATCGATTACTAATCACCCCCTAATAGTTATTTTGGAAATATATTTCATGTACAGAAGTGACCTTTCTACAGATTTATTATAAGTGTAGATTATTGCCACCGATCTACTGGCAAATCAATTTATGTATAAATGTTATGTCCTGAAGACTTATGCTAGTTAGAACTTGTTATATGAATGTACTTCTGAAACATTCCTGTCATAAGTATCTATTTGTATAAAACTAGTACATATTACGAATAGTCACTACTCACACACTACACATCATATACTGTATACAAAAAAAACGCGTTGAGATCTTTTATTCCCTTTTATTTATTCTTTTATTCAAAGCTATTGATTGTAATAAAAACTATTGTTTTTCGCACGTAAAATAGGCAAGTCTTCAAATTTTCTCTTCTCTAAATACCTGCACCAAAAAATATAATTATTAGGATATATACAATTTACCTTAAACTACTAATATTGAGAGTTAAAAAAATCTTGTGAAGCTTACATGCAAAACTAAAACGTTGCCAATATTTAGTTTTGTTTTTTAACTTTAGTAGAAGTCATTCAAATCTCCTTGCATTAGCAGCATCGATAAACGATTTTTTATACCTTTGTAGGTATTTTACTTGTTAATTTATAAGTCATGTGTCAGCCAACCACAGATTATTTAAATGCTGCACACACAATGCTTTTACAATTCGAATGCCATTGGGCAACAATAAAATCGTTACAGTAAACCTAAAGGGGACCGTTATTCAGGGATACCAGATATATAACTTGCATGTTAACGGTACACATGCTCATAATGCGTACCTGTTTGGCCTTAATAAACGTTAAATAAAAAATAAAGAAAAATTCAAATCATGCTTCATTATCAGTTCGTGAGATTATTTTGATTTCACTCGTACTGTAGTTACACGTGCCATTACGGCATTCTATCCTCCTTACGGAATTAACGCTATTAAGTAGGCAAAATATAATCATTTAGCTAAGCTTATCTTAACATTTTGACTAGGTTAAAACGACTATAGTCGTGACCAAAGTATTTATATTTAACCTATATTATCGCGTAAATTTTTAGAATCATGCAATTCGAAAGTCTTAATTTAACCTACTATTTTATATAATTAATAAGTTACATATTTTTTCATTTATTTATTCTTTATTGACCATATTACACAAAATGTCTAGTACAAAAGGCGGACTTAATACTATATAGCATTCTCTCCCAGTCGTTCTCTGGCAAAACAGAAATATTATTTTGTGTTATTCTGATTTGAAAAGTCGACAATTTACAGAGTTAAGTTTAAAATCTAGACACAAAATATTTAATATGATAGACTGAAATCGCAACAAGACGTCTGAATTTAACGGAGTTGTTTAGTTATTTAATGTGCATTGCAACAAAAAAAATCATACGGCTGCACAAATTTCAAAACGTTTTTATTTCAATCGGGGTAGTTAAGTTAATCGATAGTAAGTTTTGATTTAATTTATAAGATGAAAGTGTATACAAGCATCGATTTTTCATTATCTTTACAATGTAAACATAGATCCTATCCTTAATCTTTTAAATATACCTAAGAAATATTTGTTACAACTTGTCATTATCAAACAGGTCTTAAATTTATTTTTCGTTTTATAATGAAAAATAATAAATAAACCTTTTATAATAATGGTCTATTGTTATTAATATAATAGGCCAGTATTGTTAAAATACTAATGCTAACTCAGTAATATTTTCAATATATTTTTTTTATTTACAATTTGAATATATGAAATGAAAAGAAAAATGTGTTAAATTGAAAATTACCAAAATACATCATAGTTTAAATAGCCTACGCTACTTCGTATTAAAGAACGTTTGTATGAAATCTACGCAACCAGATAATTGAACTTGAAGATTTTACACCATAAACTAGGTATTTTATGCTCAATATCAATATTTTGGGCAGAGACACATTATTATTATTATTAATTAAAAATTTATAAGTATTAACTAAAAAGTATTATCTGAAAATTTAGTTGAATTGCGTTGCACTCGTAAATGCTTTATATTTAATACTCTATAGCACCCCATAGTAGTATTGCTAAACTATCAAACTAAAATTGTCGTTTTAGAAGTAAATTCAGGTAATGGTACCAATCTCACTATGAATTTACTTATGTATATTCATTCATTTTATTGTTTTAGTAAATTGCTAGCTAGGAATTGACAGAGATTTATTACCACTTTAGTCAATTTAAGATAATGCCTTAAATTACTTAGCTGTTACTTACTGTACTTTAGCTGATGTTGATTTCTGTTCTGAATGTTCGAAATAGTAACATAATTATTATTCATATATCGTAATGGATCACGTGACGGTGCGATTTATTTATGTACATACATAGTTAAGATATTTTTACATTTCGACCACAATTCCTTGGGGAATATTGTTGTATTTCAATATCATTGAAATTTGAATTATCTATACATATATTTATTTTTTATCCAAATAATAAATACATACTTTATTTATTTAGCTACAATACCTAATTTGCTTTTATATAATAGTCTAGCATTCGATCTAGTAATTTCTACTTTTTTTTATAAGAAATCATAAATATTTATCTATTTTGAGATACCATAAAATTAACTATAAGTAATTTTATACAAATGCGCGACTATAAAATCAACATAAATAAATAAGAGCAGTCGTCAAACAAGCTTTTGTAAGTATCAACTGGTTTCGATGAAATATTTACCTACATACCTTTTTTACCTGATACCTATCATTACGGTACCTACACGATAACAAACACTAAAGTAAACATAGGTAACTGTAATTGTAGTGTCATGTAATATAAAACCAACATATTATCTTTTAAATGTAAGAAAAATCTCGTTCGATTTTTTATATTTATCGAGAATGCTATGCTGTTTCGCGATCTACTGGAATTTATAATCATGAGCAGCTAAGACGCGAGCACAGCCATGATATTTCTATTCTTGAATGAATCTTTTACTTTTATCTTTTACTTGATATTGGCCTTTAATTTCATCTATATTTTTAAATATTATTATTTGGATGTTAAGCGATTATTCTACTAATTGTGAATCAATTTCTGTCCAATCATTTGTAGGTAATATGAGTAAAATGTTAAGTGTTACATTTATATTACATATAAAAAAAATCCTACTCCATTTAGAGAAAGACAGATAGATCATATCTGTCCAAAGAATAACAATATCTTATAGGTTTATATCAACGCACAGAACAACTATTATTATTATTTATTTATGCTATAGAAACGTAATTTTTTTACATACGAATACTTATCTATAGATTCCATGATGACCATTATATCAACTAATAAATGAATAAAAAATGTTCCTGAAAACAACCAAGGGTCAGCTTTTTCTGATTTTGAGAGGAATTTTATTCTATTTAAAATATTTACTGGAATATTTGTAAATAAGTATATAGTTATCAATTAAATATAATTTTCATTATTATTTCTTATTAATTATAACTTATTAAGATTTACATTATTAATTTATATACATATATATCAATGATAAAATCTGTCAACACATGCATACAAACTATTTGTCTTCAGAAAAACTATTCTAACTGAAAAGTTGATTTTAAAGAGTAGAAGTTTACCAAAAAAAAACTTTGTTCAAGAATATCAGGTCAAAATATTTCCGTGCAAAATATTATATATTATTAATATATAGGTATATTAATGTACATATAAACTATTAATATATATATATAGGCGACGGTTACCACTTTCCATCAGGTGGACCGTCAGCTTGTTTGTCATTCTAAGTTGTATAAAAATAAAATAAAAATAAATAACTGCCTACGACTAATATATATTATTATAATAATTTTTGTTTCCATCTTTGTTAACCATATTTATTGCAAATAAATATTATTATTATTAATGAACGTAGTCCCAAATAATACCCAGGTATATTCTTAGTCACCACTAAATATTCAGGGAGAAAGGGACTTTTAGTAACATTGTCTGAAAGTCCCATTGCTAACAATATACCACCCTATCAGGTCGACTTGGTTCTCTCTGGAAATCATCGTGGTTAATTCCTAATAAATTCATTACGATGGGCTAGCTTTCATCCTCAACTAAATGTTCAAAACTTACAAGTAAAAAATTTAACATAATTTTTTTTTTGAATAATAGAAAATTATATATCAATTAATATACATACACATTAATTATATATACTAACATTTCAGCTCCTGTGAGCCGAGTAAGACGCCATGAATCGAACGGCACTCGAGACGCGAAGCAAATGTTATTATTACAACTGAGACAGGTATGTGACTAATTAACTTATCTATATATTATCATAGGTCAGTAATAAAGTCAGTTGTACAAACCGGTATAAAGATGGAGTTATAAACAGTCGTAGGGATATTTTTAAAGCTGTTATATTTTAGACCCCATTAATACATAAAATAAAATCAATAAAATTGCATTAACTCTTATTCGCTATCGCCATTTTAAAATAATATAATACTAGTACAGTAATTGATTAATAATATTTAAAGGACGGATAGTTTAGTTTGTAGAAATCTAGTCTGACTTGGAAACTCCAAGATAAACCCAGTTTAAAAATTTTCTAATATGTTTTGATATTGATAAATAGTCCTCCGATGAGTCACGAGGCCGATGAGCCTTGTGTATTATAAAGGCGGTTTAATAATCTTGACAACAAAAAGTCACATCAATCACACGATAGTATCTATTTAAATAAATCACTAACAATATTGCCATATAACACTAATGTCATCTGGCACTAAATCCTCCCTGTAAACATATTTTAATGTGTGCAAAAGTATAAATAAATAAATAAATATTTCAAAAGTCAAAGTGAGTTCATTTTTTTGTTTAATAGCTCTTAATGTATTTACAGGTTAAAAATGAGCATAATTTTTGACATGGGCTATTTTCTATTTTAACATATTTTAGTCATACATACAAGGTCGTTCTTAAGAGCTAGTAACTTTATATGAGCACAAGTATGATTTTTTTACCACAAGAGTAAAGCAGGAAAATTGTTCTCGTAGTAAACGAAAAATTGGTTTGAAACAAAGCAAATCATTCCAATGTATATATGTCTACACCTACCTTTGTACCAAACAAGTAATGAAACTATTTCTATGAAATATTGATATCTGAAGTGGAACAACAACTTATACTTTTGTTGACATCAATCTAAAGTACTTGTGACCTCAAAATACTCTTTGAGATACGAAATGATAACGTTAAAGATTTTTTTTATTAACCGTTAATTATTCATTTCTGATTAATTATTAATGTTCCTCACTCATGGAGTTGTCACAAGAAATGGTCCTAAGCCCTCTGTATTCATCGTTTCACTGCAACACATTTAAATGAAAGATCGTACACTATCTTTGACTGTACGAAATCATCACTCCAAAAATTATCTTCCCTTTTGAACGTTCGATATTCGAGCTATTTGGCTAGCCCATTGACATTACTCCATGCTTATTCTTCCTTAACTCTCTTTTGATTCTGACACGAAGCGAAACACAATATTATTTCGATGTCCCAAGATTTTATACATATTATTTTTTATTTCTCAATAGTCAGACGGCGAGTTTGGCTTGGAATGTGAGACAACACTCGGAAAGAAGGGCACGTGTAAAAGCTTCAGAGACTGCTATCCCCTATTCAAAGTGGCTGATTTATCCGGATGGGATGGATGGGTCATGGGTCACTACGATACATGTAGCTATATTAACAATGACAACACGGAGGTAATTACTGTATCTCTCTACTTTTTCAATTCAAAATTATAAGACATTTTAAAACGCTAATTAAGACAACTAGATACACTGCTTTGGTGAAAATATATTTCCATGAACCTGATCTGATGATAAGGCTCTAAATTAACCCTAAAACTTTTTAATAAAACAATTCAACCCTATCAAGATAAGAGTAGTTTCATTTAGGTATCTCGATGATTAGTGGCTAGCAAAAGCAAAAAATGTTATAGGCAAATTACACTGAGAATGAAGGTACTATCCCTCCATATCTAATAATTTCACTACCCTTTAAACCTTGTTAAAAACACGAATGAAAACAAGTACCTATCCATTTGGACAAATTTTGTACTAACACGCGTCTGTATATGTGTCTAAATCTACGAGTATATGAACATGTTACGTGCTTCATTATATTTTTGGAGTACAAAACCGACTAGTAATTATTTGTCTTCCAGTGATTAGATTTTCAAATATGAACCAGGTATTTGGCGTATGCTGTACAGAACCAGTAGGCACGCCTCCGCAGCAGGAACCTGATGTTCAACGACTGGGTATCCTTCCACAAGCTCTCCCCATGTCAATACCGCCTATGCATTTATCTGGGTTAGTATAAACTACAATATTAAAAATATTTTTTTATATTATGAGAGTAGCCAACAAACTGCTAACCATTACATCAGAGACTAAACTTGCTAGTAATATTCATTCATTTTTTATTCATTATATTACGGAAAAATAATCTACTCGTATATAGCTACTATGTTTCGATAGCTAGATGAAACCAGTGTTATTGCTTACACAGAATGTATTCAAGACAACAAAGAAATGTTTATGGTACGAGTTTAGATATATATTTTAAGATAGAATAAAATACAATAAAACACATACAAGAAAATTGGTTAAGCCACGAAATTATTATTGTTATTCACGACTTTTCTGAATTGTCATCATTCACCCACACACATTTCTGAATAGCTTAGAATATCTAATAATTGGTTTGGGATTAGAAATCTAATTGTTCTACCGTCAAGATCTATCCAAGAAAATAACACTCACATATAATCATATGACTAGCTTTATTCCTAATAGTCAGATATTTGTTAATTACGTCTATAATATTGTCTTTTACCAGATTTTCAAATGGCATCCTACCTAATCTCTTCCAAAGTCACATTAACGTTCGTCAAATCCCAGCGCAGTGGCCGCCGACGCTGCCACCATTACCAACACATCCACCTGATCACACTGCGCCGACGCACCCACCCTCATTTGGTAATTATCAATATTTATCATCTACTTCTCACATTTTAATGAATGAAACAGTTGGTTTCCAGGAAGCACACATGAAGTTTGACCCTGCGGTATATAGCTAACAATGTCTAACTAAATGGTATTAAAAATAAAACGCTCTACTGCTATTTCATTAGTGGATAAACCAAGAAATGAAAATATGTAAGAATTTGAGACCTTTGATATTTAGTTCTTAGTTTATCACGCGACAACCTTAGCATGATCATAGATATATTCTATTTAATATAGAAATGTATAATGGCAACTTTGATGCCCATGTGAAAACTATTCGTAACTCAACTATGACTTGACTATCATTAAATATTTTTCAAAGAATATTTTTTGTGCAACTTAGAATAAATAAATATTATAATTTTATTAGTTGCAGGCGTCACTACGAAGCCTCCAAGTGCTTCGATTCCGGGCTCAACGACGTGGGCCACGAAACCGCCAAGTACTACAAAACAGGTATATATCTATATTAAATCGTTGAACGTTTTAAGTTTTATTACAGTAAATAAAATTAATATAAGAATCCTTTTAAATATGTTAATTTAAATAAGTTTACGTGTGTAATAGAAGGTGACAGTTATCCAATAAAAGCTCAGAATGGACAAAATACGAGTAAATAAAGGTGGTCTCGAGGGAAAGTAACTTTATTTTATACTATATATAGTAATTATACCATATATAGTATAAAACAAAGTCACTTTCCCTCGTCGGTACGCTTAAATATTTCAAACTATCCAACGGATTTTAATGCGGTTTTCATTAATAGATACAGTAATTCAAGAGGAAGGTTTATATGTATAATACATACATATATATTATAATATGTATATACTATATATAGTAAAGTTGTACAAAACCGTAGCGGGTTGCTAATAGAAAAAAATGTACTAAAAACACTCCAAGTAGTGTGGTAATATGTTACATTTAAATTTAATTCATATTCGACGTAACAAGCTGATGCAGAAAATGTAAGATTATGTGCTCTACTATCACACTAACATACATACTCATATCTACTAACACACAAACATACATACTCATGAAATTTTTGCATTATGCCCGGATCGAATCCGCTACCATCGGATGAAGCAGTATTTAAAACCGCTTTGCAACTAAGGTCGTCATAGACATAGTAAAAGTACTTTATAATGGAACCGCCTAGTCCAACGATACCTACATCGAAATTATTCACTCAGACACTATAAATACCTTATATATTGAAATTGGGTCTTAATATAACGGTTATTTATAGACTTGGCCTCCAATGTATCCGACACAACCAAGTAAACCACCGACTAGGCCACCTACTAAGCCACAGCCCGCCCATGACGGCAGTTGTGGGGTGAAAAATGGCGCTCAAGTAAGTTATTATTAGTCTTTTAAGTACATACTTAAGCTGTTTTAGAATAAAAATCGTCTTTATTTAAATAGATCTGTTTAAAAGCTCTTTTAAATCACCACTTATGGTTCTAACGCTGGGTTCGAAAAATTATCTTTTGAGAAGAACCCCCAAGGAACTCAACAGTATCTCTTTTTAAACAGATTTTTGAAAAAATGTTTAACTGACCAGCAATGTCCATTACGAGTTGCTGGTTATTTCATTGATAAAAAATTATGGTATTATTTTAAGAAATAAATAATTAATTTTATAATCACAAATTTAATATTTCTCCGTCAGACTTACCTTCAAGATGAGGAACGGATTGTCGGTGGTCACAATGCAGACTTGAATGAGTGGCCATGGATCGTAGCTCTTTTTAACTCAGGCCGTCAGTTCTGTGGTGGATCTTTAATAGATGACAGACATGTCTTATCCGCAGCGCATTGCGTCGCCCAGTAAGTAGAATGGCATAACACGATGTAATCGAAATTGGACTTAATAGCATGAGCCTCACCTCCAAACTCGTCTTCCACTTACAGCATGACATCGTGGGATGTGGCGCGTTTAACAGCAAGACTTGGAGATTATAACATCCACTCTAATGCAGAAACAAGACATATCGAAAGGAAAATAAAACGGGTAGTGAGACATCGCGGCTTCGACATGCGCACTTTGGTACATCAGCAAACCTAGTTTAATCACGTGATGGTTTTATTGAACTACTAGCTGTATTCCACGGCTTTGTCGGCGTAAATATCCTAATGATAAGTTAGGATGTAGTCTACCTGTGTAATAAATTTCATTCAAATCCGTTTTGTATTTTTTGCGTGAAAAAGTAACAAACATCAATCCTACGTTACAAACTTTCGCATTTATTATTTTAGCAGGTTTCTTATTTATATTATATCATTTTCAGTACAATGATGTTGCGGTATTAACTCTAGACCAAACTGTGCCTTTCACGAAAAATATTCATCCAGTTTGTCTGCCCAGTGGAGGGAAGGCTTACTCGGGCCTCATCGCTACCGTTATTGGTTGGGGAAGCCTTCGAGAGAGTTAGTATTTTATGTAATTTATTTAATTCATAATCACATTCAGATTTAAAAAGAAAATTAACTGATCAATTTCAAAATTGATATAATCCCACAGGCGGCCCCCAACCATCGATTTTACAAGAAGTGTCAATTCCAATTTGGGGTAACCCTGAATGCAGACAGAAATACGGCGCAGCAGCACCAGGCGGCATCGTCGACCACATGCTTTGCGCCGGTAAAGCCAGCATGGACTCATGCAGTGTAAGTTTATATAAATATTATAATACGCTTTAACGAACACTAAGAAATGTAACTAATAGAAAAGAAAATAAAGCCCACCCTAAGAACAAGGAATATCTTTGAATCCGCCTTTATTTTGAAAGTGCTCTTAAGCTCAATATAATAGTGCAGTGCGCTACCTAATCTTTTTTTTTCTCAATGTCCTTAAAGGTTGTCTGAAGAAACTGCTTAGTGATAAAGCCGCGTCTTAAGTCACTTCGCATTAAAATTTACTGTATTTACTATTTTTGTAACTGGTGTAATAAAGTGTAAATGAAATAAATAAATATAGGTAAACACATTGAAGTCGATTCTAAGGAACTATTTCTCTAAACTCTAATTCTAAAATTAAAATTTCTATTTGATGTCACGGCCAAATTTTTATTCCAAGAACCAATATGAACTAAATTTATAACAGATTTATTATTAACAATTTTTTTTACGATTGTTCATAAAACAGTAACTTATCGAAAAAAAACCAGGTTTAGAAATAACGCCTCAAAACCAACCCCATTGTAGAAAAAAAAACCATGTACTTGTCCAATCTTCAAATTGCAAACGCTATTTTATGTAATTGTGGAGTACAGGCCACATATATTATTTATAGCTATATATTATTATTTACCAAATTCGAAATTGACACGCATATCTATTGTTTTTTTTTTTGGCTTGCCTTCACGGCCCTAGTTTTCTAAGTTCCTTTGACTATACATATATTTCCAATTTCCATTCCTGGTTTCCTTTGTCGCCCACAGTAATTATTGTTTTTTTTAACAATTGTTCTAATATAAAATACTTTTTTAACAGGGTGACAGTGGCGGTCCGCTGATGGTAAATGAGGGAGGACGCTGGACACAAGTGGGCATTGTTTCTTGGGGCATAGGATGCGGCAAGGGACAATACCCGGGCGTTTACACGCGCATCACTGCTTTCTTGCCTTGGATACAAAAGAATTCGAAGTAAAGAAATAGGCGAGAAACACTAAGTTGATATATTTTTTATAAATGAAATTGCCATAAACTGATTGTGGCGGTCTGTGGATTTTGTATATATTTATATCAATTGTTTTGAGAAAGACAATTAAGCGTTCTTGCCTTTCTTAATAAATTGAAGAAACAAAATACGCCACAAATGTTCGATTAGCCATAAATATTTAAACTAAATTAAAGACACGGAAATGTGCCAATTTGTGAATAAAACATTTCATTACTTTACTTTTATTTATTAAATTCCCATAAATATAATTTAGCGTATAATATCATATGTACTTTAAAATAATAACACATATCATTAAAAATAAACCTTTAGTAGAACACTTTAAAATCAGTCTTTACATCTAAAGTTCATTATATTATTTTAAATCTTTTAGTAATAACAAAACATATTTAGTTAAATATTGATATATGGTTTTCACATAGATATCTAATACTATACAGCCCCCTTTATCTTCTTTAAACTAAATGTCAAAATTCGATACTTGTAACTGCTGCAGAATGTTGCGAGCTGTAGACAAAAAATTCTATGTGGGTAAAAAAATATGCCAAACACATCTTATTTTTAATGATCAGCAAGCCCGATTCCCCGCAACTTAATCAGAGAGAAATGAGTGCCAAGGGCCTACTGACCTGTCTTGCGTAATCTACTTTCATAACTAGTCTAATACATATACGCCCATTCTGGTGATGCGTAGCTATTGGCTAATTTTAGTTCAGAGAAATTCCCTATAGGTAGTATATTAAACTGACATGGTGGTATCATAATCGATTATAATTCTTAATAATATTATAAATGTGAAAGTGAGCTTATTTGTTTGTTACCTTATAGTACCTTAACGGTTTAACCAATCACTATGAAACTTGTTATACACGTACTAAATATATGGGACGGAGAAGGATATACTACTTTTTATCCCCGTCAGTAAACCACACCAGTAAGTCAATCAAACGGACGAATTTGCAAGTAAAAGTAGCTAGAAAATAAATCTTTTAAGTGAATAACACCAAACATATCTTACCAACAGTCATTTGTATGTTCTAACAACAAGGTATATCAGATGACCATCACAGCTCTATATCCAACTAATATTTTTACATCAAGATAGGAAATTAAAACATACAATGTACAGTATGTACCGTATTTAACACAAAATAACATAATAAAAACTAAATAATAATTACCTTGGAAATATCCTGTATCATGCAAATCATCGGGAGTGGGCACAAATGGTGGTTCAGCGCGCAATTGGTTGTCCCAGTCGACTCGTTGGAACAACGGCATGCGGCGTACCTCGGCTGCGGCTGGCCGCTCTTTAGGTTCCATGGTAAGTAGGCCTTCGATTGCAGCCACTGCCTCCGTTGACAGAGCTTCATCCGCCTCTGGCCATTCAATATCTAAAAATAATAATATTGAGTCAAATTCAAAACATATTTATTCAAATATACCTGTTTACAAACACTTTTAATCACTTAAGAACTTTCAATTAATTAAGAATACTGGGTTCAGAAAGTTGTTATCTGCTGAGAAGAACCGCAATTCAACAGTTACTCTTTTAAACAGATATTTAATGTGTAGCATTATGTGTATTTATTTTAATGTACTATATCTAAAATTACATGGTCACTAAAAAGCCCGTGTGTGATCCACTAACACCACACACATTTGTCATTGAATTAATCATTTAATGTATATATATATATATATATATATATATATATATATATATATATATATATATATATATATATATATAAAATAATAGACATTGTTTAATAACAGTTTTAAATTTATTAAAAGTTAGATCCAAAATATCGTTCGGTATATTTAATGCCTATTTCCATAAAAAAAAAAACCTATTAACTTTTTCTAAACGATACTTCGGAACAGCAAGTTTGTATCTAGTGTTAAGATTACTGAGATCGCTGCTTTTTTTAGGTTTTCCATTCTGACTATGCTTTATCGATTTTTATTGTTTATTATATACAGTTTATGGATATATATCTACTTGAAGGGAGCGGTAAAGTGGAGCACTGAGAGCGAGGTCTAACAGGAGTATCGTAGAAGCCTTACAACAGTAGAAGCAGTCTGTCTGCCTTACAAGAACTATTATATAGTATATTAACGAAATCGTAAAATAATAGGTATGTATAAGCACATACCTATCTTGTACTTCTTTTTTTATTGGATGAAATCGAGTGGTAACCCCGCCTGCGCTAATGGGATACGCTGGCGGGGCACCAGTGAAGGGTGATCGATGAGGATGAAAACAGGCTAGTTAGCCCATCATGATGAATTCATCAGGAATTAATCATGATAGTTTCCAGAGGGAACCGCAGTCTCCATTACTAACAATCCCTTCCCCCCCCCTATCTTGTACCGTGTAGTGCCATTATACGTGCCGTTGGTACAGATATAGGTTTTTTTTTTCTCGAGAATGTTAATTATTTTTTTTAGTTTTTGGTACTATTTTTTTTTTCTAAGAAAGAAATAAATTTTCTGAGATGAATACTCTAGTTTTTAAGAATTGAATTTCGTTATATAACATACTGTGTACTAAATGAACCGGGTTCATTTTTTCTCATCTGAATAAAAATTATACTATTTCTCAAGTTGGAGCAAATAATACACATCTATAAAATGTCATTAAAATCAGTTGAGTGATTTTGAAGGCCACATGATAAATAGAAAAATCACTCTTACTCACTTCTAGATAATATGTTTTTAAATACAGCTTGAGGAGTTTCGTCGTTGAATGGAGGCACACCAGTCATGAACTCGTACAGACAAACCCCTAAAGCCCACCAATCTACAGGAGGACCATGGCCTTCTCTGGAAGCAACAGCATTATATTATAACATAAATATTTTTTTATTGAAAGTATATTTTCAACAGTTAGTAACAAAATCATTAAAAAAAAAGCAATGAATAATAAAAGGATAGTTATAAAAGGAAACTAAGGAAACTAACTTCAAAAGTAATTCTGGTGCTAAATAGTCTGGAGTTCCTAAAATTCTCTGATCAGATATCTGGTTCCCTCGCCTCACACTTTTAGGCGTACGATAAGGTGTCTGTACGGTTGCCAGAGGAGTTTTGCATAAATCAGTAGGTGACCGTTCTCCCTAAAATATTATAGAAAGTAACCATTTACACAACAACCATATATTAAAACAAATATAGTGCTTACTTAATATTTTATAGGAAAATATCAAAACGAGTTTGTTTATTACATAAACAGCTGTATATATTTTATACAAATGCAAATATTGTCATGAAATTAAATATACAAGTATTTGAGATATAGAAAGTTTAGGCTATTTAGTAAGTAGGACTCAATCATTGAGGACGGAGGAGACCAGTAGCAGACTCGCGACTCCATTACTAGCATTATGCTATTAGGCCTATTAGGTCGACCTCCATGAAAGTCTCCACTGGCCTAACTTCACACACACACTTGGTGGGCACACCTAGTTAAAATACATTCTATTTACCTTGCTTAACCCTCTCATTGGAAATATTTCTAAACTTGTAGAAATATGTTTACTAAATATAATCGACTTCTTATTTGTGTCTGGAATTGACTGATCATCTTTTGGTAAGTTAAAACGGGTAGCTTTCTCTCTCTTTTTCGTTTCTTCTTTATTATTTGATACCGGCGTAGAGAATATGACTCCAACATTAAAATGATAACTGTCATCCTGAGAAACCCACCTAAAAATACAACTGTTATAATTTCTTAAAAATTATATTCAAACACAAAAAAAATATTTATTCATACCTTTTTTTCAAAACGCCCTTTATTGGATTTTTGCGTCTATCTGGAGTAGGATGTAACGACATGCGCTTTGGTGTATTTTGTGACAGTTCTAAAGCCATTATTTCTTGCGTCAACCCACTCTGATTTTCTTTAGACTCTGCTAGACTCATAACACCTGTAGGTGTATCACCATCACAGTCCAGTTTTCTCTTTCTTTTTTTAGCTCTGAAACTATAATTTATATAAGACATATAATTTTACAAAACTTCGTTGTTGATATATATAGTACAGTTACAAAAAATTATATACAAATATAATTTTTTGTAACTGTACTAACTTTTACCCGCAACTTCATTCACATGATCAGGATTTACTTACTGACCAGGATAAAAATTTGCCTATATCCTACCTCATCCCATATAGTATATGTATACCAAACTTCATAGTGATCAGTTAAGCTGTTAAGATGCTATAAGGTTACAATCTCACTTTCACATTTATAAGGATTCATCATACCTAGGTATCCTTTTCAAAGATTGGCCTCTGCATAGTGGTGATGTTGAGTTATCATGTTGAGAGTCTGATAAACCTGTAGATTCATCTACTGAAGACCCATTGTTACTGCTCAAGTCAGTAGTCGATTTATTACTTTTAGAGTTTGAACTATTTTTTGAACTCTCACATGTGTGATAAGAACTGTGTGATTCAGAACCAGAGCCTTGTATCTAAAACATGATTCAGACTAATTAATACATTTACTGCAATAAAAGACATTTACATAATAATTATCTGCAAAATATACATGAATACTTACAGAAACATCGTCTATATTAATACTCTCAGCACTCATGAAAGGATGTATTCCAGACAACTGTGAATGTTCCATTACATTTGAAGTATCTGTACCAGCTACAGCACTTAACTCATCTTTCAGTTTGCCTAATAAAACATTAATATTTAATTATTATATTTCACACACATTTAATAAAAACATAAATATATTTAATTACTTCAATTCAATAACTAATAATGCAATTTAATAGCTCCTAAATAATTGTTATAACCACTGCAAATAGTGTTCTTTGGAACCAATTTGTTAGTCCCCAATATATGGTTTAATATTTTACTATTAGAGTATAACAACTATTTTTCATTGCCAATAAAGTTCATTATAATTATCAATAGTAGAATACTTATCACAAGTAAATATATAATCATCATATGTAATTTTATAATTCTTGTGAAAACATATAATAGTTTCACTTCATTCATGATAACATGCAATTAGATTTTGTTTTGAAACTAATATAAACTCATTTGCTTGTCTGAGGGACCTCCTATAATAAATGTCCTAAGATCTATACTTGGCATATTTGTTTCTATAGGCACATTAATTATCAGCAAAGACATAAATTACATATAAAAATATATATAATATCAGTCAACCAAAGACCAATAAATATCAACATAAACTATTAATTAAATACGAATTTTGATTATTAGTATTCAATAAGTACTTTATATTTGCTTCTATGATTGTTATTATTTAAAAAATAATACTCCATTTTATTATTGTTTTTTTAACATCACCGTTATTTAAAAAACTAGAACACTATGCTTAAGGGATACAAAGCAAAACACAACATAAAAAGTATTTAAACATGCACAATCCCTACATAATTGTAATAGCATACTAGTCTCCTTAAGTTCATCAAGAAGGTTCTCACAGGCATCTGCAGAAATAACAGAATTTTGCATACTTTCCCCTCCACCAGAACCAAAAGACAGATGTGATGTCAAAGATAGGAGTTGGCCAGGGGTCCTCATGTTCAAACTCGGAGTTCGATTAACAAAATCTGATATTTCCAAATCTGAAAATTATATTATTATGTTACTCTTCCAATCTTCAACAATTCGATCAAGAAACATTTAGTTTGGAAGATTGGTGTGTAGTTATTATTTATTATTTCAATTAGGTAAGTTTTCTACAAGTTTAATTCTTCAGTATTTCCTTTTATTTTTATATCATGTTTGCCTCACAATGTGGGTGTCTCGGATAATAACCCTATGCTTTTGGGTTATTTGTCTGATGGAAGCACTGTTAAATTTTATATATACACACTATTGGTGAAGACCTATAAGCGACTTCATTGTTGTTGTGTTTATTTTTATGTAAATAAACCTTGGTTATTTTTTTTACAAATAAATAAATTAAATCTCTTAAAATTAACACAAAAAGTATTTGCTTTAATAACAATAAAAAATTTATTACCTCTATGTATTTCAATTTTTGATAAACCAAAGTCTGTAAGCTTGACATGACCTGACTTTGATATTAACATATTATCTGGTTTCAAGTCCCTGTGCACAATATTATGCTTATGTAAATAGTCCAGAGCTAATGTTACCTCAGCTACATAGAAAATAGCCATAGATTCTTCTAAAAATCCATAAACACCTAATAAAGACTTTAAATCACCACCAACCATATATTCCATGACCTGAAATTTACATTAAAATAAATATAAATATATATATATATATATATATATATATATATATATATATATATATATATATATATATATATATATATATATATATATATATATATATATATATATTTATATATATTTATATATATATATATATATATATATATTTATTATACCAGTCTTTGTAAATTTTATAAAATTTTCTTTAAATTCATAATTGATACATTTAAGTAACTGATATTTTAAAGATCTGAGGTATATACTGCTATAGTATCATATCCACTTAGAATATTATCATAAGAAAAAATACTACATATTTTTGCCAATTAATTTTAGGTTGAAAGAAAATAAGGCAATAAAAACATGTGAATCTAAACTTTTTTGTAACCATGTTAAAATATGATTTTTTTACAATTTGAATGGCAAAATCGAAGACTAAAAGTGGTATATGTTATCTATAGACATGGACAATGTAATGGACATAACAGAGTATACTGTATTGCCCATAATATCTTTTATGCATTGTATTACTATGACTATATCCTATAATTTCTCTGTCATATCCTAATTTTCATACAAAAAGAGTAACATGCAAATACAAGGTACCCAACAGATGACATTTGTACAGTCTCTCTCCAGTAATTTAATAATTATTATTGCCCCAACTTATTAAAAGTAACATTACTGGAAGAAATTGAGGGGTATGTTTGCATAACAGAGACTCTCACTGTTGGTTAGTATTGTTTGCCTATAAGTGCTATGCAATCAGACCTGTTGCCTAGTTCCTATGAGTATTATAGCCTAAGGGCTATATTATTATTTTACAGGATTAAACTTTACACTTACTAGATATACTGATGATACAGATTGTAATGAATAAAATAAATGCACACAAAATGGACTTCTAGATAAAGCCAGCGCATTTCGTTCAGTTACAACTTGTGCTACCATATTTTTATTTATCATATCGGATTTCTTCATAACTTTAATCGCATACATTTGTTCTTTGTTATTCTTCTTATGAGCAAGAAATACTTTGCCGAACGCACCACGGCTGATAGGTTTTATAATAGTGAAATCATGAATATCCGGAGGCTGAAATTATTGTTAAAAAGACGTAAATATAAATAAAGAAAAATATACTTATAACTAATAGGTAGGTAAATACCTAATTACCTTGGTAACAACATTTTCATTTATTGCATTAATTTTCTCTAAAATTGTATGGCAAATTGAACCATCTCCCACTTTTGAATCATCAGTAGCCATTGTAAATAATAACACAAATGCCAAAATTAAATGAAGTTATTTTATTATTTAGTAAATCATTATCAGTTTGATTGAAAAAATATAAATATACATAAAGAAATAAAAACTTATAACCAGAACATTCAAAAGCAACGGCGACAAGAGAAAATATTTATTTTACGATTTTTACGTCACTATCCAGTCCTGTGTCACTAATGTCAAATGTCAGGCAAAATTTAAGTAACAATGTCAAAACAAGATATGGAATTATATAAAAGAATATGAAGAATATGATAATTAGATGTAAAGATGTGCGGACCGGATGTGAGCAAAATTGAAATGGGTGTTTTAATGTGAAATAAAATTTTTGTAGGAACGAAATGTATAAATATCGAACCAGGTGACCCGGCATGAATAATATTAAATTTTGATTGATGGCCTTCTTTGAGGAACACGACATTCGGCGTGACTGATAGCGAACTCGATATGGGTGAACCCCATCATTGAAATTGCTGATGAGTTCTTTGTTGTCAGCTAAGATGCTGTAAAAACTCGCTGAAGAAACTCTAATGTAAAGCCTGAATTTAATATGTTAATTATCAAAATCTATTTTAAAACTAGTGTTAGTATTTATTAATAGGTTAATATAATTTTTTTTACAAAAAAATGTAATTGTTGTTTGAGACCCTATTAATGTATATTAATACTAGTCTTAGGATGAATTTCATTAATTAATATACTGTATACTTATATCGTAGTCACGTTACGTAAGTATATTTTGAAATTAAAATAACATACCTAAGAAGTTACAATATCAAAAAACTGTTTGAAATATTTCACCATATGATGAACTAAAAGCTAATGATTTTAATTAAATATATAAAATAGGAAAATAAAATGTTTGAAAAAAAAATAATTGTATCAAAATGGACAGGAAAATAAAATTTTATAAAATAAAATGAACAAACTATTAATATTCATAATTTAATTGTATAAGTAACACGACAGAAATTTTGAATCTAACAATATGCTCTAATAAAATTAATCATCAATTCTGCAGGATTTGACACATTGACTAAAAGCTTGAACAGCTGCTGAACACATTAAAGGCTGATGCGGATTGTCTTCATAACATTGTAAAATCTGCAAATTTAAGCATGTTTTACCTATGTACCAAATTATTATTTGTGTACCAAATTTAGTGTAGGCATATTTTCCTGTCCACGATTAACGGCGCGATACGAGGCGGCATATTAGGTTTTTTAATGTGCCACTTCAATACCCTGTATAGGTATATTTAAGTGGGAGTAGATAAGAAGCCGTACCCATCATAGACTTTTCTGGTGCTTGATGTTTATGGTCAAGTCATAAGTCTAAAAATACATATGCGCCTACTTAAAGAATCCAGGGTCCTACTGGTTAATAATCATAAATATGCCAATAATGCCGCGTCATGCCTCGCCTTTATTGCGCGGTTCAAACTTTATTTAATACTACTACTATAGTAAATTAATTCTGTACTTTTGCTCGCCATTCAAAACATGGTTTCATTTTGTGTATTCTGTCATGAGTTACTTTAAGTGGTTCGAATATTTGATTAGTATTTTCTATAGTTTTCTCGTATTCCGATTCGATAATTTTATTAATCGAATTATGTTCCTTTTTAAGATGATCTAATCTGCGAGTCCAGTAATCATTTTCATTGTACCCATGTGTCTCAATAGTTTGATTTTTTAAAATGGATTCATTTTCTGTTTCCTGTAATAGATCAAAATATTATGTACTTTCATACAGGTGCATAAAACGTTTCATAATACTCGTAATAATAATATGTGGGTTCAATTTCGACTATCTGAATATTAGGTATTATTCAAGTGAAATCAATTATTAATTTATTGCATCGCCGCGGCTCTTTCGCTTATTAGAAAACAGCTAGATAAAAATGGATAAAAAATTACTAATTTATTTAGCATTAGATGTCTAGATTATTTTATATAAAAATGAATAAGATTTAGATTCGATTCGAGTACATTAAACCTCTATGAAAAATTGCATTCAAATAAATTCTATTTATGAGTTATACTGCTACAGCTACAGCTGAAGCAGCTGTGTTTGCATGGCTGTGTTTCGGAATTTATCGGTACAGAGGAATGACACCTGAATCCTCAGGAATGGTAACACATGGTGGGTATCATGGGCGAAACAGTATATTCTGTTATGTCCATGGTATAGGCGACGGTTACCACTTTCCTTCAGGTGGGCCGTCAGCTTGTTTGCCATTCTAAGTTGTATAAAAAAAAAAAAAGCTAAGCATATACATACACAATAAGAGTTCTGCGACAGAGAATATTTCTTTTTATTCGTATTTATTTTTTACTCGTAGACTAACTAAATTACAGAAAGAACTTACATCGACTATATTTTCAATTTCTGCGAATGTGTTATCTTCGATAGATTTATGAACAGTTATTACAGGAATAATAGCAAATGTATTGTCAAAACTAATGCGTCGAGTATCTTTTGTACTTATGGTTCCCATTTCGAAAAGCAAATTATGTATTAAAAATACGCTTTCGTATTATGATTTTATTAGCTTATTTACTACGAAGAATTTATTGCATTTACAAATGGAATAAAATAGAATATTCTATACAAAAGTCTTTAAACGGGCATTTGTCATGTAACATTTGCTCCATGAAAATAAGTTTTTTTTTATCTACAATAAATGTCTAAATTTGTAGTTTATACTCGTAGGTGTATTATGTTTTCAACTAACTTCAAAAAGGTATAAATATTAAAGATTTATTAAAATCATGGACTTAGTATAACGTACTTCGTACACTTTATAATCTAAAATTAAAATATTGACATAGGTAGTTGTTTCTCTTTTATTGTAAAATCATTGTTTTCCATGTCTTGTTTAGGAAAGAAAATTAACACCTTTGTTCGTAGTTTTGCAGTTTCAATTTCAAAAATTAATTTAAAATTACATGTAAACAAGGACTTACATTTTCATTTTGTAGAGAGTTTAAAATCATTTTAATTATTATATAAAATTGTGAACATCGATATATAGAAATTTTGAATTTACAAATAGATTTATAAGAAAATATACTATACGTAATCTATGTGTACGTAATCCGTTAATGTTTCAAGATTAGAGCCCATACTGAGCGTCATGAAGCAAACCATCAATTTGTCGTCTAATATATATGTTAAGAATAGTTTCAAAAGTCTTAGCAAAGACAACCAGTACCGCGATTGGCCTGAATTTAGAAACATTCGGCTCCAGATCTTCTTTTGGAACCGAAGTAAGCTTGGGCAGCTTCCAACAGTTGGATATTTAGAATGGGTTAAAGAGAGATTATAAAGATACAACAGCGGGGCAGTGAACATCGGCAAACAATCTTTTACCAAAAATACAGAAATACCGTCAGGTCCAACTGAAGCCCGCAACTTAAGATGCCCCATCGTTGTCTTCAAGTCCCGTTTATTTATCACACCGAGAGTCATAGATCGTGCTACTATGCAAGAATGGGCAGCACATGCAGTATCTACAGAATTTAGATATGACCCCTTAGATCTAAACACAGAACCAAAATATCGGCCAAAAGCGTTAGCCACAGCCTGATCAGGTATTACTTTATTATTGTACGTGTAATTATGTATATTTCATTTAAAAGTAGACTTTCTTATTTCCTACATATTCCCAGAATTTAATAGGATCTTAAATTATGTCATACTGTATACTTTGTAAATATTGCCGATAAACATTGTTTATCAATTTTTTTACGTACCACCTATAATATTTAAACATTTCTTTATCATATTATTTCCTTCTATGTAATTCCTTGTTCTTACTGCAAAATTTGTCATTGACAAATAATTGACATATCAAACATTTTCTATACAATAGCCTATTATGAAATGGAAAAAATAGCAAATGATGATCTATCTTTCGTCCTCTTTTTATTAATTATATTTACATAAGAAGAAAATAGACAACCATATGATTAACAGTTTTTTTATCATTACTGCTACGTAATTCCTTGTTCTTAGGTTCAAAAAATTCAAAGCTGGTAACACTAGTTCCTGTTTTTAATTTCCTTTTTAATTAGACTTTTTATTATATCTGTATTATTTGTCAATTTCGTTCTACATATTAAACTATTTTTGCATTAATTTGACTGATTTTTAGTGGATGTAGTGTAGTAATATTGTATTGTATTTCTTGAATTTGTGTGTAAACGGCGAATCGAGTAATGGAAAGTAACTATAGCTCATAGAGGGGAAAAAATATTAGAAACATGTCTCTGTATGATGATCTTGACACAATCAAAGCTCGTACTACTGAGAAAGTCGCTGGATGGTCTTCGGGAATAAAATTACTACAATCACAATTGCAACTTAAGAAAGCTGCAGTAACACAACCCAAAAGAGAAGCGTTGCGACGATCAGCACAGGTTAGTTGCAGTACTAATAATTAAATAATTTCCATAGTTCATTGGTTTTAGTAACTATTACCTGTCATCACACATACAGATAAGTGTAGTAAGCATATTAGTTTTATATACGAGTTATCAACCAGATGGACGACCTTTTTTTTGTAATATATGAAAATGAAATGGTGATCATGCTTACGTTATCGGTATACACAGATGGGGTATCATTCATATCAAGAATGATAGATGAGGATGAAGCAAGTCAGTTGGTCTATCTAATGAATTCAACAATAATTAATCACGATGGTTTCTAGGGAGAATCACTTGGAGGTGATCTTGATAGGGTATATTGTTTACAATGTAGCTGTTATACAAATAAAATTAAGTATAGGGTATAGAAGCATAACACCTTAAAACATGTTAGTACTTAGGAATGGCAATGCATACAAGGTATCATGGGTGACACAGTATACTCTGTTATGTCAATGAAACAGTTTATGTTTATAGACAATGGTTACCATTTTTCATCAGGGGGGCTGTCAGCTTGTTTGCCATTTAACATTGGATAAAAAAATCCTTTTTCCAGTGGATTTGGATAATATTTACTATAATTATTAGTATATAGTTGTAATAACTGAAGTTTACTGTATTAACTAGACTTGAAATATTTCACATGTTTCCTACATGTGAAATACATGTACATTATGAAATATTATATTTTAAGTGAATTTATATGTCATTCCACCAGCAGTCTGTATGAAGTGACTTATGTTTCATATAGATTGCTACAAAACTCTAAATGAAATCATAGATAATTACTATATTTGAATTTATTCATGAGTCATCAGTGAAGTAAAATTGTGGCAGATGGCAGACTTATCAATACAGAACTAGTGAGTAGACTATATCACATTGCATTAGAATTTCTATTTATTCACTCTTATCATAAAAATTGTAATTCATATTTCACTTTTCAATGGCAAATAGTAGTGAGCGTAACCTTAAGTAATTATGAGTTAAAATCACTTTTATGGTTTGTTATGGGTGATATCACTATTAATTAAAATGATAATTTTACTAAATGAAAATGAATTAAATATAGCAATGATTTCCATTCCTAGTTCAACCAAAGATTTTGTATAACCCTAGAACTCCAGAGAGTATAGTAGTAATGCCAAAATAAGTTTATTATTTCAAGGAGTATATTATATTATTTATATGTTTTATATTAATTTTATTTTATATTAATAAAAAATATAATTTTATTAATTTAATAAATTAAATTATTGTTTATTAAGAACTTAGTATTTCACTTCTTTTACTGATACATTGGGGCATATTTTGATTTTGCCATTTCTTTAAATCTATTTCTTAACCCAATATTTTAAAAGTTTTAGAAAATTACTATTTTATGGGCCATAACAAACCAAATTTATAATAATTTTAAATGAAAAGTATATGAGATTCAGTTTATATTAGTAGTCCTTAGAATAAAAATTTTGCTCTGATTTCAATTAAAATTTTTTTTAAAATAAGTTTAGAGAATTGGTGTCTCAGAATCAACATGATTATGGATTCATTCTAGCTTGAAATATAAAACTATTAGTACTAACTATTTTTTTTATTACTATCTGTATTTTTATTAATACAATGTGTTTACTTCATCAAGGTATTGACTCCAGTAATAGATTTGAAAAGTAAACAAAAAGATGATGATGAGTCCAATTCAAATAGTCCAAATCTTCAGCCAAAAACATTGACAGCTTCACTGAATGTTCGAGATTTTGATTGGAATGTGGCCAATGAATATGATCCTATGTGGCCAAATGATTATGAAAAAGTTGCTAAAGGTAAAAATAAATTTAATTTGAAAAAATTAGATTTTCTTTTATTTTTTTATTAATTTTAATATTGTTGTGAAATATGTTAAAGGGCTTATTAATATTTGGTATTTAATCTATTGATTTGTTTATTAGTAATTTTAATATTTATAATTTTTTTTACTAAATGTGCTAAAAACTTACTTTATGTGAATTATATTAATGTGGTATTTGACAAAATGATTTCAGAAATGCAAGCAAAGAGATTGCAACTTGATAGTAATGACAGAAATGAAACAAGATCAGATAGAAAGCGTAAAAGTAGATTTGGAGACGATGAGGATGCCATTCCAGAGAAGACACTTATACCTATGGTAATATTATTGAACATATTGAACATCATATTTCTCTGTTACATATTTTTAGTAAGAACAATGGTGCCCCACATAAATACTACTTTTGATTTACGGCTCTCTCCATGTGAATCAAAATAAAAAGTATCCTAATTTTGGATGTTTCTTAGATTGTACATATTCAGTAACAGATATTCAGTTATCTTTCCTTTCGTGATTGTGGATACATACTGTCATGTATATTGATGTGGGTACTTTTATACTTTGTTAAATAATAAAGTGTACTAATGTAGGTAGAACATGTTCCAACATGACATAAACTGATTCAAGCTACACAGCACGTTTTATTTCACAATATCATATAATTAGAACATATTAGTGGCGACGAAGTGTAAAAAGTAATAAAATGGACGTAAAAGCAGTGAAATTCGATGAGTTTAATCCGCAAACAGACAATTGGGATATTTATTTTGACCGTTTAAAATTTTGTTTCGAGGCTAATGGCGTCATAACAGACTCGTCTAAAAGAGCTAACTTCTTCACAGTGTGTGGTTCGCGGGTGTTTGAAACTTTATTGGCATTAATCACACCCAGAAAAGCTAGCGAAGTGACATTCAATGAAATAGAAATTGTTTTGACTAAACACTACAGTCCAAGACCAAATGAAATATCAGTGTCGTTCCAGTTTTATAAACGTGATCAAAAACATGATGAATCTGCGGCAGACTATATAGCTCAATTAAGAAAACTTAGCTCTGGCTGCAATTTCGTTGACTTAGAGCGAATGCTTCGCGACCGGCTCGTATGTGGTATGCGTGACGGACGGTTACAGTATGAACTTTTAAAACGAGATAAGTTACGTTATCAAGATGTAGTGGATGCTATGCTATCATCAGAAAGTGCGGGACGGGATGTCCGCATGATTCAAGTATCTGCCAGCGTGACCGCGGATACTACTGTCGCGCCTGTCCTCTCTCGAACGACTTACACTACATCACCGTCGGGTTCAGAGCCGATGGATATTAATGCAGTTCAGTCAAGAGCGTCCATTCGTTTTTGTTATCGTTGTGGCGACCGTCATAATGGAGAGTGTCGATTTTTAAATGCTATTTGTCGATACTGTAAGAAAAAAGGGCACCTGGAGAAAATTTGTATTAGTAAAAAGAAGAATAAACATAATAATGTAAATTTTACGGAAGAAACAAATGATTGTTTAAATGGAATCTATTGTATATCAAATATGGGTCGCACACCGCCATTTGAAGTGATGCCATTCCTTGCTGGAATTCCAGTTTGTATGCAAGTGGATACAGGAGCAAGTTATTCTATAGTAAATGAGCAAACATGGCATACAGTACATAAACAGATGCCACAAAATGCACTACAGCCTACTTCACTAATCCTACGCACATGGACAGAGACTCCAGTCCAACTACTTGGCCAAGTTACACTACCAGTGCGTTATAGAAACATCGCAAAAAACTTGTGTGTGATTGTAGCCAAAGGTAAAGGACCGAACCTACTCGGTCGAGATTGGCTCGCTCCTCTGAACTTGACTATGAATATCAATTTTGTGTCAAATACTGAACAAAATGGAATAGACACGATATTATCTAAACATAAAGAAGTTTTCAAAGATGGACTCGGTACCTACCGCGGACAACCAGTTACTATACACATAAAGCCAGGGGCAACTCCAAAGTTCCTTAAGGCTCGTCAAGTACCATTTGCTTTAAAACAAAGAATAGAAATGGAGATTGATAGATTAGAAAATGAAGGAGTATTACGCCAAACATCCTTTTCTGAATGGGCTACACCAGTAGTGCCAATAATAAAAAAGTCAGGAGAAATAAGATTGTGTGGAGATTACCGCAGTACTGTTAATGAAGCCACCGAGTCAGATACCTATCCTATGCCCACAGCAAATGAAGTCTTTGCTGCGGTCGCGGGTGGAAAATACTTTACAACTTTAGATTTGGATAGAGCATACACACAAGTTACCGTAGACGATGAAACATCTAAACTCCTAACTTTGAATACCTGCAAGGGTCTGTATACCGTACATCGCCTCGCTTTCGGAGTTAAGGCATGTCCTGGAATTTTTCAACGATTAATGACATCTTTGTTGGGTGGCATCGCCGGTGTTGCAGTTCTAATTGATGACATAATCGTCTGTGGCCATACTTTGCTGGAAATGCAAGAAAGACTTGATAAGGTACTTGGGCGAATCGAACGTGCAGGACTTCGATTGAATAAAAATAAATGCAGGTTCGCTCAAGAAAGAGTTGAGTTTCTAGGTTTTGTTATAGATGCTAAGGGTATCCATCCAGCACCAAGCAAAGTAGAATCCATTACTAACACCCCTAAACCTAAAAACAAACGAGAACTACAAGCTTATCTCTATAATTTTTATGAGAGGTTGTATACCTCATAAAGCGACGCTACTAGAGCCATTGCATCGTTTATTAGACACACGTCAGGAGTGGAAATGGACAGAACAAGAACAAAACGCGTTTGACACGGCTAATCGATTATTGACTTTTGATTTAACACTAGTGCACTATGATATAACTAAACCTATAATACTTACTTGTGATAGTTCAGAATATGGCGTTGGAGCAGTATTGTCACATGTAAAGGATAATGACGAATTTCCTATAGCAATGGCATCCAGAACTTTACATCCTCATGAGCGGCGTTATTCACAGCTGGATAAAGAAGCTACTTCAATTATGTTTGGGATAACCAAATTTCAAAATTACCTCACAGGAAGAAAATTCTCTATAATAACTGATCATAAACCATTGCTCGGTATATTTAATCCTAAAAAGCCTATGCCTAATATGATTTCACCTCGTTTAACTAGAATAGCAATTGCTTTGACATCTCACGACTATGAGATAAAATATAAGCCAGGTCCTGAAATAGGTAATGCAGATTGTTTAAGCCGATGGCCACAGCCAGCCAATGAAGTTTAGTACCGTGGAACCTCAACATCAGCTGGGAGAAGTACTTTTAATGGCTGAAACACCAGAAGATTTTCCATACAATTCAGAGCACATAGCCAGGGAACGAATAGAGATAAAATCTTGTCAAAAGTTAGTTATTATATACAACGTGGGTGGCCAGCTAAAGAAACTGATGCAGATATACGCCCATTCTGGTTACATCGCACAGAGCTGTCACTGCAAGAAAATTGTATTCTACTAGGATGTCGGGTTGTAGTACCTAGTACTCTCCGTCCTGCAACTCTACGAATGTTACATAAAACACATACAGGTATTGTCCAAACCAAAGCACTGGCCAGAAGCTATGTGTGGTGGCCACACTTAAACGAAGACATAGAATCACTAGTGAGTGGTTGTACCAAGTGCCTTGAAAATCGACATATGCCTCCTAAAACTACACACGAATGGATTACACCTTCAAGGCCATGGTCAAGAATTCATATAGACTTTGCGGGGCCATATCACAATAAATATTTTCTAATTATAGTCGATGCATATTCTCGTTGGCCAGAAGTGTTTATGGTGAACAATACAACAACGACCACTGTGATTCGGTTGCTTAGAACGACTTTTGCAACCCATGGCCTTTGTGAAGTTTTAGTGTCTGATAATGGCACATCATTTGTATCAGGCGAAATTAAGGAATTTCTGCAGGCAAATAATATACGTCACGTTACTACTGCACCTTATCATCCAGCGACCAATGGTTTAGCGGAACGAATGGTCCAGACAGTTAAAGATAAACTAAAAAAAATGGATCATTTATCCTGGGACATTAGAATTCCAAATTTGTTATTAGGTTTCTTTGTCAAAATGCTCAGCTACGAATAAAAGTCCAGCTGAACTATTAATGAACAGACATTTGAGGACATTGCTGGATACAATTCATCCAGACAGTTTGAAACATAAAAAAACAGAGTGGCAGATTGACCACAATCAACATAAATCACACAGAGAAACTAATGAGGGAAAACTATTTTTATTAATACAATGTGTTTACAGATAATGTACAGAAATTACAACAATCAAGGCCCCAAATGGTTACCAGGCGTAGTATTACAGAAGAATGGACCGTCTAATTATAAAATTGAGACAGCTAATGGTAAAGCAATCAATCGTCATATTGATCAGTTGATTAGATACAGATCAAGAAAGGAGGAAGGAGAAGAAGGAATTGCTGGTACATCTGAATCATTGGAAGTTTCCAATAACACAGATAATAATGTTAAGAACCATCAACAAGAACAACAGGAAAGTAACAGCCAAGAGTCTGAGAGGATTATTGAAATACCAGATTCTGAAAAATGGGTTGAGATATTGGGAATCCCACCAACTTTGAATTGGCTATTAGCTACAGGCAAAATAAAAAATAAGTTAAATGTGCATTCTAAAACTCCTTATGAGAGACCACAAGATCTTAAAGACAATCTGTACTTATTCTAAGTGTCATTATATTTTTATATTAGTATTATATATGTCTAAAATGTAATCATAATATCTTTCTATATTTATAATTGATTTAACTATCTTAGAGGGGAGGTATGTCATGTATATTGATGTGGGTACTTTTATACTTTGTTAAATAATAAAGTGTACTAATGTAGGTAGAACATGTTCCAACATGACATAAACTGATTCAAGCTACACAGCACGTTTTATTTCACAATATCATATAATTAGAACATATTACATACATACTTCTGTTATATAAGGAGCGCAATTAGGTGATTTAATAAATGTTGTTTGTCTATTAACAAATTAATACTATTTCTATATCCAGTATTTTATTGTTACAGCAACCTGAAGAAGAAGAAGCTGAAGAGATATCAAAGCGTGCTGCTGGTGCTGCTATAGCACCACCACCATCTTTAACAGTGGAAACACCATCACCACCACCACCACCACCTGTAGTACCAGCAGCCACTCCTTCCCCTGGTTTTTCTTTAGGTGGTTATGGTGCCAGTTCAGTAGCTGCGAAAATTATGGCAAAATATGGCTTCAAGGTAATTAACAAATAACACTGTTGTACCCAATAATATGTGAAATGTTAATTAACACATGTAGTAGTTGAGAACTATTTTGAGGTGATAGATAAATCTGTGTATATTTCATTGTAGGAAGGTCAAGGTTTGGGTAAAAAAGAACAAGGAATGTCAGTAGCTCTGCAGGTAGAAAAAACTTCAAAAAGGGGTGGCCGAATCATACATGAGAAAGATGGAAATGTAATGCCACCTCCTGGTTTTGCTGTTCCTGCACCTCCTGGTCCAGGTTATTATACTACATATATATACATTAGCTGTGTTAATTTATGTAAGAAGTTCTACATTAAAAGTTAAACTGCACTTACAAGCCAGTGGATGGGATTCAGTGCACCTTAATCTCATTTCTTTCCATACAACAACAGGTGTTTGGTGCATGGTCTTTTTGTTAAACAGTTTGTTTTACAATATTAAAAATATTCTTAAAACCTTATAATTGCCAAGTGGCCAGTTGTTTAGTCAATGTTGTTGAGTGGTTTACTTTTTGGTAAGATATCTTCATTAAGAATAGAGTTTATCATTGTTGATACTAAAACCTTATTTTAATTGTGTTTTCTGGAAGATAAATATACTATATTTAATTTGTGTTACATATTTTATTTTTATTTATTTATTACATAGTCATAACATGCTTATACATAACATAGATACAAAATAAACTACCATTGTTTAGTTTACATATGAAATACTAATGTGTTTAATAAAAAATGCTTCATTTCTTACAGATTCACCTACTGCTACTTCCAATTCACCCCAGCTTTCTAAACAGGAACCATCAATCACCGAGATAATGAAGTCACCAAGTAAAGTGGTTTTATTGCGAGTAAGTATAAGTAACTAGTGCTTACAATACCTTATCTATTACTCTTTATAGCATTCAAACTTTAGTTTACTGAGGTGTATATTGTATTAATACAAATTTAAAAAACCAATAATAGTTGTCAAATTTAGCAGAAAAAGCGCACACACACACGCGCGCACACACGCGCACGCAAATTCTAGTACCTAAGTAAGTGAATTTGATGGTGTTTTGAATTTTCATATACATAATTTGTTACAGAACATGGTAGGTCCAGGTGATGTTGACGAGGAATTAGAACCTGAAGTTAAAGATGAATGCAATACTAAATATGGAGATGTTATAAAAGTATTGATTTTCGAAATGCCCAATGCTCCTGCAGATGAGGCTGTAAGAATATTTGTGGAATTCAAACGAATTGAAAGCGCCATAAAAGCAGTTGTTGATTTAAATGGAAGATTCTTTGGTGGTCGTCAGGTCAAAGCAGGCTTCTATGATGTAGAGAAATTTAATTGTTTACAATTAACAGAATAAACTTATTGACTTAAAATTAATATTTTATTTGCGTCAAAAGAAAATAATTCCCAACAATACTTTTCCTTTTCTTAGGGTATAATTACAGCGTTAAGTTATTGATTAATGATACGCGGCAGAGACTTATTAATCAAAGTTTGCAATATATGGGATTACAAGTTATCTTTTATAAAAATAAAGAGAACAAAATTAAATGTCTTATGTAAAAAAAACTTATTACTCAATTAAGGACTTGTTGGACTAAAAAATAATTCTATTTTATAAGCACATACATAATATTTTATCATTAGTATTTAAAAAAAATACTATAAATATTAAAATGATGCATGCCATTGTTTTGGCAAAAAACACGCCTGTTCCTAACATATTATTACTCTGTATATCGTATTTTCAACAAATAAATTATCTACACTAATATTATAAAGAGAAAAACTTTGTTTGGTTGTAATGAATAGGCTCAAAAACTACTGGACCGTTTTTAAAAATTCTTTCATCATCACCATTCGAAAGCTACATTATCTACGAGTAAAATAGGCTAAATTTTATTTTGGATAAAAATAGGGTTCCATAAAATATTTGGGTTTATCGGACACAAGGTGTAAAAAATCAACCAGAAAAGTTACTTATTTTGCGTACGCTACCTAAACTATAAAAAATAAAACCATAAAATGTTCTAATTAATTGTAGATCTTATAAATATCTACAAAAAAGTCCGCGACACACTATACCTATGTCGAGTGAGGCACAGCAACCATTTTTTTTTTTTAAAACTTGAATTTTTTTGGAATACATTTAAACGCATTTATTTTACTCATCCTATTAATCCTTATCAAAATAAAATTTCATCACTAAGTACAGTTTATGTAGATAATATTTGGTCTTTGAATAATTAAAATTGGACGTTTAGGTCTAGCGCGCGAGGCGTGTTAAATAAAACTTCAAAATTTTCACCGCACCAGTATGGTATAGGTAAGTAAGTTTTAACTTTTAGGACATAGGTGTTTTGAAAAGTAACTCCTACGAGGGTAAAAATGGTACACGAAGTGAAGCGAGGGCGGGTCCACTATGCTTAATATAGCACAGAAACACTGATAATTTTAGAGGTTTCTAATGTGATGTCGTAAATTAACGCATTTTTTACGCTTAGCATTGCACCCGTGCGAAGCCAGGGCGGGTCGCTATAATCTACACAAATATTATAAAGAGGAAACATTTGTTTTTTTGTTTGTAACGAATAGGCTCCGAAACTACTGGACCGATTTTAAAAATTCTTTCACCAATCGATAGCATCATCCTTTGACCATTTATGTCGAGCAAGTCGGAAGAAAAATTGTATAAAATTCGCTTATCTTGTGCACACTGACTAAATAGTTGCTTATAATGAAAAACAATGTTCTAAGTTTTTAAAATACTCATTGAGATCTAAAAGTCCGCGATAGCATATATCTAACTATTACGGTTAGATCACAATAATCACTTTTCTTTCTAAAATTACGAATAACCACACTGGTCGCCGTCTGGGTGGTATTTTCATACTCCAGTATTAATCTTTATCCAAATAAATCTATCGAGTTATTTCAAAAAATTGCATATTGCGATAACCAAGATACACGCGGGAGAAGCCGCGGGCGAAAGCTAGTTGTTATTATAATACATAATCTAGTAATGTAAAATTTGTCATTGACAATAATTGACATATCAAACGTTTTCTATACATCAGCCTGCCATAAATTTAGAAAAATGACAACTGATGGTGTATCTTTCATCCTTTTTTTACTAATTATATTTCCATAAGAAGAAAGGCGGCAACTATATGATTTACAGTTTTTATTTTATCCTTCCTTCTATGTAATTCCTTGTTCTCAGGGTTATACAGCCTTATACATTTTCTATACACTAGCCTGCTATGAATTGACAAAAATAGCAACTAATGGTGTATCATTAGTCGTCTTTTTACTAATTATATTTGTATAAGAAGAAAGTAGTCAACCACATGATTTACAGTTTTTATTTTATCATTCCTTCTATATAATTCCTTGTTCTGAGGTTTTTGTCTAATGTCACCATGGTGTGCCAATTTGGCAGTTGAGAGCTGTACGTCACATTTGTTTGATAGACATATTCTCTCAAATCTATGATAGATACCTAGATACGATTCGAATTTGATATCATATATATTTCATTTTAGAAATTATTGCATTTTAATTATTTTATAGTGTCATTGCTACAGAGTAAATTTTATGTAATTTACAATATTTAATTTCTTTTTATATTAAGATATCAAGTAAACAATTAGATTAAAAATGTCTCATTTGTAAACAAAACGAAATTGGTGTTCTAGTTCAACACCATATTTTGTTAAATTTGTAACCATTATATTGATTTGTGATATTATAAATGGCTTTTTATTCGTGCAATCGTTATAGACTAATAGTTTTAATACTTCTAATTTTGATTTTATGGCAATGTTTCCGATTATTGCCTCAAACTGCGACTGATATAACCAAGGTAATTTTAACAATAAATAACTTAGTAATGCAAAAATGAAATAAATTGTGACAGTTTATAAGTGGCAAATATAGTTTAGATTGTATGCCAATTATTTCTATAAATATAATTGAGTACATATTATTTTTTATGTTTATCTTTGCAAAAGAAAGTTTTTTTTTTATGTTAATGCTGTTTAAACCATTTTAAATATCAAGAACTTGAATAGTCAGTCTTTTTTTGCTAGTTTTGTATTGTATGTACTGTCTTAAATTTGTTAAGTTGATAAAAGAGTAGGAATTGAATTTAATAGAACAAATTATCAAGATAACAATAGTATATGTGTCACCAATCTAATACTAAAATGGATATCCAAATAAGATAGTAATTAAGATTTTCTACATAAACAATTACAACTTAGTTTTGTTAATATGTACATTTATGTTTTATAATAGAAATATTTTTTTATTATAATATCAGCCTTTAATATGCTAAACATAGGCCTCCCCCATAAGGGGGATTTTACCAGTTCTTGCCACAATTAGCAGGCAGGTGAGCAACCACAATTAGACTTTGGTAATGTTTTAAGATGGACATTGCTGCCTATCCCTAGACTATTATGTTCCCTTATTTGCCTCTTACAACACAAATGGGAAATAAAGGAATAATCCATTCTATGCCACCAAACAGGATCACATCATAAATAATTTATAATTATTTTCAGACTAATATAGAGGAATTAGAAGATGATAAGTATAATAGACACAAGCAGGACAAGGTTAAAGTTAGAGTGTACTATGAGGCTTTATGTCCTGATTCTAAACATTTTTTTATTCGACATTTAAGTCCAGTCACAGAAAAACTATCAGACTTTGTAGATGTAACTTTAATCCCATATGGAAAAGCAACAGTGAGTATTGTTGAGTAATATAGCTTTTTTAAGAGGAGAATATCTATAGAATAATATTTATTTTAGTATGTACTAAATGGGCATTTTAATTAGTCTTCTTTGATGAACTATTTTGTTGTTGTATGGCATTTACTGACATTAATGTTAATTTATTAGTATCAATCTACAAGTTAATAATTCGTTTTTCTACACTATGTTATTGGTTATAATATATATATGTTATTATGTTCAGATACTATATATGTAATTTATGTATGTATTATTTACAGACAACAGAGCAGAATGGTCACTATTACTTTAAATGTCAACATGGTGAAGAGGAATGCTATGCAAATAAGATTCATGCATGTTCTATTCAAGCAGTGGGCAACATGACCACAGCTGTGAAAATTACAGAGTGTATGATATCTGATAATATGGATGCTGATGCTGCTCTTTTACGGGTAATTTTAATAAATTACAGTCTAGATATATATTCTATTAGATATGGTTTTTGATATATATATATAAAAAGTTTCACTACATATAACAGTGTTGGTTAAAAATGAGTTCAAATTGTGCCTTCAGTCACTTCTTTAGGGTTTTTTGTATATCATTAAATTATCTTCAATATTGATTTTTTACAGTGTATGTTATGGACAGAATCACATGCCTATAAATGCTGAATTTAAGACATCTATATGTTTATACAACATAAGTTGTATAGGTTTATAAAAACCTGTATTTTGTCAATAAGATATATTGTTTCCACATGTCTGAACTCTGTATTTTTATCAACACCTAGTCTCAATATTTTTTACTATTCTTCTGATTGTATCTTGATAAGATGTGTTTTAAGATAATGCAATATCTCAAGAAGCATGATAAAGAGTACAAGTAAGAGGGCTGATTTATAAGTCCCATAATAATGAATGAAGCAGTAATACTAGTATATGAGTATATACTAGTATATTAGTATATAAGTATGTTTGGACAATACAATGTTTTGAGAATACATGCATGAAATTTTATATGGATATTTGTATTAGTATTGCTTTGGCAATTGTTTAGACTGGACAAGCCATTCTTTGGCTATTAAAATGGAAAAAATGAATTTCAAGTGTTCAACAAAACATTTCTTTTTATCCTCATTTTGCTAACAAAAAGTAATGACAATAGTAATCCTCTCTGGAAGAAAGACCTGTTTCACTATAATGATAGTCCCACCCATTTTGTCACCATTGCAGCGGTCAAGATGGTGGTACACCACAAAATCTACTTTTTATACAAGGGCTGTCCCAAACAACCAAAGAAAACAGTAAAAAATTGCGAAAATGTTTTTCAACATATTTCCTTTCAGCTCGATACTACACTTTTCACAACGATATTCACTGTCAAGCTTCTCAAAATAGCTATTAACCGCAGACTCTACCTCTTCATTGTTGGCAAATTTTTGCTGCCCAGCCATTTTTTCAAATTTGGAAAAAGAAAATAATCCGAGGGAGCCAGATCTGGCGAATAGGATGCGTGAGGAAGCAAATCGAACTACAAATTATTGATCTTAGCCATCGCAATGACGCACGTGTGGGGAGTGGTGTATTGTCGTGATGAAATAATACTTTGTTTTTCATCAGATTGGGCCATTTTTCCTTGATTTCTTCACTCAAACGCTACAATAAGGCTGCATAATATGCGCCCTTGATTGTTTTTCCTTTTTCGAGATAATCAATAAATATTTATCCACGCGCATCCCAGAAAACGGATGTCAAGACCTTGCCAGCTACTGAACTGTCTGCTTTCTTTGGAGCTGATTCTCCCTTTTCCGTCCACTGATTTGACTGATCTTTGGTCTCAGGTGTAAAATGATGGACCCATGATTCGTCCGTGGTTATGAATCGACACAAAAACTCGGCTTTATTGCTGCGAAACATTGCCAAATACTCGATGGAAAGATCTTCACGATGCTGTTTGTACTCTATTGTGAGCAAACGTGGCACCCATTTTGCGCACAGCTTTCTTTTATTCAATATTTTCGGTTAAAATGTAATGCACAGCACTTTTTAAAATGCCTGCCATGTCTGCTCTCTTGCGTACTTTTAGTGACGGTCATCCAATACCATTTTGTGGATTTTCATGTGTTCATCTTGGCAGCTCGTATGACTTCGCTTAAACTCAGCTACCCAGTATTAGATCGTTGTAAACGAAGGAGCAGACAGCAGATTGTGTCACAACGATGCCCGATTTTTTCCATATTTACAAATTCACTGAGAGTGTTCACTGTGGATGGCTCTAAAAAATATTAATTGACTTACTGTTATGAATTTTTCACATTAAATTGTTAAAAGGTGGTATTGTCAATCGCAATTTTTTTTTTTTTAAACTACCTGTATTCATAAGTCATGTCGGGTACTCTTGGGAATACTCTCATATTTCTATCTTCCTTATCCACCATATTCTCCTCAGCTAGCTCCAAGAAATTTTTTCCTATTTCCAAACATGAAAAAATGGCTTGGTGATGAAGATTTTTAGGTTAACTTTAAAACTTAAGCATAATTTAAGGGCTCCAAGGCCCTTAAAGATTACTATAGAGAGAGGATCAAAAAATTCCAGCAACACACCAAGTGTATAGCTCTAAAAGGAGATGACATTGAAAAATAAATGTCATTCATTTGAAAAAGTAAATTTTTGTTTCATATTTACCAGTCTTATCAATCCACCCTTATACACAAGCATTTCATTAATAGATAGACTGTAACACATGAAATTAATAGAAAATAAGGTGAAAGTAAAGGCTGAAAGTGCATATAGAATGAGATGTAAATAAAGATAAATGAGGCTTTTACATTGGTTCTTTCTGCTACTAACATAAGAGTTTAAAAACCAATTTAAATGAATTTATTTTAAAATTTTTATATTTTTATACAATGTTTTAGTGTGCAAAGCAAATGAAGATTAACCCAGATCCTATCAGCAACTGTGCTACGAGTGAACATGGTTCAGCATTACTGAAAAAGTATGGAGATGATACACACATTTTAAAACCAACTTTCATACCTACTATAATTTTGAATGGTTCAAAGGACAATCAGGCTGCAATATTGAAAAATTTCCTTCTTGAAGTATGTAAATTGATTGATATGCCACTGCCTCCTCCATGCTTGTGACAAATTATATCCAATACTCCAAATAAACAATTTCATTCAAATACACTATAAATAATGTTTTCCCCTCAGAACACATCTGTGTTTTTCCTAAACTGAATTATGTACAACTGTGTATGTAAATTAAGCTCAAATATAGTATTGCTCATTGTGTAATTTTGTTAATATAACAATGTGATATATATACATAGACATAGTTTTAAATAATACTGTAAGAGTAGTAAACTAAAAAAGTTTAGATCCTTGGTCACTATAATTTCTACATGAAATTGATATCTTGGAATGATAAGGAAAATTTAATAGATACAGTTGGTATCTTCTAATTTATTTACCACAGATGGGAATTTGCTATAAATGGACAGTTCCTATATCCTATTATATGTTAAATACAGTTTTAATGTAAATTGAGTTACTTGATTCATCTACTGGTATTTAAATGTATGTCTGTGTATATATATATATAATGTTAATAATATATAATGCATTTCTATAACTTTTATTACTATTTCGTATTTATATTTAATTTTACAAATTGTACAAAGGCCCTAAGTACGAAAGGGGACTTTTTGTCTGCAGATAAAATTACTGTTATGTAAGATGTGTACTTGTAAAACATGTATGCGTTGTAGCATACTATCAGCCCACAAACGTTGTTTTATTATGACGGACAAAAATGTAATTGTCTTTTTTCAGACAAGGTAAATACAAAGCCAATTTTTTTCTGCGGACTAAATATCCTTCGACTGTTTAGGTCATTATTGTTTATAGAAAGTAATGTATTGTACTTATCAATTGAATAAAATGTAAGAAATCGTCAAGTAGCTTGAATCATAATGTACGGTAGAAGATATATCACTAAAAAACATGGAAAATTTATGCAGATAAGTAGACAAATTAATTTATTAAGTCACAAAACCAAAATGATTTAAATATTCCATAAACACGAGGCTGACCACTAATTGTAAATTAATGAATAATTTGTTATTAATTAAGATTAATAATGTATTGCGAGATTTTTTTTTGTCGTTTGATGATATTCATGGCAGCTTAGGATACATTTAAATTTATTTAAACCTGTGGCAAATGTTTTGGCATTTGTTGATATACATAATTTGTTGTTTTGTCGATTCGATGTAGAAATTTTAGCATTTTATATGCAATTTTAATGTTTTAATAAATGAAACCTGATTTATATTTATATTATAGATTTAAAGCGATTTCGGTTGTGGATTCTATACAATTTGTAATGATTTCCTATAGGATAAGCTATTAATTTTAAAAAATTTTTTTTCTTGCCTATTTATGCGGAATAATGATTAATTTTTAAAGGAAATGAGTAGAATTGCTTGTAATATATGCTAAGTTTGTGAAATAGTAAATACTAAGTATTACTGCAAACAATGTAAGGGATCAAAACTGTTATAAACTGAATTTGTACAAAATAAAGAATCAATACAATCCATATTAAGACCGGCTCGAAATAAACGACGTTTTTATTAAAAGCTTTTACAATAATATGTGATGATGAATGATGTAGGTATATTGTATAGTGTACCTACCTACTTTTAATTTCCTGAAAAAGATTTTATCTTTTATTCTTTGAATTTAATTACAAAGTAATATCAGTGCCTACTGGCTTACATTACTTTATGTTTTCTTTGACAGCAAATAAAAAACAATTAAGCAGTTTTTATTCATGTCCTGATAATATATTTATATTCATATATAATTCATGTCCTGATAATATATTTTTGTTTATATAAAGCGTCGCCTAGTAGTATGTATATTATTCTGACCAAAAATTACAAACGTCGTGTGTCTGGATTTGTATCTGTGGTCTGGAGAATCTGGCAGACATTAGAAACTTCGTTTTATATTAATTTGATAGACTACGGTAGGCTTAGTTCTTGACACGTTGAATTGTATTCAAATATGTTCAGTAAAATGTTGACATTTGTAGTTGCCCATCTATAGCAACGGGCTATAATAGGCAAAACGTCCCTATTATTATTACTTATGATATTTTCATTCTTACATAATTTTCATTGAATACATATTTAATAGATATACATTAAATAATTTGATACAAAATGTTTTTTGATAGTTTAGGTAGGTATTTTTTTTTTTATTTTGACCATATTATCAGTATCCTGTCCTTGTGTCTTTTAGTGGAAATCTTTAAATGAAAATGAATATTTTTTGTGAACGAATTTTTAGTTTCTTAATATTTTCAAAGCATTGTTACCAATATATTGCAATATTTTTTCTTTTTGTATTAAAGTATTATTAAAATATAAAGCTTTTTTTACATCTGCGAAGTATTTTAGATATTAAATCTCTAATTTTATTGTAATTGGTGACCGTGTAACGAAAATTTTTTAAATCACTTAAAGGACGTGACATAATTGTTTTGATAGAATTCGTTAAGACAATTTTGTTGTTTTGTGTAGCTGCCAAATAGATCTTTCTGACTGTATCAGTATTATTTTTCTGTTACAATTTTTCTGTATCTATTGTGTCAGTAGAAATATATATTTTTGGTTACAAAATTTTCTTAAACATATCGCCCGGACAAAATTCACGTCAAAAAAATAAGTTGGTTTCCTATTCTATATATTCCTATAGTATTATCTAAGAGTATCACATCCTAAATATTATATCCAAACAAATTTTAGTATTAAATCATTTATAATTATTATATAATAATTTGTAGCTAAAACGATTATGATTTAAAAGTGTGATATTTTGAATTTGCATAATAAAATTAATTTATATTCCTCCCGTCTTGTTTAAAATTAGTTGTGTCGTTATAATTGCATAAATCATTATTAAACTACTAGTTATGAAAGGGAGACATAAATGTAGGAATTTAGTTCAAATCAATAATGTAGTCTCCAGAAAGGGTGTGCATGTACTGGGCGAATTATGAAAGTAGATGAAGTACGAGATAAGGTTGAACATTTTTAGCTAGTTACAAGTTTTTTGCTGCCTACTATGCGTGAAAGCTAACGTGATTTTATATTGTATATTTTACACACATTTCTTAAGATTTTTATGACAGTATGGGTAAATTGTGTGAAATAATTACATACTGCATCCATGTTTTTATTATTACTATTACGAAGAATGCCTTCAACGTAATGTCAGCCTTGTACGCATTATCATCATCATTTCAGCCATTATCCGTCCACTGCTAGACATAAGCCTCGCCCATAGACTGCCACAAAGAACGGTCTTGAGCTACCTGCATCCACTGACTCCCTGCAATGTAATTCAGGTTGTCACTCCATCTAGTAGAGAACCTTTCTTCCTCATCGGTTGTCGGTTCTTCGAGTCAAGTGACCAGCTCATTGCCACCACAGCTTGCTTATTTTTTGAGCTGTTTGTTATTTTGGTTCTTTTGCGAATATCCTCGTTTCGGATTCTATCACGCAGAGACTCTGAGCATAGCCGGCAGCACACCTGCAATGCCGTAGGTGTTGTGGGTGATCATGGGCGGCTCTTCAGGTGAGCCGCATGCTCGTTTGCCCCCTGTGTTGTAAAAAAAAAAAAAAAAAAAAAAAAAAATAACCCTCTTCATAGCCCGCTGAGTAATTTGAAGCTTTTGCATATGGGCAATCGTGTAGGACCATGTTTTGGTTCCATAAGTCATCACTGTCAATACGCACTGGTTAAAGACTAGAGAGAATGTGAAGAAAAAAAAGTAATTTTGAATGAAAAGATGTAGCGTGGTTTTCCGAATGCTGCCCAGCCGAGTTGGATTCGACGGTTAACCTCTCGGTCTAAAATTGTACGCATTATGTTAAAGAATATATTGAAAATATATAAGTTCTTAGTATATATACTTTGCAATTAGAGTGGTTTACCTATTCACTCATGCCGAATATTTTCATGTTGGAAAAGGTGAACCAATTTGTAGGTATATGTGCATAGAATTAGATACTTAGTTATTAAATGCATTAAACGGATTAGGTACTTCCCTAAGCACCAATGGTCATTAATCTTTACGTCAAGCTGTTTCCCATAACGTGTCGTTACCCGCACGGCTCAGGCAATAAATTAGGCGCTTTTCCACCTTTTCCGTGAGTCACCGGCCAAAGCAAACAAGGACTTTAGTCAATTCAATTTAAAACTTCACTCTGACAACACCAATTTGCCTCAGTCTAAATGGCTACCTTTGCTCTGAAAACCATTTCAAACACAACAATAAATCTTCAGTGAAATCACGGTCTAATTTCGTAAAAGCCCCGTCTCGCTTTGCTAATTAATATGAATGGCATTTGCATCCGGCTTTTTCTCGCGTACACCATTCCCAACTATTGTTTTGCAAGATCCTCACAATTTATTCTTATTTTTATCCGAATGCACACTACTAAAGAATGTTATTGTGAAAAATAAAGATATTTATATGTTACAAAGTTACTGTTATTTACTTTTTTTCATTTATTTATTTCTTAGTGATATCCTTTAGTAGTGATACGTATTTGTCATCTTTGTTGTTTTTTGCAATCTACATTTTAACACTAGTTTTCATAGTTGAAATTTAATATGAATGTTCTTCGACATTTATAAGATTGCATTTATGTTTAAAATAGGTAACATAACTGATGTAGAAACAGTGTAGACATGTCTAATCGTTGTTTTACTGTGATATCAAAGTCACTAATATTCTCTTAAGTGTCTTATCTCCTCTTAAGAGTAAGTCTTAATATGCCATGTGATCCCGGCATAGATTAAGCCATCTCCTTCCTGTCTCGTCGTAAGAGGTGACTAAGGGAACGTAATAGTAGTAGAACGTAATACATATGAAGTTCAAAATTTGGTGTAATTTATCAACTGTTGATTATTTTAGTTTTTTTTTTTTTTTAGAAAATTCTGGTTTCACTCGTAGAAAATTCCACTATTATGTTATGATGTAAATTATTTCGATGTCGCCCGTATATGTTTGTGTAATTCTACGTTTTTTTTTTACTGAACCAAGGAGGTGAAAAGAGAAAATGAAAAGTAGGATGTATCATAGCAGTCATACAACAGCAGTAATTTGATTTGATGTTGATGGCAGCGGTTGCAATAAAAGCCGCTTACGCACGGTCAACTGAGGCCACGATGCCAATCGGCGGCGATGCACTCAATCGGCTACGTACTAATCTAATGGATTTTATATGTTGCCAGAAAAAATACTGGAATCAATAAAATGAAAATGCATCCTTTTCGAATTGTTTTTACTCGTCTGTTATTTTTAAATATTTTAATAAATATTACCTAGGTATATTACTAATTTGCGGTATTGAGCATGTATATTAATTTGTTACTTAAAGTTAAACAATTCAATCCATTATTGATGTATGTACTTACTGAAGGGTGGAAATTGATTCTGAAGTAGAAGATATTTTTTTTTGTATTTTGCCAAACAATATCGAATTTGGCGTATCATGACGGATATTATACATGGGGTTTAATAGTTATGACTATGTGTCTTTTTTTTTACCTTATTTTATAAAAGAAGGAAGCACAAAGAGCAGCCTTTATTTGTATAATTATATAAAACCAATATAATAAATAATTATTTACGACGATGATCAGGCAATTCAGTTACCTAACTAAATAGCCTATCGTATCCTCTGAAATTCGTAGTTTTTTTTTATTAAGTCGACATATATCTTCATACCGTGTGTAGGTAAGGTACCTAGACATCAAATAAAATTTTGCGTGCTACACTGAAGTGGTCGGGGTTATATCTGGCGGTGGAGCGCAAGCCGTGTACTCTCATTAAAACTTTCCTCAGGCTGGGCTTGCACGTGTTTTTAATTTTTATCGAGAGCACTCGTCGTTAGCGGGCGGGGGCGTGCTGCGGCTTCGGCTTTGATTGCGGTAATGACGTCGCTCCTGTACTCTCCATACTCTTGTCACTATCTTCTTTAAATATTCTTTGCAAATTAATGATGGAGGCATTTTAATGAGTCTTCTTTAAATTCTTTTAAAAACTTTTATTTCCTCTATACGAACCACCTAAGTAAAAATCAGTCAGATACCTATTATGGGCTTAGACATTAAAGTTCCATTTGTATAACTATTATAGTTTATGGATAAGTATATATATATAATAAGTAATGTAACGTAGAGCACTAAAGATAATTAACGGAGCGCAAAACTCGAAGAACCAATAAATGACGGAATACAGTCTCGAATATATTCGAGATATTGGATATATACAAATATACGAATGTAGATTGCAAATTGCAACCTTTATAAAAGTTGATATAGAAATGACATTTATATAGAAAATTTAATTACAATCGTTGAAAATAATTTAAAAGAAATCTGCAAACATAATTAACCCGTAAATAGGTTTTTGTTTTCTTTATTTTTATCTAATTCTAGGTATTTAGACAAAAATAAAAACAAAAACTGAATTAACTTTATATACATATGTGTTATTATTTTCTTTATATGAAAGTAACATTTAACAATGGTTGACTATTAATATGTTTGCTCTATGATCTGCTGTAATACACATAACTCGATGATATTATGATGCGATAAATTACACTCCGAAATTGTACTAAATTACTTTTACAGATATTATGTATAATAGTATATGAGTGCACGGTGAACGTATTCTGTGGATTCTAGGGAATTATATATTGCAAGGCTAATAATACAGAGGGAAAATTCTGAAGCACTGCACGGTGACAAAATGTACCTACAGTGCCATAGGTTGGTCTAAAAGACTGAGTTCCTTATAGCCACTCAAGCGCATGCATGCATAGTACGGATACAAATACACGATGCAACCGAACCGACAGAGAAGCAACAAATCCGCTTAGGCACGGTCACTGGTGCCGCCGCCTACGCCAGCCCAGTTGTCGACGCAAACAACTCTAATGGATTTTTCATGTCGATTGAACACAGCATAGGTATATGTGCAAGATAATCGAATATTTATTTCGAAATGTTTTGATAGAATTTTCATTTAGCCTTCTGTACCCAAGCGGTATAAACCTTTATGTTAAGATTTCGATGTCAGTTCGACTGCTCTTTTTTTTGGTATGAATATTATTTATATCTGGTTTTCTCTAATTGTAAACATTTTTTAATTTAAAAGGTTTGCTTTAGGTTCTGTTTAAATCGAACTTATTAAAGGTGCTTTCCCCACTATTAATTTTGTATGAAAACATAATTATTGTCAAAGATTTATGAGATATGTTTAATTATTACAACCGATGCCAAAAGAAAAAAGGTTATACTTGTACTGTTTACTCTTTTCTTTGGAATTCAATGAACCGTTTGATGTGATGCAAAGTCTAAATGTTCAAATTAAAATATATTTAATGACTCGTTTATTGGTGTGTTTCGTGACGATTGTTGAAGTCGTTGTTTTTTCACAAAGCAAAATGTCCCTACTTGATATGATTTTTTTTGCAATGAATTTGTTCACTCTCGTGTTGAATTTGTAATATTTAGGATGTATAATGTGTGTAACGCATATTGCTTTGCGTTATCCCATTTTTTCTTATATTTCGCAAGATATTATATGTAATTTTTTAATAAAGTTATAAAGTAACAGTATTAGTAATGGGGAATTTAGTCTCCATTACTAGCAATATTTCCTGGCAGGTCGACCTTTTCCCGGTGGTTCTTGAACACCATCGTAGTTAAATCTTAGTGAATTCATTGCGATGGGCCCTGCTATCGTAAACCGGTAGCGCCGGAGGGGTTATCATTCTATTTTTGTTACATTCTAACAAGCAAAATAATGTACCGACTATGTAATTAATAATAATAAACTTTATTGCGCACAATAGTATACAAGGAGTATTTATACAGAATGTGCATATACAAAAGGCGTCCTTATCGCTAAAAGCAATCTCTTACAGACAACCTGGGTAAATTTAGACACAGTTCATTTAAATAAATACACATAATGTTAACAGAGATTTAAAAGAAGACTGTTGAGTTTCTTGCGGGCTCTTCTCAACAGATAACCTTTCAAACCCTGCAGTAGAAAAAAATACGATTTAAAAGTGCTTGTAAACAAGTCTATTTGAATAAAAATGACTTAAATTTGAATAAAAAAATATAAAAATAAAAAAAAAGAATACCTTAGAAGGAGTTTAACGCCCCCCTCCACCCTCCTACTTTTTTTTAAATGGATGATAATGGAATGGTAACCCCGCCTGCGCTAACGGTATACGCAAGCAGGACACTAGTGTGGGATGATAGGTGACAATGAAAAGGCAGGTCAGTTAGCCTATCGTGATTGTTTCAATTGGAATAGAACACGATAGTTTCTATGGAGAATCGCGAGGAGGTTGACCTGACAGGGTGTATTGCTAACAATGGGGCTACTAATCCCCATTTTTAACAATCCATTATCCCCCCTCCACCCTCTTACTGAGGATGAGATCAATTAGCCACGATGGGCTAATTGGGGGTTTTGTTCTCAGTATGTGTCGTATGTTTTGTGTGTATATGTAGCTAAGTGGACATAATATGCTTGATCTGTTAACTAATTGTTGGATTACTACTAATCATATAAAATTATGTATGGCTTTGTGTACATCATCGCACGCTCCGCGTGATTTTCAAGCTGTCAAAAGACCATTAATAATCATTAAGACTGATATCGTCGACATCTTATTGTAGCCGCTGAGCGAACACCGTAAATTATGACATTAATTTTATAATTATTATTGTGCGGCTTACAATAGAGACGGGCGCACAAAAACACGTAAGCTCTTTCTCATTGTTAGGCGCGAAAACAATGAATGATTGTTCGAAACTGGTTGGAAAATGACTTGGGGAAAAACTGACGTTCACTTTGATGAAAACTGGGCCGTATAGGAGGCTTTTTTAATTTTTCGACTTACTATTAAAATGCAGTAGTTTACGAACAATACCTAAGATGTACCTATAGGTGAATTAAATTTTATATTTACTTGTTTAGTAATATTTCACTAATGGAGTTATGTCTGAGTATCTTGTAATTTCGCTTCTATATCCCACTTTTTAAACCGAAATAGTCATACAAACACAATTCGTAGCAGAAATACGAGTAGGGCATAGGTACCCAAGTAGATGAGTATGTTATTTTAGTCACTGCTTAGGTACTATGTATTTAAGCAAGGACGCTGGAATTTAATTTATATTTTTTTAACGTATCGCATTTGAGCAAATATTAATCGTCAGTGATGACAAGATCATTAAAACAATATCATAATTAATGTGAAGTTGGGTTGGAAGTCAATGAATAAAGCAACTAGATTTTTTTTTTTGTGGAGAGGCTTATGTTTGTAGTGGCGTGTAATGAATGATTGAAAACATATTTTGCTTAATGTGGGGGAGATTAAAATAACTTCTGCAGAATGAAATAAATAAGTTTAACATTTAGACCCTAAAAACGGGTAAATTTTTGGCAGCTAATTGTCAAATTAGCTGACTCGTTTTCTATGAGTGTTCTATATACTTACGCACACAGTGTATCTTGAAATATTTTAATAAATAAAATGAGCTTTTGAGCATTAAGAAGATGCAAAAATTATAAAACAAAATAAATATAGAAGTTATAAAGAAAACATTCATAACTATTTATCACGCAAAATTGTATGAAAAGTTGACCTGCTATTCTCAAAGCATTTGTATGGAGAAACTCTACCTATATAATCTAAGTTTTAGACATATAGAAATATGTTCCTATGAGTAGATCTATTGCACACCTTCTTTAATTAGCATTTGAGATTGATATAAATAAAAATAGGTAAATGGCTTACACAACTAATGGTATTAGACTCAGCTATTATAGATTAGTATTGTTTTTAATAACACAGGAGACAAACGAGCATGCGACTCATTTGAGGGTACCTAAGTGACTACTGCCGACCATGATCACCTACTACACCAGAGGCATTACAGGCTTGCTGCCGGCCTTTAAAAAGAAATATTCTCTTTTCTTGTATATATATATAAATTATTATAATTGAATCCCCACTTGCACTCACTAGTGCACTACTGGTGTACCACACTGGTACACTATCAGTGTGGGACAACAGTGGACAATGCAAGCAGGTCAGTTAATCCATCATGATGAAATAGTTGAATAAGTACTATCGTGTCTAGGGGGAATCATGTGGAGGTCAATCTAACAATCCTTCCCCCTAATAATAGTTAAAGAAAAACTAGTTATGGACTCTTAAAATCAATGTGACATAATTAAAAATATGCTAATTAAATATTTGCAGTTTTTATTTTACTACCATGAAGCTATAAAAATAAACTATTACCTGCACAGAATAATAAAAGTTATCAACTAACTAGGTAGTAGTTTCCAACTGCTACCGGTTACTTAACCATTCATGTTTCGAAGAGTTTCCGCCTCATGATTACAGCTTGTGGCTGAATAAGAGCGCGCGATAATGTTTTCTAATTGTTGTTTGAGACAAGTGCCGCTTATTGCTATGTCATTTGAAGTTTCAGGTATGTCGGTTGGCAGATATAAGACACGCGAAACTAAAGTAAGGGCAATGGCGCAAGACAGCCGGACGCTATGTACGCGGTTATAATTTCAGTCCTTTTAATTTTTATAAGTGTTGGCTTTGGAGGGAAAGATAAACCGGTATGATATTAAGCTTTATAAACAGATGCCACATTCACAATTTTTATTATATTAATACTAGAATAATTATAGTTAAAACACGGTAAAAAATAAAATTTATTTTTACGATTAAGTAGTTAGAATTTCTAGGCGTACAATAGTTATTTACTTTGACTGTTTTTTTTCTTTTTACTACTCTCTAGTCATCTAAAATTTTGTGACTAATTGGGGTCGATTTTAAAAGCCAGTATGATTTTAGTTGTTATTAATATTAATTTAATACTAAAATATTTTATGATTGTTCGTAAAACTAACTTCGTGAAACTATCGAATTAAAATATTAGGTTATAAGAAGAGGCGCACACAGATTGGATCTCAAGTATTTCTTAAGATTTAAAAAGTGTCTGTTTCGACCGATGGACTTTTGTGTAAACCACAATCGAATTACTAATATTTCTAATTTGAACTATTGTATGTTATATAATACGAATATAGTTTTGTATCTACCCGTAAAATATAATTATTATTTATAATTTTTTAATAATAATGACATCATTTCCAATCATCCATCCACTGATTCAATCCTTTTATCTGTTTTTACGTGGGAGATTAGCTCTATAGTAAGTGGTGACTCTACCAAGGCATAGAAACAAGAGGCATTGCACACGATCACCACGCTTCAGTGTGATTATATATTGATTAAAAAATATATAAACTATCATTAGGTGCACTATTTATCATCAAGCTGACAACACTTCATGGATGTGTTTAGGGGGCCAAGCAGCCCAGCGATGGGTAAAGCATATGTGCATGCTTTGTCCATCATTGGCACGGCATCGCTTTCACATTCGTATCCTAGTATCTATTTAGGTACTGTACCTATATTAACTACATATTCAAATTCTGTAATATACTCATAAATAAGTGACTAGTAGCACTTAATTTGTCTACGTATTTAATATATTAAACTTGTATGAATAGTGAAACATAAAGTTATAGATCTTAGGTATATTCGTTTTGTCCCTTGTCAATCTACAAAAACGTTTAGATGTGACAAGTCGACACAGTCGCGTCGATTTTTTACGGCACATGAGTTTATGAAATATTTTAGCGTGCCTAGGTGAGGGTTGATGGATGAGTGCCGGCACGGGAAGTAACGCAGTGACGCGCGCGACACTATTGCTCAATGTCGCCGTCTACGAATACGTAATGCAGTTGTTGGCTTCGGTTAGCGTTTCCATTGATCTACGTTAGAATTATAATCTGTTTCAATAGAACTTAATGAAAATGTAAACATATTACATATAAATAAACACATGAAAATTTAATAACTGCTTCGACCGTAGTATCGAATTTTGGTTTAAGTTAACGAAGACTAAAGAAAACTATAAAAGCAATAAGGTTATGTGTTATTATTATAATATTGAAATTGTATTCCTTAATATGAACGAAACGGTATATGGAATAGTGAAGTGTTTCTTTGGTAAACATCGGGTGACAATGGAATTTGCATGTGTTTGAAAAATTTATCGCGTAGTGGGTAAATATTGTTTTTATCCTATTGTCAAGTTACAGCAATTCCTAAAATGAGTTCCGCGAAAATGAGAGGTCTCGTAAAAAAGTCACTGGGATTTCGTGAAATTATTTATTTTTAGTTGTTAAATAATAACACAGCTATAAATATTATTATAAAATTTGTGTCTTTGATTTGCAATCATTTGGTATGGGGATCGGTATAATAAAAGGTATTTGGTGGGTTTTTTTAATACAACTAAGAATGGCAAACAAGCTGACGGCCCACCTGATGAAAAGTGATAACCGTCGCCTATAGGCTCATGTCTATAGACATGAGCAGTACCATGGATATAACAGAGTATACTGTTTCGCCCATGATACTCCCTATGCGTTCCCATTCCTGAAGACTCAGGTGTTATTCCTCTGTACCCTGTAAATTCATGCCATATCCCACCCTTCAAACCGAAACACAGCCACGCAAATACAACTGCTTTACGGTTGAAACACGAATAGGGCAGAGATACCCAAGCAAACGACTTTTGTACAAAGTCTCCCTCTGGTAGGCGTTTCGTAGGTTGGCGTTTCGTTATCCTTAAAGTTTCAGAATATCTGCTCTTGTAGGTGCATAGTAAAATACATATATAAATAACATAACTTGGGCAATGTTATTTTTGTTTATTGTTAATTGTGTAACATTCTGTACAAAAATTTAGATTAATTTTGATAATGTCATTAAAGTATTAATTATCGCAAAAAATATACATGCATTTTATGTTAGTATACGAAGAAAGAGTCGTGCATACGCATGAGAATTTTTGAAAGTGTATAAAGTAAGATTTTTTCATGTAACGATAGAAGCCTTTGGCAATGTTTTGTTTACGATTAATATAATATTACCTGATTTATAAGGGATTTGTTATAGATGAAACTATAATATATAAATAAGCTAACGACATGCAGCGAACAACTTCATCTATTTGAATCAGTATGCAAAGTATTCTATATGTTAGGATATAATTTATCCGTGTACTAAGTTTCATTCTAATTTGTTTAATAGTTTTTGTATAAAAGTGTAACAAATCCATCCATCTATCTATATATCGTCACAAATTTTTAGGATATAAAAAGCTAATTAAATTATCAGACGTATCTGATAATTTAATTAGCTTTTTATATCCTAAAAATTGTAAGTGAAATGTGAATTGCAGCTACAGACACGTATCTTTGTACAATGGACACAAGTTCCCACCATTTAAATTAATATTTAACGTTATGATACAAGTTGATGTGCATTGGGTGAGTCCCCGCGGAATCACGACTTAATATTTTCTTTGAGGATGTTATCCCATTTTTAATATTGAAACGACTTATTTTCCCTCCGGTGTTCACAAAGGTAACGCGTGTAGATCAAGAGTCAGGGGTATTCTAGTCGCTGAATAATAACAACGAATAGCTCCTCTATTTTTGCCATATATAATTTATGTGGAGAATAAATTGCTTTGTCTGTAGAAAATAAAATAAAAAAAAATATATGTGTAGATGTTTCCTATCATTTCAAAGTAATAGCTATTGAGAAACAGCCATCACAATGCATAATATAATAATGTATAATTTTTTTTACTAGTTTGTTTCACATTGCGTCATATAATTCTCAACTATTGTTTATTAATTTTTTTTTTACATTTATTAATTATTGAGAGATATAGACACTATTATGTAAAAAATATTTTATACATAGTTGATTGTATGAAATACTAGTTTTTACTCGCAACTTAGAATAGGTGAATTTTGTATGTAGGTAACCACTTAGATTTAGATGGTGTACCAAAACAAGATATAAATCAGATTAAGTTTTGGCCAGGATGTTTAAGGCCTTCAGAAATACAACTGTGGAATCTGCTTTCACTTTGGTACAATATTATTTTTGTGATATCAGAAAAACATACATACAGACAAACGGAGACTAAAAAATAAATCATTGCTTTGGCTTCTATTGCTCATATTAAGACTTATATATATTTTTTATTAATATTTGTCATGTACAGACATCATCTAATCACAATTTTACTTATAAGTAAGGTGCTCAATTCGCTTGTGTTTTTTTATGCTTGTTATCTCATAACTTCGTCAGTTATAAACTGATTTGGAAATTTCTTATTTTACCTAAAAGGATATACTTAAAGATTAGTTTTATTGAAGTTTTTACAAAATTGATTCAGTAGTTCAGTTTTAAAATTAAAATAATCGGCTTTTTTTATATTTGAAATCGTTTTTGTTTTGGAATACAATCTTTATTTATGTTAATACTTACATAGAATTATATGTTAATGCTTAAAGTATATTATTCTACTATATTATTTTATATTTTTTTTATTTTTATACAACTTAGAATGGCGAACAAGCTTACGGTCCACCTGATGGAAAGTGGTAACCGTCATATAGACATATAATAGAGTATACTGTTTCGCCCAATACCCCTCATGCGTTGCCATTCCTGAGGACTCAGGTGTTATTCCTCTGTACCCAGTATTCACTGCCATATCCCACCCTTCAAACTGCAAACACAACTATAGAAACACGAATGGGACAGAGGTTCGACTTTTGTACAAAGTCTCCCTCTGGTGAATATTAGCAGCTGTTTGCTTTTAATAGTACACACGTACTATAGTCTGAATATTTTTATGAATAAACGAAAAGACTTTTAACATAATGTTCTCGGAGTACTTTTGAAAAACAGAGAAAATCCATTTTTAAAAAAGTGTGGCTTATCTTTGCCTTTCAAGTAAAAAGACGACCGACTGATTTATTGACTGACTGATCTTTCAGCACACCGATAAGTAAACTACTGGGTTTAAACAAGCGAAGGTACCTATCTAATCGTAAAGTAACTATGAGTAACAGTGTAAGCGTTTATTAAGTATTGTTAAAAGCAGAAGTATTTCCTTAAGTTTGAAGGAGGAAATAATGGGTTTGTATTGATGACGTTTTGGTAAACGTTTATGCAGTTTATACTTAATACAGTAAATACTTTCGTCCGTGTGGTCCCAGCATAGAAAAGGCTACTTCTTCCTTTTCCGTGGGTGTCGTAAGAGGCGATTAAGGGAAGGCCAGGGATGGGCAGCAGCGTCTTTCTTAAAACATCTCCAAAGCCTAACTGCGGTTTCCAACCCGCAATCCAAGAGTGGCAACTACTGGCAAAACCCTTATGTATATGAAGGCTTATGTTCAGAAGTGGGCAGAAAAGGCTGATATGATGATAATGACAGTAAATACTTGATGACTGTCGTAATATATGTATTTACCTAACTTGTTTCAGGTATTCGGTGATGAAATCAATGAAATAATGAATATTATTCATAATGAATGTGTTAGTAAAACCAAAGTGGCCGAGGGTAAGTTTAGAAGGACGTTTGTAAGAAAACAATATATTGTTAATACATCGATGTTTGTATGCGAATAACGAAAAACAATCGGCGTAACTAAAGTTGTACAGCTACGAGTATAAACGTAATTTGGGGCTAACATTTATTTTTATTGTATTATAATTATATATGAGATTCTAAGTAAAATTTATAAAAAGATAAAACCTTACAAAGTAAAAAATATTAGAATTAATGCTAATTAATCAGTCTTTATATGAAAGATGAACTGTATTAAAATCGGTGTAGCCCTTTACCACATACAGACACACAAAGACTTACAATTTAATAAACTATATTTTAAACATATATATTAAAAAAACGTTATGATTTTATTTACTCATGATTGTTATGAACACAGAATAAATAAGAAGAGGATCAATTTATTTATCAGGCGTGACAGTTACCTGATAAATAAATTAATGTAATAAATAAATGTCTATTTATTTAACACAATATATTGTACTTTACACATAAAAATCGCAATTAGAAATTAAAACACAGTAGGACAGAGTAGAAGTTAGTGTAATAATTGTAAATAATTTTAATATGACAGCTTAAGACAAAAAGCTTATGAATACTGTATCTTCTATTCTATATATAATAAAATAGTGTTAAAGATTACATTCTTAATATCTATTTCTTGTGATATCCCTCTCTATAACAATTTTAAATGATACATATCAAATACAGACCTTTTGCACATATACTTAATTTTGTTAATTTTATACGAGATGAGTTTTTCATTTTTGTCATTAATGGTGTTTCCTTTAATAATAGTAACTACATATATGGAACGATAATAATGTATCTAGTTCATAAACGTTTTGGTCCCCTAAACATTGATATCCTATAGAGATATAGAGATACGTAGACACTATAATATTAAAGATGACGGTAGTATTTAGTATCAACCTACTTAAAGCCTAGTTTTTTCTGTTGTAAATATTTGATCAACATCTCCTTTTTTGTCGAGCCCAATTTACAAAGTGCCCTTACAAAATATTTAATGAATACCATTGCATTTGAGTCAAAGAAAAAAGAATGTATCTATAACATTTGTTCGACTATTATTGTTTCGAAATACAATGTCTCATGTTATTGTACATTAAAGAGTTTTATTCTACCCCCAGAGGACATAACAAATTGCGAAAACGGCATATTTAAAGACGACGTCAAATTGAAGTGCTATATGTTTTGCGTGGTAGAGGAATTGAATCTTGTGAGTAATCCTTTATTTGTTTTTCTCTTCACCTTTGCATCTTCAAAATTAGATACAAACATGTTTAATTTATTATTAAACCTGTTTTATTGCGTTTACTAATACCGAGTCGCCATTCAAGAACCTTTACTCTTTATACATATTAGTTAATAACCTAAATTTGCATATGCACTGTGTACACACAAATATTTAATAGTTATTAATCTCATAGTTAAACTATTTATAATTAAAATAAAAACAGCTAAAACAAGAGTTCTTTCTGCTTTTAGTTTGAACATTAGAATAGGGTAGGCCTATTTTAATTGTTTATTATAAAGTTACATATACAGAATAAAAAATAATTGGTTATAGAAAAACAACCCGATCTGAGAATCTTACACAGGCTAATTAAGTGTATATGTGAGTACTTAGCAGTATCACAATATAAAGATCTACTGTTTGGTACTATGATTAATTTACTTTAGTCTAATTAAAGAGAATCTAAAAAATATGTTTTAATATTAGTTTTATATTTTTGTCTGTAAGCATGTTTAAAATTTCACAAAATATTCAACCGACTTCAAAAAGAAGGAATTTCTTAATTTGGAAACTTCTTTTTTATTTAAAGGAATATATTTACAGATTGGACCTATAGACATTTTATAATAATCGGTTTAGTATATCAGTTTTTAAATAAAAAAAAAAAATCTATTTTATCACAAATAAAGTCGGTTTCTTTTGTGGAACACAATCTTTAATTTATTTATTTCACACTTAATTTGTTTAATATTTCTGTTAGATTTTAGATTCTTTACTCTTTTTTGTCCATAAAAGTATTGTATATAGTATCAAAAAAATAAATAATTTACAACTATTTTGCAGGTGGATGACAATAATGAAGTGGATTATGAGATGTTAATAAGTTTATTTCCAGAGCAATACCAGAAAAGAGCACTAAGTTTGGTTGAAAGTTGCAAGCATTTGGGTAATTGTTTTAGTTAGATATTTACTTTAAGCACTGAATACATACTTTTCAATTCCACAGCCACATAACTTTCGTAAAGTTTCGTACGATTTTAATCCTCTATAAACTTGAACTCGTAATACAGTACAATTTAAAATTTCGATACGAAAATTAAATTTTTTATATGTATCTTTTAGTTTTATTATGCTATGTATCTAAATCCATTAATATTTGAATTTTATTATTCATATTAATTCTTTCCGAATACTTATAAATTTTGTAATATTTTTTTTACACACATTTTTACCAATTGTCTTATTCCAAAGTTAGCATGATAGTTATAAGAAACCAGACAATATATTAATAACTTTAAGTTGTGCACGCAATACATTATTGCGGCGGTTTATACACAAAAAATAAATTCGCTTTTATAAAAATGTTATTTCATTAACAGATATGAAAGAAAAGGAAAGTTGTCAAAGGGTTTTCGACATTCACAAATGTTCATACGCTGTGGATCCAGATGTAAGATATTTATTTTTACTATTACTATACCTAGAATGGTCTCAATAGTAGGTAGGTACCATTATATCTGTTAATCTGTCTCTGATTTCTGCTTTAATAACAAAACAAGGATTATAAAAAGAATCATAATCTTAGATAAAATAATTTCTTTTTTTTTATGTTAAAGAACTCTATAGGTAATTGTCTTGTATAATTCTAAACAAATGTTTACACGGTTAATTAATATGTTATTATGGTTTTCTTCATATCTGTAGGCGATAGTTACTATTTTCTAATTTCTATTAGGTGAGCCCTTAGCTTATTTGCAATTCCAAATTTATTAATTTTGAATCTAATACGCATACGTATCAATATTAAAAATGTTAGTTTATAAAAATATTTGGATATTTATTAATAAAAAGCTTAAACTGTTAAAAGGATTTGAATAAAATTTGGTAAACGTGTAGATTATACTCAGTATTCTACAGGACACTTTACATACTAATTCATACGAGCAAAATCGCGAATAGCTAGTTAAAAGTAAATAAGACAGCTGTAAAAAATATCAAAGTTTTTTCTCTATTTTCAATACACGTTGTAAAGACTACCTAATTTTTATTTTCTTTTTCAGTTTTATTTCATATTTTAGGCACAAATATGACATGGAGGGGGATGTTATAACAAAACTTACAATATTATTAATTGTCATTGTATTGTATAAAAAGGAAATATATAAAATTTCTGTAATGTTGTAAGTTTATTTCATACATTTTTTTTACTGATTCGCTCTTCAAGAGCATCATATTTAAAAAAAAATAACTTTAAAATATGAAGTAAATTTTTGACAGTAGTTTCAGACAATAAATTAATCACTTACATAAAAGTTTTATTTAATAATAAATAAAATTATTATATTATAAGTTATTACGTTGAAAATATTATTAAATTTCTTGACGTACAAAATATGTTACGTTGAAGGTCAACATGTATATGTCATATAAGTACATATTATTTCTATATGATAATTTTCATAACCGCTTTTAAGGATGTTTTTTGAAAGAGTATATATGGAAAAATCTTATATTAGTTTCATATTAATTTTATCAAGATCCTATGTTTTTCTTTGTTGAATATTAATTTATATGTAATAACCAAAAATCCTTATTGAACCTTTTTGTATTTCTAAATTAGAAGTTTTATGTAAATATCAAATATACTTAAAGTAAAACGTCAATTAAAAATTTGCCTAATATATTTCTCTTATGGGTTTTGGTAATTTCTGAAAAACGGCGGTATCAGAAACATTATTTTATTTTTTCTGTAATATTCATATCTTTATAAACTGTACTTATTTTAATAAGGGGCATACGAGTATGCGACCGCGGCCATCCGAGCCGTTGCAGTGTCCCAGTCCCTTCCGCAACTACATGTCCCCCCCCTTCCTTTCCCAAATAAGTCCTTTATTCATCTTATTTACAAATTTCTTTTACGCAACTCCAAAATTCTCTTCCTTTTCCTTCAATCCTTTCCTCCATACCGTAGGTGGCGGAAACCACCAACAAATGCATTCCCAAGGAGGGTCGAGGGTCAGGCAGGCGGACGGTCGTAAAACTATAAGCCAAATCTTTTTGTAATATGGATAAGTATAAAAACATACTATGCCGACCCCGAATAATAATTGGAATAAGGGTAAGAAAGTGATAATAATCTGTCTCTTATGGCAGGGATCCGTCCATAGCCAGCAATGGTGTGCGAATGGGCTCTTATGTTGTTTAAAACACATTAATAGAATATAAATAATGTATTATTAATAATACAAATACAATAATTTTATCCTGTTGTACCTATTGAAAACATAGTTTTACAAATATGGAGTAAACATTCGGGTAATAGCTATCACCTCGTCCGGTTAGCTTCAACGCTGGTTTGCTTATATTTGCTGTTGTCGAGATTGTCATTTCATGTCGGCCAGATATTTATTGTAATTATAAAAATATAAATTTTTATGCAGTTTACTATAAATAATTTAGTCCTTCAGGAACTAACCAAATAATTATGTACTTAGTACCTTATTTCATACCTCGCGTCGGATTCTACCAATTTGGAATATAGGTACTTATACAAAAAGTTGGACTACGAGTACTTTTTATTATTGCATACAGAAGTGACTGTACAACTAGGTACGATTCGAGTCAAATATTTCATTCCAGTTCTCCAGCGGGAAGAAAATGTTTAGGTACTTGTAAATAAAGACGTAATTTGGCGTTAGCCGCGGGCCCCGACCGTCTATTTTTTATGAAATCTCGCTCAAATTTATTCAGATCTTGAAAGAAGTATAATGCTAGGGAATTAATTTGCTTCACGAAAAATAATTTGTTCGTGGAAAATAAATGAGTTCGAATCTTGTAAAACGTGTAATTGTAATCTTTAGTCAAATTAAATTCAAAGAAACTCTCATTTAGAGTAGATGATTTCAAGAGTTAGGATTGAACCACTTACATGAGTCGGTTAGATCTCTCTTTTTCTGTTTTATTTTTATTTCATTGCATTCGAATATGAAAATAATAATAAGAGTATATAATATTTTATTTTAAATATAATGTAGAAATACTTCATAAGATTTTGCGACCTTTTAAAAAATATTGACACTCGTTAGATGCGGGTGGTTTAGGATCAAAACAGTACTTTGTAGCGAAATATCAGTTCAGAAGTATGATAATTAGCTTGATATTTAGTGCTAATTCATCATGAACCTAGTATAAACAGGTAGCTTGTATATCCAAGCATATTTTATTTTAAGTACCTAACTAAATGTTTATAAATTTTTAATTAGGTACTTAGAATATTTAACCTGTATATTGTAATATATATCAGAGAAAATCTATTTAAGAAAAAGACATTTATCTTTTCTCTATTTTTTTATAATAATGAAAATTAACAAAAAGGGATTATTATTCATATAATGTAATTCAAAGCTATTTATTTTATTAATCCTACTTTATATCATATCTTACATACGAGTCTATGCATCTACATACCTATGCAAATTATTAATAAAATTACGTTATCAATTAAGAATAAGTTTACTTCTACTTTATTTTATAAAATAATATATTCATAATGAAAATTTAATAAATATAAATTCTATTACGACTTACTAACTACACTGTACAAGATTGTTGACCTTAGAAAAATTATTTGTAGCTAAAATTTTAAATTGAGAAAGAGTTGCTCTGTAATGTTGTATTTGCAGTAGTCCTTTAGATTTTATGGACCATGTCAATGGTAATAACGCTCGCTGACGTAGAAAGTGAACTTACAAACCTCAATTACAATAAAAGAGCACGTTATTTAACAGCAAAACGACATTCAAAAGACGGAAAAACCGAGGGTCGGAACATCTGCACATAAAGAGGCAATTTGGAGATTGCCGGGGGCGCGCTACCGCCACGGAGAATTGTACTCAAATGTATTCAAAATTAAAAAAAAAAAACGAAAATATTGCAAGAAATTTCATTGCGGTAAAATAAACAGGAGTGGTTTGTTACTGTCAACTGTGTAGTGTACGGGACTCGAGGCCTAGCTAGATCATTGCATACAGATTCAACTTCCTTACTTCGTTCTTGTAGGTACTTGAAGGGAGATGTCGAAAAGAAATTTTAATAAATAACTGACTAAATACTTACTCATTTTATATACGGAAAGAAAACGTCGATAATTATAAAGAAGCCCTTTATTTCAATTATACTTTAATAGATACTTCTTACTCTAACAATGTTTTGTATCAGTATATCGTACTTCTGGATAATATAATTAAATTCTATCTTTACGTTTGTTCCGATATCACGCAAAACAAAAACTTTAAACTGAATGCGGTTTTCACAGTTGTATTCCTGAAGATCTAACTTAAAAACTAGTGTATGTTTTAATTTGATACTCGCATCTTGAAATGGTCTATTCCATTAGTTTCTCTTCTTCTAAAATCTACGCAAGCAATCCACGTAGCGAGCACAAAGTAGTAGAAAATACAAAATATATACATGTACCTAAATATTATTAGACTGTTAGATGACTACAAATGATATTTTAACGGTAAATTATTTACCGAACAAACAATAAAATGTGTGTGTCATGTATCGGAAATCATAATCTCTCCAGGAAGACATACAGTGCATTCTTGCACGTAATCCACCTATTTTGAATTTAGAATTATACTCGTAACTTATTTATTTTTATATATAGATTTTTTCGGTGGCGCGCAGTTGCTTAGTATGAATTCTACAAAGATTTTTTACCTGCGTTACACTACACGTTATCTTGTTTACTTTTATGTCAGTCAGTAATTTATATTGAAATTTTAACTGTATCTCTAATAGATAGTTTCAAATATTCAGATTTTCACATAAATTTGTAAACCTCTGTACAATTCATATCGCAATATATCGGTACTTTATCTCTAGGACTATACTGAATATGCAACATTCTAATAATTATTTTTCATACAAAATTACTTTGATATGGGCTATAATGATGAAAGACGTAATCAATAGAAATAACAAGTTTTGTTTTAGAAGAAAACAGTCTGTATTTTTCAAGTGTGATATAATTTCATTTTTAATTATATATATTAAACATATACATATATAAAAAGAATTACATTTATATAATGAACCTCTATTAGAATTTACGTGGAATCAGTGGAAGGCTGTAATGGTTGACTGTGGTCGCGGCGCGTCTGCAAAGCAGCGGATATCGCAATTTGGCGTCGTGCCGCTGTAATGACGCTGCCCTAGACGCCGAGTACGTGAACTGGTTGCACCAATAACGAACACCAATGTAGGTTCCTACTTGCCTTGAAAATTTAATAACTTTACACAACACTTTTGACAGTTGCCAAATTTTAATCAGGTGTTATTTATTTATTTATAGGATTACCAACATACTTTTATGAGTAAAATGACTACAATGTATAAGAGTTGAATAAAATGACCTCAAAAACATGACATTTTTGAAATATATTCGTTATTTATATTATATGGTAACTATGGTAAAATCAGTAGCGGGATACACAAAAAGAGAAACAAATATGCAAAACAATTGTCTTCACTCACATGAATATTATCAAATCTCAATTATCTTCACTTAATATTTTTACCGGTAGCATGTTTTATTCCGTAACTGTTATTGCAGAGAAACCGCTTGTTTCACATGAAAAATATTATCAAATAGAAATACATTTGTATTGTGTAGAAATCTTACTTGCCACCACGAACCATCTGAAGGTGAGGCGGTTTCTTAAACCACTATCCCACCAAGGTTGAATAACGTGATTAGATCTGTTATATCTATAATCCACTAAAACAGTTCTTTCATGTGTGTATGATAATTTATATGGTAATGTGGTGAGTGAGCAAACGCTACGAAGTGCTAGAATAGAATAGAATAGAATAGAAATCAATCCAATTTGTAATATGTAACTTTTCTAAACATACATATATACAATTATCTTCACTTAATATTTTTACCGGTAGCATGTTTTATTCCGTAACTGTTATTGCAGAGAAACCGCTTGTTTCAAAGTTACTCCATTGTCTTTAATATAATTAAGTCATAAAACAATTTTTATCAATAAATGTCATTGGGAGTCTATCAAACGATTTGTCTCGTTTTAGAAGAGATTTGATATTGTAAAAATCACCTTTCGAAAATATAATTGAATACTCGCAATATTACTGGACACATTATTC